CGAAAACCTCTATTTTCCAAGGAATTTTGTAAGGGGTTCTATTTTCCAAGTACTTAGAAAAACGAGGATGGAAAATCGAGTCCTTAGTAAGCCCCCGAAATCCCATCGACACAGTTAGCAGGGTCAAACCCTACTAGAACCAATGACATTGCCTCGATAGGACCTCTATTCGATGCGACGCCGCATCTTTCTATAGGCTATGTAAACTTGTTCGAAATTCCTGAGACTCCGTTAGTAATTATGTCAAATGCGCCATTACCGGGCAGCCACTAAAAATACTCCTTAGTTATCCACCTCGCATCTGTCAAAAACTGGTTACAATGAATAGTCCACACTTGGACAACTTCCTACTAGCGACCGCTAAACTAACGCTGGCACTGCGGAGCAATAGCTGTCGTAGTCCAATCTATTAGCTCGAATCCCTTGGCTCGGTGGCTGAAATACGATTCGTGGTGTTTATCACACCCTACAGCCCGGATTCGAGACATTACATGAAATACAGATGTGCTAAAAGATAAAGTGATTATATGAGCTTCAGAGTATGAGCTATCTTTGATACTGCATTGATATCGCGAGATAAGGCTGTCTGGGTGGTGCTGTGTTGTGTTGTGCTATACGTGTAGATCTTACGCAAGTCAGCCTCCAAGGGCCTATCTCAGGAAACCTCGAATGCGACCACTATATGTATGTTATGGTCACGTACTCAGCATTAATATACTGTTGTAGCCAAAGACACATTCGGCTGGTTTAATAATTAACACACCTTCCCAATACGCCACTACTGTGCTGGACGATGCACGGTGTTGGTAGAAGGCTGATCCATCCAAAAGAGCTCATGACAAAAGCTCCACGGTCGGTATTCATTACTCGAAAGTACTGCATCCTACAGCATCTGTTTGACCTCTTAACCAATAGGATCTGCAGCTGCCCAGATGCCGTTGGATGGAGGAACCTTCCCCAAATTGGCGGAGGACTTCGAGCATACAAGAGCAGCCAATAATATGTAAACCTAACCAACAAGGTACTGATGTGATTGGTGATTTGTCAAGGTCTATGCTGATTTTGCAGCTGGCCGACTTGAGTCTGAAGAATTGTACAGCACCAGATGAGCACGTCAAGCCGTTTCACCACTTGTGGTGGTTGAAGACTGATGATGTACAGTACAAACACATCCTAGACCTGACTTTGACTTTGCACGACCTCAAAAGGCTTCGGCTCGAGGGTGTTTTGACCGATTGACTGCCCCTAATGTTCTCATGACGAATTCGAGTTATCCGCACAAGACCATGGAGAAGTCCCGCCACTTACTGCGTACGCGTTTTTGATATCGACCACAGATCCATAGGTTCCACCAATCATCAAAAAGAAACCGGAGACAATCACAAAGACACTCCAAGCCACCATGGCATACCACTTACCCGTTCTTGCATTGTGCCAGTTGTCGTATAGCCACATGGCGCCCATCGGTTGGAAGCACATAAGAGTGCCGAGGAGCGCACCGATAAGCGAGACTAGGCCACCAAAGACAGGAATTGCACTTGCGATAATGTATGAGATAATTGTAGTACCGAGTGTGCATCCCAGCCAGGTGGCCCAATGCCGGAAAGTAGGGTCTGTAAGATGATACGAACCTCGCAACATGCGGACAAAGACGTATTTTGCAGCAATCTGGGAGTCATTAGCCATCTTCGATATAGCCTAGAGATATCTACTTACGTGTACGAAGAGGAGGGTACTGACGCACAGACCCGGCAAAGCTAGGCCATAGCAGACCTTCTTCAAAAGGATTCCTGCCGACCCAAGTGCTGGTGATGCAACAAAGCTTCCACAGTAGTAGTATACCACAACACCAATCACGATATAAGTGACGGCCACGACGGACTGACAAAGTAGAAGTGAGCGGGTGTATTGCTTTGGTACACGCATCTCAGATGCAATTTGGAAGAAAGCAGGTGTACCGGCCCATGCGAAAACGATGGAAGAGCAAGCTGAAATCGCTGACTCGAAGCTTGGATGGCCAACGGCTTTCCAGTTGGATTGGAAAGGACCTGGTGGGGCAGCGGCAGGTTTATCTTGAACACCCACAGCAATTGTCAGGGTAAAAACTATAGATTGGTTGTCAGATTGTGTACAACGAGAAGTTTCAGAGCGTGACTTACTCGCGGTCAAAATGGAGACCGTGCCAACCCAAGCCAACCACGAGACTTCATGGAGGGTCTGAATACTTCCGAGGGTAAAGCCAATAATAGCTGCAACCGCGACAAAGATAGCCGTACAAGCTCCGTGACTCGATATGGCGTTGAATGAGATTGATATCCCCAGCATACCCGCTCCGGCAACGAAGATCCAAACTATAAGAGGTCATTATTGAGAACACAAATAGTGACACGCACAGAGTAATACTTACATAAAACAAAAACAACATAGAAAAATTCTCTCCCAGCCTTACCAAAAAGCTTGTATCCCACATCATCGATTCCGTAAACTGACGGATGGTTTTCCTTGAAAACGCCGATAATATAGTTCGACCACGTTGTGATTATCCCGATCGCAACCACTACGACAAGTCCCGGTCCCATTCCTAGTGTGTCTAGAACAGAGGGAATAGATAGAACACCCAACCCAATTTGCGTCTTGATCATCAACACGGCAGTTCCAAGCCATCCGACCTAAGCAAGTTAGTACCTCGATAATGCCAGTGTTTTGGACAGCTCACATTTCGGTAGTTAGGACCGTCCTCCTTGATCTCACCGAAGATGTCGTCAACGATCGAAATGCGACGACCTTGGGTAGACATCCGCCTCTCACCGGGAGGGATGACCTGATAAATTGAACCCCGCCTGACATCCGAAGGATGGGGCTCTCCACTGTAATGGACAGCTTCACCGTAATGGGCATCTTTCTCGGATGTTGTGGTCGCCATGTTGAGAGATTAGAGATTAGAGATTGTTACTACTCAACAAGGTCGTATTTACCAAGTGAAGCAAGCTCGGAGTCAGAGGAGCGGGCGAAGCTGCCATATAAACACCTACGAGCCGGTTGCTAGGTCGGCCAAAATTGCCAGCAAGAAGTTCACAAACCAAACTATGTCGTAATGATAATCCAGTGGAGTTGAGCGATCTCCAGCTACTCTCCCCGCCGGAAAGTCCTCGGTCTTGGCACCGCATCACCAAGATCACGCTTGAGGCTATACAATCGCTGCGATTATCAACGAATAGTGAATTAATAGCGATGCATCGATAGAGTGATTCATTGAGGATCTATAACGCTGGCTTAGCCGTTAGAATAATTCCGCCACTATCTTGTCTACATAGATGCGGCCGTAGATGCGGCAGTAGATGCGGCCGGTGGCTTGATTGGCTACACCGAGGACTTTCCGGCGGGGAGAGTACCGCTTCCGCTTGGGCAAGCCCTCATAAGTTCTTTGAGGGGTCCTGTCGCTGAAACTTGCCAGCCAAGCCCACTTGCGGAGGTGGCTTGATCTTCGCTATACGAGGAGTCAATCCACAAATCTGGAGGCTAGTCTAATCGGGATGCCCACCCGGAGTCTGGGGATTTGGTATGCTAGGCTCCTCATCCGTGGCTCCACTCAACCCATTGTGACTAGGAAAGCTCCCCAAGGCTGAATTATGACGCCGGAAACGACTCACAATAACTCGTGCGACCACTATTTTAGTGTCGTAATAGGTCGGTCCGCTTACCCTTATTTAGCTAGTCCGCCAGTCCGCTAGCTCTATCTTAGCTAGTCCGGCGGTCCGGAGGTCTCGGACGAGGACGGACCGACTGATAAGCACCCTGCCTCCAAGTTGAATGTAAGATGCCTCTATACCGATCGATTGCGGTCAACTTTAGTCGATGCCTGCGAGCGACAATTTCCCCCAGACGCTTCAGATAAGTGCCCGTTCTGCGGAGACCACCTTAGCTCTCGCGATCAAATTCGAGACCATATAGGCCACCATCAAACCCATCTAGCTATCAGAGCTTTGCCCGGGGAAGGTTCAGAGAGATCCGATACGGATTTTGAGCTTGTCCGGAACAAAATCTTCCCGCGCCCGCTGTCGGCGGACGAGACCAGAGACACACTAGGGTTGATCGTCCCATCCATTCCGCCTCCGTGGAAGATAACGGAGGGCACCTTTTCTGTAACGGCGAAAGCGCTGACGGAGGTCTCTAGCCGGATTGAAGACAGGTAAGCGACACAGAAGAATGCTTCAACGCCACTGCTAAAGATCAATATCAGGTTCCGGTCATACTTCGACGTACTCAATATTGTACCGTCCATTCCACAGAGGAGCGACCTCAAAGCAGGGATGGCCATCTGTAAAGGATGTCAAGACTTCAAGAATCGCCTGTTCGACTCGAAGCGTTTACAAGAAGGGCACATTGCCATCCACAAGAACTTTGCGGAGCTGTCAAATTGTGCAGACACCTCTTGTGATCTGTGCAAGTATATTCGTCGCGAATTCTACTACTACTCAAGTGACCATGAAACTTACGAGTTCAACGACGAAGACCGTCAGGATGTTCACAGCAACATAAATGTCAATCTGTTTCTACTTAGTCGGGAAACACCTAAGGATCACACGAACATAAAGAATAGATGTTGGCAATTTTTTCTCGGGCGACGGCCACGTCCTTCCCGTTTCGAAGCCCACAATGACTACGTGGAGAATAGGTCGTGGAACCGGCGAATCCTAGGAGACAAGGTCTGTCTCGATCGACTACTGGTCTTGTCCCGTCAGTGGCTAACGACCTGCATTTCTGAGCATAAGAAATGTGGTCCTCAAGCTGGGAATGAACCTGCCTTCCTTCCAACTAGGCTCTTAGATGTCGGTCAGCCGGGACAGCAATCGATACGGCTAGTCATTTCTGAAGACCTCCCAAAGAGCAAGAAGAATGAATACGCCACCCTCAGCTACTGCTGGGGTGAAGCAAAACACGCAGCTTGTACCACAAAGGAGAATCTGGTAGAGAGACTGACTGCAATCCCCGCGGGATCAATGCCCAAGACGTTACAAGAAGCCATTAAAATCACTCGTGCCTTACGTGTGCGGTACTTGTGGATTGATGCACTTTGCATTATGCAGGTCAAGGAAGGAGAGAATGAAGACTGGCACCGCGAATTTCCCAATATGGGCAAGATATTTAGGCACTCATTGTTCACAATTGCAGCGAGTGGCGCGGAGAGTAGCAGTGTGGGATGTTTTTACCGGAGAGAAGCATCCCGTTGGCCGGTGCAAAATTACTTCCTCGTCGACGAGAACAGACCACCTGGGCCAGACAATCCTGTGATACTGGAAGCCACCCTACCAAACTGGAACATCGCAGTGGAGCACTCGGCACTTGCTAAGCGTGGATGGGTCTTGCAAGAACGTATGCTCGCATCGCGCACGCTGTTCTGGACCGAAGACGGTCTGTTCTGGGATTGCAGCAAGTTAAATGCCTCCGAATACGAGGCCAAGCTGCTGTACTCCAACAGGAAGTTTCCAATGCTACGTGAACTAGTCGAGAGCGTTAAAGAATACAAATACAACAGCAGGTATGAACAAAAGGTCTGGACCAACGTTCTGGAGGAATTCTCCCAAAAGGCGCTCACAGTGGTCACGGACAAACTGCCAGCTATCGCAGGTTTAGGGAGTGAACTCTCTAGACTCACTGGGCAGGAGTTTGAGATGGGCGTTTGGAAGCACAACTTGGTGCAAGAGCTCGCTTGGGTGGCGGACTTCTCTGTATTGGGCAAGAGTGTCCCCGTTGATCCGCAAGCAGCTCGATTACCGAAAACGCCCTCATGGTCATGGGCATCAACACATCAGAAGCTGCATTTCAAGCCTGGGCGCTGGAATTCGGAATGTGAAGAACTGGTCACAATCGACTTAGTGTCCGTTCCAAGCGTTTCGGTCAATGCGCAACAACTTCGAGTTCGCGGCCGGCTAGGAGAGTTACGTGTTAGGAAGAGGAGGACAAGAATTGCATTGTCGTATGAGCTGGTGTATCATCCTACCCGATGCACATTCGAGCCAATCAGAGCTGAACCAGATGAGGACTCATATAACAAGAAGGAAGTTGCAGTGCTGGACACGCTTGCAGACGCGCTTCCTGAGGAGGGCGGAACTATTAGGTGTCTCCGATGGATGAAGTGGAAGGATATCCTCAGACGTTCGAGCCTTGAAGAGGAAACACGTTATCACGAGGTGACCGGTGCCATGATTGTGTCGCAGGTTGATAAGAAAGAGAATATCTATCGCAGAATAGGCTGGGTGGAAGTCGTGGATGACGATTTCTTCAACGAGGAGAACGAGACCATCATCCTCGTCTGAACAAAAATTCCATGCTCGTTCAACAGTGTTGCCAGAAGTTCGATTGACTCTGGAGTTGATCCACTCGATCTCTGACCGCTCGAGTGAGTAGACTCTGGATCCAATCGACGATTCAGTCGGGCTAGCCGGCTTTGGAGTATCCAAACCGTGTTATATTATTTAGTTGGCGGTGATTGGATAAAGGGAGCTGGCAGGGCTTTGGGATGGTGGTGATTGGATAAGGGAAGGATGCGGAGGTTCGTGGATACTGCTTTACACCCTAACCCTAAACGGAGGGGGTAGGGGGGTCTAGCGTTGACGTTGTAATGGCGGTTGAACACGTGGCGATAAGTCAGATAGGATATTAGAAAACGAGGTTCAACACCAAGACCCGTGACCATTTTAACTATAAACGGCTAGCGGGACGGCACGTGATGAGCGTGGAGTAATCCAGAGTCGAGCTGGATAGATCGATTCAGGGTCAGCTCGAGTCTAATCGAACTTGTGGCATCACTGTCGTTCAATATTTTTGTCTTTGATACTTTCGCTTGTGTAACACAGCTTGGTTCATTCATCTTTTCCTGTCTGGTCCGTTAGCTGTAGCTAGGCCTCGTTGTCCAGATCCAAACCCGTGGTTAGTGTAAACACCTCACCCGAAAGAAGACTCTTTCTTCACAGGTTTGCAAAAGGACTAGTGAAAGTCTAGGCCGGATTATCTCTCATCGTCGAGAACACGCGATGAAGGGTATGAAGCCATACAGCCTGAGCGATGCCAACCAACCTTAGCAATTAGACCATGGTGAAGGATCTCGACGACAATCGCCTTCCAACATGTTCAACCTCCAGCTTACGGTTCTAGATCTAGCTTCCTTCGCTTAAATCAGCTCGCATGCATATCGCGGTGCTTCGCGCTAGATGCCACGGCGAGATTCTCGCCCACCCTCAGGCACGAATTCTTGGTAGCACAGACGCAAGCTTCAGCCTAATCAGGATAAAAGAATCAGTTTAAGCCCTATAGACCGAAAGACTTCTCTAGAGTCATGAGAGATTGTTGTCGCTCGTTTAATCATTGCATAAATCCTATGGATCTTCTGGCTGGTGGAAAACATAGCCATGGCACGCGACTAGCGACCACAGGATCAGAGTGTCCGGACGCACATTTTGCAAGCGATAGTATGTAGCAGGCCTGGCCCCACGGGGTAATTTTTCCGCAGGGCCCCGCGTTGATGCGCAACTTTGACGACGATTGGTGGAAATACCCAGCAAACTTCCTCTCGCACTTTTCATGTCAAGATCGTGCAAGGATGAGGATAGCGTATCCGCCGCGGTGATAAGATTCGCGATAGAGATCGCCCACGATATATATGTACATATTTCGCTCCTGTACGCAACGTCAAACAGAGTCAAAGGATATCTCGATATAAAGGTCCTTCGATCTGCAAGATCGTGCAATTAATCATGACGCTATTTACGTTAAGCGTTCCGATATGCACTCTTCTCGTATCCCTTTTCACGAACGCGGTTGCAATGCCAGCCAAGCAAGTAAAGGTCAAACCGCCTGCGTTCTTTCTCGCCGGAGACTCAACGACTGCTGTGCAGGCAATCAATGGTGGAGGTACGTTAATGGCCCTGGAAGTAAGTGCACCAAGTGGATGCTGATGATACACAGGCTGGGGCAATGGCTTCCTCAACACAACCCTACACAACGGTGCTACGGGCAAGAACTTCGGCCACAATGGAGCAACCACAGTATCGTTCCGTGCAGGTGGCGACTGGGCCAATGTTTTGAGCGCGGCTACGGCCGCAGTACCAGAATTCACACCTTATGTGACTATACAATTCGGCCACAACGACCAGAAGCCCGAGAAGAACATCAGCATGGCACAACTCACTGACAACTTGGTCGCTTTTGTCAATGAAGTACGCGCAGTATCTGCTACGCCGATCCTCGTTACTAGTCTGAGCAGACGCCGTTTCAATAACGCCACCGGTCTAGTGACGGAAAATTTGGCTGATGTAACGGCTGCGGCGAAAGATGCTGCGAAAAAAAGTGGCGCAAAGATCATTGATTTGAATGCTGCGAGTACCAAGTACTTGAACGCAATTGGGGCAGCGAATGCTGCGACATACAATCTTGCCCCGGCGGACTTTACGCACTTGAACAACGAGGGAAGCGTGGTGTTCGGTAACCTAGTAGCTCTTCTCATCAGTGAACAGCTGCCTGAGCTGAAGAAGTGGGTGAAGGCGGAGGAAGGGATTTCGAAGGCACTAAAGAAAGGTCAATATGTGTTTCGGGAATTCATTCATGTGTAGCTGCGAAGGGCAAAGGCAGGGGGAAGGAAAATGGCAAGATAAAACGAAAGGATAAAGAAAAGGGAAAGGGGGCTCAGGTTTCTGCTAACAGCCGGGCTGCCAACAACAGCGGAGCTGCTGACAGAGTTTCCACTGGTGCTGGCGGTGCTAATGGCGCAGCACGAAATAGTGGAGCTGCTAAAGGCGCAACTGGAAACGGCGGGGCGGATAATAGACGTGTAGTAGGCAACGGTGGAGCGAGCAGCAGAGCAGGCAGCGGACAGGGAACGCCCCAGAACGGCGGCGCATGCAACAACTGAGTAGCTAAAGGTGCAAAAGCAACTCCACCGGCGGTCGGAGCCGCTAAGGAGTAGAGGCCGCACGCGTCGGACGCAGTAGTGATGAGCTGGGGAGTTAGAAGGCTGGAGACGAGAGCGGCTGTGGGGAGCGTACCTTACTCAAGCCTGGTGAAAGGTGTAAATAAGTGCGTCAAACGGATATCTGCAATTTTTAGCAAGCGGCTAAGCTATCGAAATCGGACGTTCTAGCGGCAGGCCTCCAATCAATATGGAATATTGAGCACCATCGCGTTGAAGTTGTTACAGGGGGTTTCCAAAGTGCTGTGAAGGGGAGACAATAGCTATGCTCTTCGTAGAAGCCCCAGTTCGGGATCAACTTTCACCTAGCCCCCTGTCATCAGATGGGAACGAGAATAGCAGAGATGAGGGGTGCTGTAAGTACATATAGAGAGCGCCCGCAGCGCCACATTGTATGAGGCAGGACGGACACACACACCAAGTAAGAACCAAAGGCCTATGTAGCTCATATGTAGACGGACACGTCGCTCTGAGATTTGGAGAATATATATAAAGCAGACCTGAGCGCATCAAAGTAGACATTGATTCGCATCCAAAACTTGGTATTTATCCTCTACGAAGTGGTCCTTGACAAGATCCATATACAATGCGGCATGAAAGAGGGCAGCCGAAAATATTCGCCAATAGATAATCGGACAAAAAATAGCCGCTAATTTGCATTGGATATGCGGGGTTCTGACGTCGGGTGGATCGGAGAACTAGAATCTCTTTGGATCTTCGTAGGGCATCGCTACTGGATTCGGCGGGATTTCGCCGACTGTAGTGGGCGGTGGTCCCTGGTAATTCTTATGACCCCAGATAAAGTACCAGGCGGACGAGATGACAACAAAAGCGACGAAGACTACGCTGGCGTAGTTCATCGTTGTCAGAGTGACGGGGATGTATGATGGCATACAGAAGAGCGGAATCACGAGTAAGCTCCAGCCTGTGTATGAAATGATTAGCGTTTCCAGAACACAAGCAGCAGTAAGGAGGGTGAGATGGGAGACGCTCACAGATAGCAATGATGTTGCACACCATACCAACAACACCCCAGTTGAAGTGGCCGTTCTTGATTTCTTTGCGGCCACCAAGTAGAGAAACAGCAATCGGAGTCGCATAACTGACAGTTAGGCAAATGACGCCGACACCGGAGAAGGCGTTGAATGCGGCGACAGAGCCGAAGTAGATGAGTCCGAGAAGGATCTGCACCGCCATGCTGAGCATCATAGCATTCAGCGGGACGTCGAGTTTGTGGTTGACCTGCTTCCACCACTTGGAGCCGGGAATAGCCCCGTCACGTGCGAAAGCCCAGGTGCAGCGCGATGACGCGGTCGTGCAGCCTATGCCGCAGAATATTGCGAGCACAAGGAGAGGGATCAAGAGAGCGAATGCACCCCCGGAGTTGCCAACCGCTAGCTTGATGATAGTGGGAATGGGCTGGCCAGAGGGTAAGGCGATGAGTTCCAGAACGTCAGGAAGGACAAAAACCAGAGGGATTAGGAAAAGAAGGCCGGCAAGGGTATTAAGCACAACGGTTCCCACTATGGCCTTGGGAACTTGAGTGGACGGCTGTTGCACCTCTTCGCACATACTGTTCTCATAAGTAGCTCTTCACGAGAATGGATTAGAAGTGGTGCTGTACTTACGAGATAACCATCCCAGTAGACGATGTGGCGTACGCCGCATGCAACAAACCCACACAGAACGACCAACCGGGAGTCCAGCCGGAGTTGGGTTCGAAATGTGTAAAGACATAATCCGCACTGCGCCTGCCATTCCTCCCGAGGACTAGGATGGTAACAATGATCGCTAACACGCCTACGAAAGTCCAGAAGATGGCAAAAGTCTGAATATCGCCAACCTTGTCAGCACTATCACTTAGCCGTTCTTATCAATGCAGTACTGACGTCCAAAATAGGCAGCCACCTGTTACCGAGCGACGAGACGGCGTTGCAGAGTAGGGTGATGCCAAGGAAGATAAGATAAACTTGATACGTCTCCGCCTGGAATATGCCAACGCCAGGCTCCGACTCGAAGACGTTGATACAGGCGATAAGAAACAGTGTCGTTCCAAAGTTCACGGCCAGGGTAATAGTGATGTTTCCGACCACGTATGCCCAGCCACAGATCCAAGACGCGATCCTCTGAACCGATGGAGGGGACAGCATGAACGTTTGATAGTAGACGCCACCAGCGGTGGGATAAACGGACGTAATCTCGGCCAGCGAGATGGCGACGCAAAGGATGATGAGCGATACGGCCAGCCAGCCCCAGATAATGGTTACAGGTCCGCCGCCGACTAAAGGGTAGAAGAAGGTCGTCGCCAACCCGTATGGGATAGCAGCGAGGACGAAAGACATGAAGGCCACCTGCAGCGTTGATCGGCTTCGAACCAATTCAGGCTGATAGCCCATGGCCTCTAGGAGGGCATCAGCTGAGCTGGTTTCGGCGTTTTCAAGCTCTCGGTCGCGATCAGAGCCCAAACTTCCCAAGCGGGAGCTTCTGCGACGATGGGTCGCATATTCGAAGTCGGCATGGCCCGTATAATGGGCCGTCGAGGCGGTTGGAGCCATCCGGATAGAAGGTCGAACGGTGGAGGCGGGCGGTTCGGCGGATGAGGAGGGGAAGGAAAAGAAAGGGTCTCAGGGACTTAACGTAGGCCAGGAAGTTTTCTATGCCACGGAGTTTTGCGCGATTTAACGCGACAAGGCTAGCGGCTTGATATATCAAGGAAGGCGCTTCGAAGGCCTGGTCTGGGCAAAAACGTGACAGCGCCGATGACTAGAGGGCCCAGATCGTGCAAAACTCCGTGGCGTGGAGAACTTCTGGCTTACGCTGAAGAGGCTGAGGCTCGCAAGAGATTGGCATAGGCGCGGAGCCAGGGCCTCGGGTTTCCGACTGAAAGGGCCCTACACGTGTACGGCAATGCCGGACCGAGCTACTACAAGGGGGCGTGGGGGGCTGCATGAGCGGGCTGGTGAGCGCCCCCGGCTAGCCTTGTGCTTTTCTGCGGAAGGTACATACGAAATGTACCACGCTACTCAGAAACGCTACCAGCCCGGTCGTGCAGCCCGCTTCTGTAAGGTCCATATGACGCACTATGAGACACCGATTGTTTTTACTATTAGCGAATTTGGAGCCGTCCCCGTGGCACGGGATGGCTAAGCGCGAGCCGAGGGTGCTTGGCGCCTAAGTAGAGCAAACCATCCGATTAACCCGCGGAAATACGACTTGGGAGACAAGACTTGCTGACGTACGCTCTAGATAAGAAGGCAAAGCTCATATGCACTACACAAGAGGACTGTTCGTGACGGGACGTGCGATAGTATTCCAGATCAGTAACACCGCGCGCTAGGCATTCTAGTAAGCGCTTAACCCATTCTTTAGATCTCAGTATATAGACGTCAAATACGCATCACGCATCAAAGACCCATAAGCCCGGGGGAGCAGCTTCATTCCACTCAGCGAGCCTATACTACAAACAGCTCACAGACGACTCTGCTCATGCCTGTGCCTTGCACCCTCATCGTCCGGCGCAGTACTCGCTGGGCCCGGCAGAGCAGATGACGAGCCATCCGCTGCTTCGCCCACATCAGCCGCGCGCTCCTTCCCCTTTGCGGTCGACGTCGGCCTGCTTTCGCCGCTATTACTCGCCGCTGCAGTATGGCTCGCGTCTCCATCACTCTCTCTCGTCTCGCCCGCCGCCGCCCTCTCCCTTCCTTCCGCCTCCTCCTTCTCTCTCGCCTCCCGTTCCCTCTGCTCCGCCTGCTCCGCCTGCTCCGCCTGCTCCGCCTGCTCCTCCTCAACCCTCCTCCTAACCGCCTCCTCCGCCTCCGCCGCATCTCTAGCCGCCAAAATCCTCTCGCCCATGCCTGGAAACAGCGATGCAATGAACAGTGCAACAGCCCTCTCGACATGCCGCAGCTGCAGCCTGATCCACGCTCTCTGATGTCCCGCTTGATCCGCTAAGAGGCGCGCGGCCGCTTGTTCGGGCGTTGGGTCCCGTGCTTGTGCCTGTGTTTGTGCCCCTGCCTGCGGCTGTCCACCACCCCCGTCCCTTCCTGCCGCCTCTCCCAACAGCTCCTCCCAGTACCGCCTGATGCCCTCGAACCAGCCCCCGTTGAACCCAATCTGCATAAGCCAGATCCCAAACCCAATGAGCGCAACAAGCGCCGGTCTAGTCCAGCTTGAGCCACCGGCGAAGAGGTAGACGAAGCCGAGGAGGCGGACTAGGAGCCAAAGGTTGCTGGCGACTTGGTTGAGGAGGTTGGGCGGCGCGTTAGGATCGGCGGGCGGAGGTTGGGGCCGCGGTTGGTGGAGCGGGTCGCGAGGAGGTATCGGGTGGAGGCCTGGGCCTCTGATGCGGCGGATGACGGCGTTATTTGGTTGAGGGCGTGGGGCGGGTTGCGGGTTCGGCTGGGCGGGTTGTGGAGCATCTGCCGGCGCAGCTGCAGGAGCTGTGGGGCGGTCTTGGACATCGTTCAACCAGGGAAGCGGGATGTGCTGGAATCCCTCTTCTCCAGCGTTGGCTGCGCCGTCGATTTGCGCCGGTTCGGAGGCTAGGTCGCCGGATGCGGGCTCTGGTGGTGGATCGTAGCCGTAGAGCTCATATTGCAGCTCTCGGATCTGCGCCTCGACGTCACGTAATGAGGGAGCTGTCGCGATTTCGCTGAAGGTTGACCAGGGCACGGTGGGAGTGGTGTACTGCCCGGTAGGGCCGATGACGAGGGCGCGCGGACCTTGCGGGCTGCAGAGGAGGTAGATGGTTGGCAGGGTTGTTGGAAGCGTGGCTGTTTCGTCGACTGGTGCAGGCATGAGTGGGTCGGCGGTGGTTGGGTTGTTGTTGCCTGATTGCGAACTCGTCGGCTGGGTGTTGGCAGAGGGTTCACCATTTAGCATAGACTGAGCATTCGAGTCGGATTGGGTGTTCGGAGGTTGCTGTGACGTGGAGACTGTCACAGTCGGATTAGTGCTTTGAGAAGTGGACACGTGGTTTGTATCGCCACTCGGTTGCGGCGCCGGTTGAGGCTGAACAAGGTTTTGCATGATTCCCCCTGCTTGTGAACGCAGGGTGTTGTTCAGCATCTGAAGCGAAACAATGTCGCGATGTTGCGCATACTCTGGGCTGCCGACTAGAGCGTTCAGACTGGCTTGCATCAAATTGAGATTCCGCAGTAGGTTCTCGGCATGCGCCCGCATGTGGTTCTGATAGCCGGTGAGCTCCGCAGTTGGACTCGCGTCCGCTGGCCGCGGTATGGCTTGGATCAGATTCCGAATGCTCTCCAGCTCTTGATGCGCCTGGTCTAAATTCGCCCTAATCCGCTGCAGATCACCTCGATCGGACCTGGCAGGTGAGCCCGCTCGCCTGAAAGGAGGCGTGTTTCCATAGATAGGAAGAGGGGGAAGTCCGAGGCCGATCGGTGGTGTGCCTGCTCTCAGGCCTGCTGCGAAGTTCGGCAGGTGTGGGAATTGAGGCATGCTAGCTCCATGGGGGGGCATTGCGTTGGGCGCCGGCATTCCCATTGTCGTGTTGTTCACGGTCACGACGAACCTTTCGCCATTTGGGCCAACCATTTCGCGCGTGAAGCTGCTTGTTGTTGGCGGCGGATGAGGCGTGGTAGATCCATTTTGACGAGGTGTTGGGCTTCGGCCTGCAATTGGAGCCGGTGTGCCTTCGCCTCCGGCCGTAGACGCGGTGGTTTGGGCCGAACTGTCACTTGCGGTGGTCGAGCTGACACCCTGCATGCCCGCTGCAGCCCTGTTTTGCTGCTGCTGGTTGACGAATTGCTGAAACGTGCTCTGCGGTTGTTGTGGCTCTGATGTGGCCGTTGAAGCTGGCGCAGACGCTCCGTTTGGTTGCTGCGGCGCTGACGGTGGTGCGGGTCGATGCATGTGAGCTTGCTGGTGCGCCTGCGCTGCCGCGACCCCTTGCTGGAAGATGCTGTTGATTTCGGGTGGTATCGGAGGGAAGCCACCGGGTGGAGCGCCAAAGAGGGACGGAAATGGCGGAGGTAACGGGTGGTGATGGTGAGGGTGAGGGTGGGGATGGGGATGGGGATGGGGGTTTAAATGGGCATGTGGACCTGGTGGTTGCGACTGCGGTCTCGGTGCTGTTGTCCGTGGTCGGAAGGGGTTGGTGGGCTGGCCCGCTGGGGAGGCGGCTGCAGAGCGAAACGGATTCGGAGCCGGTGTAGAGGATTGAGAGCCTGGTGCGCTGGCGGAAGGACCAGTCCTTTGAGAGGGACTCGGTTCGCGGAGGACGAGGTGTAGCGTATGCGCTTTGGATTGCTGGATCTGGGCATCCTGTCAGCCTGCCCAAGGGCCGCTACAGAGTTGCATGTACGCATAACCATACCGCTTGCTCTCCGAAGACGTTCAGTAAGGTGGTGTCGTTGTCCGCCAGCACATGTCCTCTGTATATGAACCTCTGCCGGTCCAAAGTCGGATGAGAGGCAATGGTGTCCTTGATCCTGAGCTTGACTTGGCCGACCGTTGTCGCCGCTGGTAGGGAAGGAAAGTTGAGACCACTCTCGTCAATCTCAGTCGACGGCGAGACCACTTTCAGATCGATCAGCAACGCTGAAGGAGCTGACTGGGAGGCTTCGGTGGTGTCGGCCATGGTGAAGGGTAAGTAATTGAGGCTGGGTTGCGGGTTGCGGTCTGACAACGGACGTTATGGGCGAGCTGTGTGCATTGGGCGAGCCAGAGCGACCAGCAGCCCCGTCAAGGGAATGGATGCTGTGTCTAGGTACGTGTGGAATGAGTGTATGAAGCTCTACGAAGCTCCATCCAACAAACAACGTCGCCTGTCAGACGCGGCCACAGCTCGGGACGGGAAAGAGCTTCTTTCCTGTCGTGCCAGCGTCATCGCCCGCTCCCGCGACATCTGCATCTCTCCGCCTCTCAATCCACGACCATAACAACACGCCCACGCTCCCGGTCAATGGCCTCTCCACCATGACAACGCTTTATCTGACCCGTCCGCATCTCGCTGTGCGCTCAGCACGGCAGATCGCCCACCACGAAGCCTGCTGCGTGGCCCGGCGCATAGCTCCCCGCAATGCTTCCTTCTTTGCATACCAGCCCTCGCGGCACTTCAGCGCGTCGAGGAACCGGTTGCAGCAGCAGCAACAGCAACACAGGAAAGAGTCATTTGGGTCAAGGCTCCGAGCAGCCCTCCGGAGTACGAAGGTGGAATGGAAGCCGATTCCTGTAGGCCTGGGTATTGCCTCGCTGGGGGTACTGCAGTTCTATCGAATACAGCGGCGAGAACAGGCGAGGCAAGAGGAGGAGGCTAGACAGACTGCAGGCGGTGAGGGTGGGCAGGATGGCGGCAAGCCGAAGAAGAGGCAGAGGGTGCGGCCAACTGGTCCATGGTAAGTGGGCAAATATCTATACCTGAAATTCATGCTAACGGCCCCCCAGGTCCGTCCAAATCATGTCCACCCTCCCCCTTAAAGCTCTATCACGCCTCTGGGGCCGCTTCAACGAGCTCGAGATCCCCTACTACCTCCGCGTGCCCGGCTTCAAGCTCTACTCCTTCGTCTTTGGCGTAAATCTCTCCGAAGTCTCAGAGCCCGACCTGCACGCCTACCCCAACCTCGCCTCGTTCTTCTACCGCACCCTCAAGCCCGGCGTGCGCCCTCTAGATCCCAATCCGCACGCCGTACTCTCGCCCGCCGATGGCAAAGTAATCCAGTTTGGCACAATCGAGCACGGCGAAGTCGAGCAAGTAAAAGGCGTGACCTACTCCCTCGACTCCCTCCTCGGCTCGCAAAAGCCCAAGACATCCGGCACGAGCACGCCCTCCGGCAACACAACCCCCGACACCAACATCGCCTCCTCTCCGCAGTCGCCGCAGCCATCATCAGAGAGAAGCAAAGAAGGCTCCGCCGAGGTGATAAAGGACGACGAGGAGTTTGCGCAAGTAAACGGCATATCCTACACCCTCCCGAACCTCTTCTCCGGCGACCTGTCCTCCTCCACCACCACCCAGACCCCCGCAACCGACCAATCCACCGCCGCCTCCCCCTCCTCCGAGTCCGAAGTCCGCGCCGACCTCGCCCTCCGCGCCTCCGAGCAGCCATGGTGGGCCCCCTCCTTCACCAAAACCCCGACCGCGCTCTACTACTGCGTCGTCTACCTAGCTCCGGGGGACTACCACCGCTTCCACTCGCCCGTGAGCTGGGTCGTCGAATCACGGCGGCATTTCGCTGGGGAGCTGTACTCCGTGTCGCCGTACCTGCAGCGCACGCTGCCAGGCTTGTTTACGCTAAACGAGCGCGTCGTGCTGCTTGGAAGGTGGCGGTGGGGTTTCTTTAGTTACACACCAGTCGGAGCGACGAATGTGGGCAGTATTGTGATCAATTTTGACAAGGAACTTAGGACTAATAGTCTGTTGACTGATACGGCGGCGGATCGGGCGGCGGAGGAGGCGGCGAGGAGGGGGGAGGCTTATAGTGGGTTTGCGGAGGCCACGTGAGTTTCTTCCCTGTTTCCTTTTCCCCACTTCCCACTTCCTACTCCCAAACTCCCCCGCCCTTCCCATCCTCCAGACTCTCCCCGCCCCGACCAACATCCCCAGAACCCCAAGCTAACCGCCCGTTCCTTAAACAGCTACGAATCCGCATCTCCTCTCCTCCGCGGCCACGCCCTCAAGCGCGGCGAGGAGATGGGCGGCTTCCAGCTCGGCAGCACAATCGTGCTTGTCTTCGAGGCGCCCAAGGGCCAGCGGCCGTCTTTCGACGAGGGATACCAGGAGGGGAAACGGGAAGGGCCCGGGTGGGAGTGGAATATTGAGCCTGGGCAGCATGTTAAGGTGGGGCAGGCGCTGGGGCAGGTCGTGGGAGTGTGAGGCTAGCGGAGCGGAGTGAAATGGCAGGGGGGCAGGGTGGTTAGATATGGGGGGGAGGGAGGAGCGGATACGAGGTGGGGAGGTGGGGATATGCACGTTTCTGTAAATAGTGGGGGATACTTGTGTAGGTGGGATGGGTTGTTACGAGGCGCATAGGGTATATCCCAAGTCGTCTTCGCGTTCAGCACCTATTATCTTTGGACTGTATATATGCATCGATAGGCGTGGCAACACAGATGTCTTTGCGCTGACGGTCCACGAACACCGCTCCTCCTCCCAAAACGGTGATACATGGAATTCCGCAGAACGCCGCTGTGGTTGGTTTCGATCCAAACCGCCATGCAGGTTGAAGACGTCTTGCTATTGGGCGTTGTGATGGATTAAAAGGCATCGTATCGATCCAAGGCGTTGTGTTGATCCAATCCGTCTTGAAGTCGAACGGCGTCATATGGCCGAAGGCGTGTTTGTTCAAGCCATCGTATCGGTCCAAACTGTCGTGTTGGTCGAAGCGACGGGGAAGGTCGAAGGCGACGGCTACGGCGAAGGTCGACGCCATCGACCAACTAACTGAAAGCTGCTGCGACATTCTACGCAAAACTCCGGTGTTACCGTATCAGGAAGGAGAGAGTTGTTTGCAGGACGACGGTGAAGGTAAAAGGCCGTTGCTGAGTCCTACGATACTGCTTTCATCATGACGCCCTTCAGCGTCACCGTCCGGTTTGTAGGTTCTCTCATCCCTGCCACATGAAAGCCATCGCGGTTGTTGCAGAGCTGTAGCGCTCAAGTAACGGCGACAGAAGGTTATTGGCCTAGATCGATCGAGGTACAACAGGCCAGGGTACCTGCACCAGACCAACTGGAATCGTAGCGGCGTTTTACGCAAGCTCCAGTATTACCACAGCCGGGCAAGTAGGGGTGTCCGTAGAAGACCGGTGAATGGGGACGTAGTGTCTTACACGCGGATCCTGAGGAAGCTAGTTCTACCTCTTCATTTGGTGAAGCAGTTTGGACATATAGCCATGTTCTCATGACGATTGCCATGAAGAGACCTGGGTAAATTATCAGCCAAAGGAGTACTGGTGAAGCGGTGGCAATCAGAGAAACGCACATTCAATATTCGTAGGAAATGTACTCGCTCCTCAAGTTCGGCAGCGTAATTCCTGCAGTCTATAGGTTTGTTACAGTCCACCAAACCCCACGCTCTTACTACAGATTGACTGGATACTTCGTACGTATTCTCTTGCCATACCTCACGAAGAGGAACGGGATTGGTATTAGGGCCGTGGCGATGAATCCTAACAATGAGTTTCCCCACCCGAGCCCCAGAGCGTTGTACATCTTCTGGCCGCCCAACGGCAACACGGCGGCAAAGACAGACCGCATTACCGTGCAAGCGGCCATGGCAGACGCAGCATGCAAGGTGAAGACATCGACAAGATACGTGTTTGGCGCCATCTGAAGCGGTCAGCCTACACCGTCTCAGATTACCTGAAGCGATATTCCGGCCGATCAGTAATGGCTATGATGTGACTTACAAACAGCATTAAGAGCCCAAATCCAACGATTCCCGTTCCGAGAATCGGTACAATCCAATGCGTCTGAAACTCCGCAGACCAGCCATACCAGAGAAGGCCAATGGGCATTGCGACGGCACCGGGATACATCAACGGCAGCCGGTGCTCCGGCTCGAAGTCACCTTTCCGGATATGTTTTTGTGCAGTCCGATTCCCCCAGACCGTGGTGAGCACCTGACCAATGATGGACCCTATTCCGAGGCCGAGGAACGAGAGACCGGCTGTTCCGGTCGTGAAACCGTAGTTGGTTACGAAAATGGACGTGAAGGTGCTGAAGAGGATGTAGAGGTACGCATACGCTACAGCAACATACAAAGATAAAAGAAAGACAATCGGTGAAGTAAAGAGCATCTTGCTAGGCCTGATAATGGAGAAGAGGAAGAGGTCTTTCGGACTAAGGCCGCTGTCCAGCGATGACTTGAGATGGGGGTTGCCGGTTTCTTTCTTCAACCTCGCGACCTTGTGGTTGAGGATTGCCAACCCATACGTCTCTTTCATGAGGAAGATTCCCGCTACAGTAATGACACCCGCCGCAATGGCGGTCACCCAAAAGACCCAGCGCCAGCCAGCCGCTTGGGTAAGGAATCCGCCCGCAATTGGTCCTATTATAGGCCCAACAGTTGGACCGCTCATCCATAAGGCCATGGCTGTGCCCCTCTGCTCTCTTGAGATCGTATCCGCGATAGTACCGCCTCCCAAGGCTAGGGGCGCCGAGCCAACGCTGCCAGCAAAGAAGCGAAAAGCGATGAGCATGTCAAGATTGGTGCTGAGGGCGCAGGCAACATTGAAAACTATGAAGAGGCAATTGCAGGCGTGATAAAGCGGTAGTCGGCCATACATCTCCGACAAAGGGGCAACAACTGGAAGCCGTCAGGTGACTGTACGAAATCCACGTAACTTGGGTATGCTTACCTAAAGGGCCAAATGCGAACCCAAGCACGTACACAGAGACTACGAAGCCTGCCAGCAGCTCGCTCGACGAGCCAAACTCTTCCATGATCTGCGGCACGCCAGGCGCGAACATTGCTGATCCCAGCGGAGTCAAGAAGGTGAAGCTGGAAACGATTGCTACTGTTCCCCATCTCTTGCTGGATGGCCAATTCAATGGGTTCTCCGGATCATCGTCGCCGTTCCACCCGATGACATTGGGGTTAGCTGCTTCTGCCGGCGCGTTGAATTCGTCACTGGGGCCGCTCTGGGAGGTGCGCGACGATAGTTCGCACTTCTCGATATCAAACTCTTTATCTAAGCCGTCCGCTCCTGGGCCTTTGATAATGCCGAGATTTGATGGAATGTCCGTGTCATGGCCCTCCTCGGCGGCTAGCTCCACTGCTTCGCTCTGGGCAGGGGCGGAGAGTTGGAAATCATGCCTGGCCATTACAAACGTGTAGATACTGGTCCTTACCTATCCTCGACACCCGCTTCGTAGCCGAGGACGCAGTCGAAACGTTACAATCGGTATGGATTTTTCTTTCAACCAGTGGCGGCGCTGTGCTCCCAATGATACATTCCCAAGCTCTTCCTTGAACGGCTTCCTCAGCAACAGACACGAAGCGCGAGGACACTCATAGCGGGAATGGAAGATGAGGGATTGGGAAAGGTTTACCACGGCCATCGCAGAGACGTGATAGCGAAGAATGCGGAGCAGTAAGCGGTTATAGCGGCACTTAGTGGTTTGGATGCAGCCAGCAGATCACTACAAAGACATCCACAGAGCCGCACGCATCTGCCGGTCTCTCCAGGTTTATGTCCTCGAGTAAATACGGATATGTTCCAGCATCCCTGGTCACAACTCAACACAACACCAAAATAGCTAGCTATCTAGGTACCTTACTTATCTGAATTCAGGCAAACCTCGAAAAGATGCTTAAGCAGACACCGCTCGGGAAGGGACCACAGCCGATCCGGGAAGCGGAAGTCATCCGCGCGGTTCCGCCATTACAAACATCACCTCGCCTCCCCTTCGTCAGCAACAATAGCCTCAATGTCGGCCATGTCGGCCATGTCGGCCATGTCGGCCATGTCGGCCATGTCGCTGATAGAAAAGTGGCCGACCCTGGCAGCATCAACTGAGCGGCCATGCCCATTCGAAAGTACTGGCTACTCCTGACCCAGCTCCTTCCGTTCAGCTTCTGTCGACAAGCCGCTACCGTGACTGCATTCGACACAGCTTCTCAGCAGCCATTCCACTTCTTAGGAAACACTTCTGCCTCAGCCACCATGCCTCGCGCTCCGGTGCTGTCCATATCCCATGGCGGGGGCCCCTTTCCCATCCTCGGCGATCCATCCCACAAGGCCATCGTGCACTCCCTCAGCACGCGGGCTCCCAAAATTCTTCGTCTCGGGACCGCAGACGCGCCTAGGGCTATAGTACTGGTCACAGCCCACTGGAGCGAGCGCAACCCTACCATCTCGAATGGCAAGAAGCATAGGCTGGAGTTTGACTATTACGGCTTCCCGGACGAGGCATACAAACTACGGTACGATGCGCCTGGGTCGCCTGAGGTGGCTGAAGAGGTGTTCAAAGTGCTTGAACAGGCTGGAATGAAGCCTGAGATGGACGAGGAACGAGGTATGCCACTATCTCTACGGCCCTCACATTGGGGCGGCGCCAGGGGGCGTGCTACGGCGATATGAACAACAGAGGACTAATAAACACACCCGCGCAGGCTGGGACCACGGTGTCTTCATCCCCATGCTTCTCATCAACCCGGCCGCCAACATTCCCATAGTACAAATGTCCGTCCTATCATCCGAGTCAGCAGCCGACCACTACCGGATGGGCGTCGCGCTGTCGAAACTGCGAGACTCCAACATTGCCATCATCGGATCCGGCTTCGCTTCCTTCCACAACCTGCGGCTTATGTTCAGCGGCATCATGAACGACCCAACGTTCAAGGGAAAGAATGATGCGTGGAGTGAGGCTGTGCTTGATGCGGTCACCACCCTGGATGCGGAGGAGAGGGGGTGGAAGATGGAGGCGTGGAGACAGTGGCCTGGTGCGTATGAGATGCATCCAAGAGGCGGCGCGGATCACTTCTTGCCGCTAGTAGTCTGCGCTGGAGCAGGCGGTGAGGGCAAGGCGGACAGCTACAAGGACGATTTCATGGGACTGGAAATGTATTCGTACTACTGGACATAGCAGGCCCGCAGAGACTGAGCTCAATTCTGTTGAGCTAGTTTGCAAGAGCTGGCAGCTCTTCATTTTGTGACCGAACGCCCTACGACTAGCTGAATGACTTCTCCTCCACTTAAGACTTGCCCGTGACACTCCTAGCGCCCTGCGAAGCCAGCGATAGGATCAAGCTCAAGGATACAGAGCGGCTTGGCTAACAGATTTTCATCTCCGAATTTCTTGCCAAGATCGCCGAAGAAGTCGCTCTTTTTGTGTGCCTCAAAGGCCTCCGAGTTCTTATACCTGTGTAGGGATGTGTCAATATACTGCGGGCTTGGGACAGTGTGGGCTTAAGGCGAGATAGAACACTCACGTCTCGATCATGACGAACTCAGGCGTGTCTTTCTTCGTCTCCTTGTGCAGATGATATCTGAGGGTGTTCTCTTCGTTCTTGTGGACGTAGTCGGCCAGGTTGCGGAGAAGCTCTTCGACCTAGAAGACCTAGATTAGCTTCATGGAAGCATGGATATTTGAATATAGTCACGCTTTGTTGAGGTATTCCAGAGATATCTCTGCAGGGACTGGAACCACTCACTCGGTCTGCTTTGCCCTCCTTGGGCGTGATCACAGCCACGACTACGACTTCAGACATGGTGAAGGCTCTTGAAAGTTTTCGATGCTCTTAATTAGTAGAAGGAATTGGTCAAGGGCGATGTCAGAATGCAGGAATTGGCTGGTGAATACTCAAGTATTTGTGACGCATGCTCCACCTACGAGGGGTACTTCAGCTGCCCCGCACCGGCGGATGTTTCCCGCAAACTCTCGGTCTTAAGATGGAATGTTTGGCACCTGACAGTTATTGTAAAGATATTCATCTACACTATCTAGGTAGATTACTATGTAAAACGCTCCTCGGTCCCGCGTTGCTGTTCCTCAATATGCTGCCCACCGTGCATGATAGGGGTTTGGTCTGTCCTGGTACCTACCTACGCGAAAGCACATCAACAGCCGAACATCCCTCCCAACCCTGTCAATGTATCAACGCTGAACTATTTTGAGTGAAGTGAGACTCGCATATAGTACTCCAGACAGCTGTGCAAGAGTATACCCTTTCAGCTTCGAAGTCCTAGGTCCGTTCTTCATAGAGTCACGTCCTCCCTGCTATTGTCTGATCGACATTGAGACAACACGAGTAATGTACCTCAACTTCATGTCAATAACAAGTTCTAAGGCATATAATGTGGCACTATAAGACCGTTCGGAATGCCATGGTCCTTACTTTGGCGACAAAAGAGAGTACGGAGCGACTTTGGCGCCTCTGAACTCCCTGACGCAGTGGAGCTCACCAACATCCCGTCTGATACCGCGAACGTAGACCTTAGTAGTAACAGTACCCCCTCGAACTGGCTACGAGAAAACTACTATGGATCTCTGTTGGACCAAGCCGCGGTGTTGTTGCGACCTGGACCGAAGAAAGATGTGCTGGGTCACTTTACGCTCCTTGTACTAGAGAGTCAGCCTGTCATGTAAGCTTTGCTCCGCCCGTAGAATCGGGCGCGGTAGCTACAAACGTGTGCTTTTCACGCCACGTATTCTTACCTCTACGAGCAGCACATCTCTCTTTATCTTTACGTTTCTCATCCAGCCGTGGGCACCAGAGGATCAACGACCACACCCCCATCATCCCACCGTAGAACCCGGATGACTCTCCCAAAGATGGCCTGTCACGCTGGCCGACTGACTTCAGCCGCGACATCATCCCCATCATGGTCCATCTGCACAACGACTACTGGCGAGGGGGGCCCTCTTCTCGGCTCTCGCGGCCGTCTGCACAGGCGTAGAAGCCGACGCCTGGCTCATCGATGACGAGCTGTTTGTAGGCCATGACCGCGCATCACTGACTCCCTATCGCACGTTCCGTAACCTCTACATCAATCCGCTTGTTGAGATCCTCCGCCGCCAGAACCCTTATAACGTGTACAACAAGTCCGACCCCCTTGCCCGAGCGCGCGGTGTCTTCGGCACCAGCCCCAACACCACGCTCGTCCTCCTCGTGGATGTGAAGACCGACGCCTCAACCACCTGGCCCGTCTTTCTGTCGTAGCTCGCGCCTCTCCGCGAACGGGGTTGGCTAACTCGCTACGGCTACGTCGAGGTCCCCTGTCCCTAGAACAGCTCCAAGCCGTGTTACCACAGCAAGCAGAACATCTTGCCGCAGCCGACCACAGTCGTCGGAACCGAAAAAATCGACAGAGAAACCTGCCACGCGAACCGGAACTGGGAGGCCAGCGATGCCTTCATGGATGCGCGAGTTGGCGTCCTATCGACGACGAATAAGTTCCGCTGGCACCCTGGTGGCTCGAGCGCAGAGACGTTGTATTATCTGAAGAGCTCGTACTATGCGAGCGCGAGCTTCAAGGACGCGGTAGGCGACGTCACGCTCGGCTTCAGCGAACGGCAGCTTGCAATTGTAAGGGAGCAGATTCGGATCGCGGAGTTGAGTAATTTGCAGACGGGGTACTGGGATTGTCCGTCATGGCCAATTGGACTGGTCTTCCGCAAGATGGCCATTACTTTGAACCGGCAGTTTGGCATCTATAGTGTGTGCCTCTAATATGGTGGGATCCGCTCGGTACACACCGCGCCCTTTGGGCGAGTCCCGCGCTTCCTCACTAATGATTGCATTCTTCAGTATTGATGCTTCTAGCTAAAAGAAGCTCTAGCGCATCGAATCCTATCACCTCTATTAGCCTTTTGATGTAGTCTCCAGGCTACCTTGTCAGACGGTTATTACCAATCTCATGCATGTGGCTAACCAATGCACGCTAAGGTTCCCCACCTTCAAGCCGTTAAGGCACAATCCCGCTGGCGGCATTGTATAATGAACGGCTTTAACCAGAAGATAATGCGTTGGTCAGCATATTCGTCAGCATATTCGTTCCTTGATTCGGCTTCTTAGTGTTCTGCACCCCGCACATTGTTGACGGAGATTTGCTCATGCACCGACGGATTATGTGACGTTTGCCGATCACTTCCGCAGGTATCTTTCTAGAGAATATAAACACCCATGGAGACAGCACGAAGAAGCGGAACTTCTCTGCTCGTGGACTAAGTTGCAGTGTTACGCATGTGAAGATGAGGCTCCTCCACTTAATCAGCGCCGTCTTGTTAATTGGCTACTGTACCGCGTTTCCACCAACGGGTGGGAAGAACCGATACTGTGGGAAACACAGATATTTCTGGCATGATGTACGCGCCTTGACTTCTCTTGCAGCTTTTTTGTTCTCACATGTGATTTTGAAGCCTACTGACCGTTGGATCGATAGAAAGATAATGGTCTCTGTCAAAGACGCGGGCTGAGGCCGTACTTGGTAAACTATTCATTTCCAGGCTATGTTATCTCTTAATATCAAGATTGCATTACTGAGCTACCTCCTAGTCTGATGTCCTTACTACCGATTTTGCGCCGTATTACAGGGCAGCCTCCGTGGGCGACAATGGAACAGTATACCGCTACCTTCATATCTGTCCCCGAAAAAAGAATATGCCGTACATTCTATTCCTACACGGATTCCCTTCCTCGCATTACGATTGGCGCTATCAGATCCCCTTCTTCGCTGAGCGAGGCTACGGTATCATTGCGCCCGATCTGCTTGGCTATGGCGGTACGGACAAGCCGACCGACCCTGGGGCGTATCGGATGAGGAAGATGTCAAGAGAAGTCGCCGGCATATTGGATTGTGAAGGCATTGAGAGTGTTCACGGTGTCGGCCATGACTGGTTTGCGGCCCTTACTCTACGTCTCGGGAGGTTCGTTGATCTGCTGACCACTCTGAAAGGGGCTCTCCACTACTGTCTCGAATGGCCAACTACTTTCCAGAACGCTTTCGTAGCTATACTTTCATTGATGTTGGTTACATTGACCCCTCAACTCATTTCAACCGCGAGGAGCTCGAAGAAATCAACGCACAAGGCCTCCAAACTCTAGGATATGCCCCCTTTGGGTACTTCTTCTACCAAGCGGACCCAAGCTCAGCAGCCCTCATTGACAGCCATGTGAGACTTTCCTTGGTGTATGTTCTTCGCCAAGCGGGCCCGTGGTGGCTGACTGCAAATAGTTCGATTCCTTTTTCACGTTATGGTATACTTCAGCGTATCAGCCCTTGTGGATAACCGATCTTACCCCTCTCGGTGCGCTGGAAAGATGGTTGAAGGCGGATCGAAGAGCCCCTCTCGGGAACTGGACGACAGAGGAGGTAAGAAGAGAAGTCCTAGCAGGTAGCAAACACCAGCTGACGGCTGATGTCCAGGATCGTGAAACTCACCGTAGAATTTTCATCGGTAATGGCGGCTATCAGGGGGCGTTGAAGTGGTATACAGTATCGTTCAATGGCCTCAACGTCGCGGAAGACAACGGTATGTCCTCATCTTAGCCCTGGCTGAGTCGATGCCTAGTACAGCTCTTGCTGACCCATAGTTGTTCTCTATAGCTATTCCACCCGAACGCGCCCTTCTTGACAAGCCCGTGCTGTTGCTTGCAGCTACCCGGAATCCGATCGGAGGTGCTGATTTCGCCGAGGCCTTGACTCGTCCATTTGCACCCGATTTACGTGTCGAGCGACTACCTACAGGCCACTGGATCCAGCTCGAAGCTGCGTACCAGACTAACGTTTTCCTTGAGAGCTTCTTCTTGGATGTCATAGACGGAAGTGGCGCAGATTAAATGTCTCGCTCTTTACGAAAGACCATTCCGTCCTCTTTAAATGTATCCCATCTAAAGCAAGAAAATCCTACAGTGGTGTGGATGACTCTTGTTTCGGTGTGTATTGGGCTGCTGACCGTGGGTATTGGGATCACTGGACACAAGCTTATCCGGAGGGACAGGGCACATTCCGTGCAGCTCACTTGAGATATGTACAAGTCGACTGTGTAGCCAGAATTTATGAACGGACCTCTCGTACTACTGCCCAGCCATTCGCGTGGTGTCTTCTATCCAGGTGATGCACCCATCATCGACAGGCGTTCAATAGCAACGGGCTCATGTTCTCCGCAGCTCAAGGCGATGGCGCTGGCTAAGCTCATGAAGCTTATGGACTGTAAAAAAAGGAAGCCGGAGTACGACAGTGTAACATTTACAACCTTCGCGGCAGTAGCAAAGGTTAGTTGCTTCAGATCGGGGTGGAAGCATAGCAGACTGGCACATCACCAAAGCCAGTCAAGCTAGAAATATGTGGAGGAGTGTTTTGAAACTTGCTAAGCCGGATGGAACATCCTACTCAGTTTTGTTGTTCCCAGCACAGCCAAAGCGCCGAAAGGAGATGAAAACACAGCCTGGGGCTCAAGCGTACATTCAAGAAAGCGCCAGAACTGCAAGCAACCATGCCCAGCGTGTGACCATCCCGTATTAGGTCTTATGTGAAGAGCCATTGCAGAGCCACCATGATGAGCGGCAGCAAGCGCACCAAATAGACATCTTCCATCCGAAAGATAGAGAGGTCGGTGACGTTCCCCAGTCGCTCAAACCGTAGGCTCTTCTTCAGCATCAGCATCAGCGTCCTGATCCTCCTTCTTGACGCCTCCAGAAAGCTCCGCATCTGCATCTGCCACAGTTTCGTCAGAAAGCACTCTGAGAAGCTTGCTTCACATTGTCACTCACCCTCATCCTCTTCATCCTCCTTGACCTTCGGCTCGGACTTGATAGTCGGCTTCCTGCCACGCTTCTTTGGGCTAGCTCCATCTTCGCCGCTCTCCTTGGGCGCGGCCTTGCGCTTCGGCGTTTTCTTGGGAGTCGCGTCTTCTTCGCCTTCAGCAGCGCCATTCTCAGCGGCCTTCTTCGGCTTGTTAGGACCGCGCTTCTTCTTCGGAGTGGCGGGAACCGCGCCATCTACGGCTGCGGTGTTGAAGATCTTGTCCTTGAGCGGACGCCAGGCATTACCGGCGGATGCTGCGGAGGCGTAGCCAGCCATTGCGGCGAACTTGTTGAGGTCGACCTGATAGATGTCAATGCATGCTATGTGAGAAGTGCAAGACACCTTGGGTGCTCAAGGGCTGCTAGGCCTGGAGGACGGTGACAGAGGCTAGTAAAGCGCAGACATGGGTGACCTGACTTGCGGAAGTGAGACTCACGTCGGGCGCGCCGCTCTTCAGACATTGCATGGCGATCGCGACAAGACGCGTCTCGCGCTCGTCAAGAGTGCCTGCTGTTTGGGACATGCTGCTGTGTGAGAAATGGTAGTTGTGTAAGGTAGTTCTGTAGATGAGTGTGGTTGGAATGGGACGGAAGATGCTTGCAACTTAAGGATTTGTGTGTTAGAACAGGACGAGGAGGAAGCGCGTTGGTGAGTCAAGGCCAGTGAAGCGACGGCGGTTTTATGGCCGCCCTGCTGCATAGCGCGCTTCACTTCGCGTTTGCACGGAACCCTGACGTCAAAGTTGGGTCATGTCCAGCTTTTCCATGAAGTCGCATGGCCTTCTGTTTGGCATAGCCGTTCGGCTCTTTGATATACTTATTTGGGCAGCAAGGAGTCACTTAACGGCGCCGTCTCCTGGCCAGAGCTTACAACAGCCGGTCGTTGTTCAGGTTTCAAAGTTTGCATGGAAAGGTCGATAATTATCCAGTAGCATTGCACAAGGAGCGCAAAATACTGGAAGGTGTGAATGAATGCCGGATTGGAAGCCAATGAAGCGCGTATGAGCACTAAGGCTGTTCATAGGAGAACTGGAAGGCTAGCATCATTTGACATTAGACTTGGCAGGCTGTATGCTTCCAAATTACAAGCTATCCACGAGGTATGGCCGCTTGTACGGAGTCCAGCGATCTGATACTTGCATCGGATTCACTAAGAAGCGATCGACAGAGAAATGTGATATGGACGGAATTTGAAGACGAGCCAAAGATACCGGAGGATTTGTACGAGAATATGGATGAGCTGACAGAAGACTCAAAACGACCGCCTCGTTGCCTCTCCTCCAGCTTTTCGCATATGACTAAATGCATGACTAGTTCGAAGGAAGATTCAACATAGAAGACTACAAAGAACGAATTTCGAAGATTGAAAGATGCCTTGGCAGCCGCTTGGATCTCTTTGCGTGCACGTACTGTTGCTGCCGAACAACGTCAAGCTCACGTCTGGCGCATCGAATCCCAATGCCTAAGAGGAGCTGCCAGATCTTCACGTGGGTGGGCCGGCGGGAGGTCGTTGTGTGTGAGAGAGAGAGAGAGAGAGAGAGAGAGAGAGAGAGAGAGAGAGAGAGTTGAAGATGTGGAAGACAATCGGAGTCTTGGCGGTCCGCGGATGCGGCTCTCGCCGGAGTTGATCCGAAGCGAGCGCACACAGCCTGAACTTCATTTGGACGAAGACATTGACGACGAGACCATCGACCACACGACACCACGACAGTTGCCCATCATGTCTCTCGTATCGGGAGAGAAGTCGAACTTTCAGTTCAGTAAGCTTCCCGCGACTCTACCTTCAATCCTTCCCGTGGGTTCGATGAGCAGCCCGCCACTTGGGAACCAGCAACTCAGTCTACGCCGCTAGAGCCCGTCTCTTCGCTCGCCTTCGTTACCGCGGATGAACACTGGAGGCTGCTACAATCTTCCTCTGCCGATAAGAGGCTGCTGAAGCGGCGGCGAGCGGAGAGACAAAGCCAGGGACCGGTCAAGCGCAAACTACGAAAACGTCACTCCCGGCACTGGCGCAGGCTGCTCACCGGAAACCATTAGAGGGACAACACACGTCGAAAGCCAGTTGCTGACTTGTTCTTCAGTCTTGCGACTCCTCAACACAAACGTCGATGGCAAGCAGAAGGGTAAGGAAACCCACAACTATCAACATAGTTCCTGCGCTGACTCGAATCGCCAGTCATGTACGCCTTGACCAAGATCAAGGGTGTCGGACGCCGCTACAGCAACTTGGTCTGCAAGAAGGCCGATGTGGACTTGAACAAGGTTCGTCCACCCCCATCCCCTACAGCCCAAGCAACTCCATCTGACACCTATCCCACAGCGCGCTGGTGAACTCACCTCCGAAGAACTCGAGCGAATCGTCACCATCATCCAAAACCCGACTCAGTACAAGATCCCGACATGGTTCCTCAACAGGCAGCGCGACATCGTGGACGGCAAGGACAGCCAGATCCTGGCCAACGGCGTGGACAGCAAGCTACGCGACGACTTGGAGCGTCTGAAGAAGATCCGCGCTCATCGTGGTCTCCGTCACTACTGGGGCCTCAGGGTGCGTGGTCAGCACTCGAAGACGACTGGCCGTAGGGGTCGTACCGTTGGTGTGTCGAAGAAGAAGGGTTAAGCGTGTGCGATGGATGGTGGGCGTCATGGGTGCGAATTGCGACTTGCGCTTGGGCATTTTTGTTCACATAGCTTGAAACAAGATTTGCCTTGACTGTGGAGCTGTGGTGTGATGAGTCGCATGACACTTTGAGCATCTCGAAACGATGAACGCGCTGTAATACAATCCAAACCCTTCATGAACGTAAAGTGTTCTATGAGCAGAGTATGTCCCAAGCTTCCAAGTACAACCAAGCGCATACTCCCAGCAGGAAATTTTCACCGTGCCTTTCATACAAGACGTTGGTGGAGTCCCTTGATATGTAGCTTCAGTGTCATGAAGTTGTTCACTCCCTCTGTATCATCCACACAACTACCCTTGAGAAGGGGTCAAAGGAGTCTTCTATCGGTAGTGCACAGCTATCTGCCAAGGAGCCATGAATGATTGAAGCCGCCAATGCAACTCTTCATGTGGAAAGAGAGCTTTTCAAGGGACGCCATAGGATTGCAAAAGCCACCAACGCCACGTATAGAGGATGCGGTCGAACCCACAGTCAGCTCCGCCAACCAGAGTGCAATTTTTTCAAGTCAGCCAAGAGCCTCCAGGGCGAAGCCATAGGATCTTAGAATACCAACAATGCCACGTATAGGTGATAACATCGACTCCACTCAGCGATGCAAGTCCTTCGACTTCTTACGGTCGAGCCTGCGGTTCACAGCTCCTAGGACCACCTGTAGACTAATCAGCATCGACATAGTTCTCATCACAAGCAACAGCTCCTCACCTTCAAGATCCCGTCCCCCGTCAACTCTCCACCCTCGGCGCCCGTAAACGGCACCGTATCCACAATATCCCTAAGCTCCTCCTCCCCCGCCAGCTCCGCCAACTCATCGTCCAGCTGCTTCAGGTGTGCCTTGGCTGCTGGCTCTCTCCCAACCTGAAAGAACTGAATGCCCACCTGCCAGGCCGGCGCATCAAGCTTATCCAGCTTCTTCGCCGCCGCGACAATGGGGCTCTCGACGTCGTCGGAGGGCTCCCCGTCTGTTATGATGATGATGTTCAGCGGCTTCGTGCTCTCAGGACTCCGCTCGTAGCGCTTAAGATACGGCCTCAGGATGCCATTGAGCCGCTGTCCCGTCGGCGTGCCTCCGCCCGGCCTCACGGAGCTGAAGATCTCGGCCACGGTGCTGGACAGCTTCACATTGTGGTACCACTCGCTGTCCGCGCGGTTCAGAAAATAGAGGTCGATGCCGTCGGCGTCGTGGGCCACGCAGATCGGGGTGATGGTTTCGAGGGCGGACCGCGTTTCGGCCCAGCGCGAGCCGGCCATGCTGCCGGAGTCGTCGATTAGGAACACGGTGTCGAAGCTGCTGAGGAAGGTGTAGGGGTCGTCTGCTGGGGGCGCGAGGGAGTTGACTGAAAGGGCGGGGGCGGCGTTTGGGGCCGCGGTGTAGGCGGGTGGGGCGTCGGTGGTGGACATGTTAGGTGCGGCTAAGACTGAATTAGTTGGGGGTTTTGTGAAGATGGGAGCTAGAACTGTTCTGACCTGGCCGTCGAGTTGTCGGAGATGCTTCGACAGGGTTGCTGCTCGGTCGTGCTTGCTCGCTGTCCTTTGCTTTAAAGCTCATGCTCCGGATTGAAGATGCTGTTGTTGAGGTTGACGATGTTCTATTCGGGTCCTTGCGAAAAAGTCTGTGTTTCAGACTGGAAAACATGCTGTCATTATCTGGAGTACTTGAACTGTTGTAGTAGGAAGGTGAATTCGTTTGTGAGCAAGTCACAATGGATGCGGAAAGGATGGCCGACATGGTGAATTAAGTGCAGGGACAAATAACAGTGACAATCATGAACCGGTAGGAAGTGCGGGGAAGGAATATTTCGTGCTCAAAGTGACCGATGGTAGACTACAGTTCAATGGCTCCGACCCAGAGGCCCTTTTATATCTTACTCTGTTTGTTTTACATATGAATCTCTTGGTGGAGGCAGTTCTGCTCTGACGCAGGGCGCTGCGCGCAGCGATCTGCCTTGAGAAAGCCTTCACTCTAAGAGCGCACTGCCGGGTCGCATCGCCATATATCGAAGACAGGTAGTGTAAGAAAGTCTCTCATGAGTTCGTTTTAAAGAGAGGCTTAGCGGCCTTGGCGGCCCGCAGAGCTGTGCCTCGCAAGGCTGTGCATGCATAGAGCCAATCAGAACCATTGCATAGCCTGGGGCTGTCTACCAGGTATACTCGTACATTTCACTGAAGCGGCGTGCGAGCTGCGCATCACCTGTGCAAGTTCCTTACAATCTTGCTGCTATACTGTGAAACATGTGCCACAACCAATCCGTTGAGTCCCTTGGCCGGATTTGCCTCAAAGCTGCGGCCCCGCTTAAGTCCTACAGATGTCAGACTCAGACCAAGTATCTTCTCCGTTCAGAAAGGCTCGCACGGTCAGCCTGCGGCCTACAGGCTTGCAAGGACGTCTATACCGCGGCTCTGTTCTTATAAGAACACTGCGGCCTGCCTTGAAAGCCGTGTTCAGGGGCAGCTCTAAACGCCCCTCGCATCTGTGGTTTTCGTGCTGCGAGGCTCAATCATGTCCTCCAACCGCCAACACTGATGAGCGAGTTTGATAGTACAAGGTGCGAGCGTGATGCGATCACGCTGTGATCCAATGTCCCACAGCGGGGAGAGATAGGAGTGTCCGAAGACGCCAAACGCGCCGGCCGTCAGTAAGCTTCTTTAGCCGTCCAGTCCCTCTCCACAGCCGTGAACATTTCCCTCATATTGATATGCCTCGCGAGGCAGCAATTACCCTGCTGCCCTTGCTGCAATCCCTTCCTTACAGCGGTCAGTCTTGACCGGTTCCACATCAGGGGACGCTTGGCTTCGCTCCAGGCATACTCCGCTCTGTGGTGCTGCCAGCAGTCGGCGCAGATGCCGATGTCCAGACTTCCGGTGTCCAGGCTAAGCTGGTTCTGTATGAGATCCAGCAAGGGGAGGATCCGTGAGCGAAGCCCACAATGCGCGTGATGCCCATTGACCTGGTAAGAAGGACACTGGCGGAAGGTGTCGATCAGGCGGTCAATGTCGCCGTTGTAGTGCTCCGGGCTCTCCACGTCGTAGATTGTGCTCCGCAAGCGGATTGTGCCCAGGCGGGTGAAGAAGCGAATCATCTCGCCCAGTTGGAAGGAGTCGCACTGGCTGGAGGAGTCGTAGCCGAGCTTGCATTGTCGCTCGCCGGACGTGTAGAGCTTTGTAAAGTGCGACTGCAGCGAGTCGATAGTCTCCAGGACACACTCGCGGCGGTAGATGAGCTCGTCTTCCACTCCGTAGGGAAGGTCCCACCACAGCGCACCGTTGGGGTCATCCACCCATTGATCCCTCCACCGCACAGATCCACTTATAAGAAGCCTCTTGCTGTATGTAGTCACCCAAGGTCCGTAGTCCAGGAGCAGACCAAGCATCAGCTTCTGCCGCACCTTCTCCTCGGATAGGTTTACAGCCGCCTTGACCCTCGCCCTGCCATCCATTGTCTGAAGAAACCCCCGCCGATGAATGTATCGTGAGAAGAACGGCAACGCATCGAAGCGGTCCGCGACTATCGCGAGGTTGGCGAGGTTCTGCACAGGAGGACTGAGCGAGTGGCTCGGCGCGTGGAGGTCCAGGCCATGTAGTACTCTGAGGAAGTCGGCCATGATGTTCTTGATGGTGCTAACTTTCGAGATTCTTCCCATGTCCGACACAGCGACACGCGGTAGTTCGTCCAGTGGTGCCACTCCGATGCTGGGATACAATCGACTCAGATTGGTGTGCGCTGCGGCAAGCTTAGCGCCTTCGCTGAACTTGTGGCCCAGCAGGTTCGCAAAGTACGCCGACGCATCGCGGAGACAGCTTGACTTGACCCGATAGTAGAATGTCTCTTTCCCGCTCTCGTCGCTGACCTCCAGTATCATGTCCCCCGTCCGCGATACCAGTGTGAAGTCCGGCCTGAGATCATCGTCGGACGAGTCTTCCTGCTCTGTCGATTCCGGGAACGACCGAATCGCCGCCGTGCAGAGCTCTTTCTTCCGCATCCTGTTCCTGAGGACTTGTAGACGGCGTTGCCACGGCGGGTGGGGTACTTAATCTAAACTCGCGTGGGAGGCCTGACAAACTGCAATGCCGACCGTTGCGGCGGGTACGTCTCGATAGGATTTGTATTTATAGGAAGGATTTGGTACGAAGGGGCTCTTTCATGGGTAAGGCCAGGCCATTTTCATACCACGTCGTACCCTATGGAAAAGCTGGAGCAGGATGCTCCGGGAATGTTGGCTGAGGGTAACGAACAATCAAGAGTCGCCTCACTCGAAAGCCGTTGCTTGGTCTGTGCCGAGCCAATCGCAGGTCGGGAGCATGACGTTTGTCAGCAATACCAAACCGTGCGAAGGATGGTCACCATTGCATGATCAAGTTACGGCGAGAAGAAGACGACGCTTGAGAGGGTTGACCGCAAGCCTATTGCTTGCGAAGTACAAAGCAAGACGGTCTCAGCTAGCTGTTCTAGGTATATCTGTCATAGTCAAGCTCTCTCCGCCTTCATCGCTTCGTCTACCTTCCGTTACAGTCACAGCCCCTTTCAATGCACTCATTTGTGGATCTCGCGGACGTTCGCCGACAGAACTTCGTCACCATGGCTCTTGCCCTCAACACATGTCTCAGAGACGCCTCCTTGCTGGCTGCTGGTCTCGCTTCCCGGGTTCTTCGCCTTCACGAATGGCCAATGACCTGTCTGCTCATTGTACCGCATCGCCAGGAATGCAACAATGACGACGAGCCAGTAGAGGTTGTACGAGAGTACGCTTCCCAAAGTGGCGCTATTCTGCCATCCGAATAGGGAGTTGAAAACTCCCCAACCGCCTCCGCCGTTGAGATTGGGACTACAGCACTACATGTGCTGTTAGCGGACTGAAAGATACGGCGTCCCAGTACCGCCGGTATACATACATTGACGTGCCAAACGCTTTGGCGTATATCATAAGAGCCAGCACCGGCCCCAACCTCAGCAGCATCACCACCGACAATCTTGTTCCACTTCGCGGAAGCGTTAGCCTTTTAGATCGAGGAGTTTACGCATTGGGAGTACTTACAGCATTAGCCTCGAAAAACCACACAGCTTTCGAAAACAGACCGGCAGCTACAAGGTACAGGAAGCATGTCGAGATGATCAAGAAGATCTGGAGTGACGCGGCGTTTCCTCCTCTAGAAGCGGCAATCAGCTAATGACCCCTAACTACGGAGGAATGGAACCTTACTTGTAGATCAGGTAGCCGATCAGAGCACCTGCACCCAAGCCGCAAAGGACCGCCAGTGGGAACGAGCTTGCCGGCAGTCCAAGGCCGACACCGCCGATAAAGACGACAGCTTCGAGTCCCTCGCGCAAGACGGTAATGAATGGCAGCAGGAACATGGCGTACTTCTTGGCCCACCGCGAGAAGCGACTGCCGGCAACTCCTTCGACCTTATCTTTGGACTCTATCGCCTGGGCAATCTTCACACGCCATTTGTCTTGCAGTTTCGAAATCCTTAGGAGGGCAGCGCCCATAATCGAGATGATGATGGACGCGACAAGTCCGAAAACGCCTTCCCAGATGGCCTCAGTCTTCGCGAAGGTATCCGTGCCGATTCCGTAGAACGCGCCTGCGAGGCAGTAAGTAAATCATCCAAACACTACGATCAGCCACTCACCTATCATGCCTGCGCCTATAATGATGCACACTGCTAGACCAGCGACCACACCGAGCCAAACCTTAACGTAGAAGAGTCAGCAGCTTGCCTGGCATATCAATTTGGAAGCAATATTACCTGTCGCACGAGCTTCTTATAGATTACAGGATCTCGCTCAGGACCCAAGGTCTGCTTCAGGAAAGCCAGCAACACGGAGACGATGATGCTCGTCTCTAAGCATTCTCGGAAGCAGATGAAAAACACTAAATCCATGTTAGGATTTCGTTCCCGTCACCAAAGCGAATGGACGCACCGGGAACAGCGAAGACGTTCACCATGTTTGCGACTGGACCTTCGCCCTGCTTAGCTTTCTGCAAAGGAAAGCGCTACGGCTTTTGAGTTGACTTCGCGTAGGTGGTGATACTGATGATCTGATAACAGCAGTCCAGAAGGGAGCACGGGAGATCAGATAACTTAAAGACAACGACAGCTGCCAAAGCTCGACGAGAACTGGGCACACGAAGAGCGCAACATCCGACGCTGGCATCGTGCCGATTGTCGCGCTATGCTAAAAGACGGCTTGATCCTAGCAAATCTCCAGCCGCACCATCTGCAAACCAGCCGTTGACTGTGCATTGGACGGTCTGGCCCATGCGCATGCCGTCCGCCGGTTTATCGTACATATTGCTTAGCGTTGCTTGGTTCTCCGCTCGGAAGCTGTGAGGATTTCAGTTGTTACCACCAAGTCTCTCAATTATCAGAGTCTTGAGCTTCTATTATCCAGAAGCTTCTCTCCCGAGTGTAACTTGTTTACACCAGCTTGCCCACACCGCATTCTTGGTCCGTTCTCAACTCTCAAGTTGCAAGTTTGAATGCCCCACCTAGCGCAGTTAAGCTGAGGCAAGCTCTGCCGAGCCTGCAGCCGAGAAAAACGCCCCTGCACCCCACAGACTTGACGCATGGGAAATTTCCGCGCTTAGCTTGGTAATTATCAGATGGCCCGATTATCATCCCATCATCACTTTATGCCTCAAGCCCAACTCAGCGTTGCAGTCAGCAGATGCCTGAGCGGGAAGGGCTTTCAAACCCTATTCTCCACTACCACGGTGGCCTGTAAGTTTTCAATTGGCCTCGTTGGCTGCGATCTTCACTTTGTTCTCGCGTGTGTCCGATCGAGATGTAATCCTCATTGGTCGCAAATTTCTGTCTGGGTATCTCATTAACAGCCCTGAAACGACTCGCGCATCCGCCACGTCTCGCCCTGCTGGGGCTTGAATACTAGCCTCAATTCGCTTCGGCGGTGTGATCTGGAATCAGATAAGTCTTCCGACATTCGGCCAGCGCAGTCTTGGGTGTCTGTGCAATAGAAGCGTACAATCTTTTATCAGATCTCGTCTGAGACTTTCTGAAAGCTGCTAAACTTACCTTTGTCTTATCAATCGAGATCAATTGCTTCATCGGTGCACTACACAAGCATCAGATTGTTGTGCAAGCTGAGCTCTGTAAGCGATTGAGTGAGACTCCAAGGTCAAGGCCAACCCTTCGTCAACACCATGGCTATCTCTCTGTCGAACTTTCTTATCCCGAGTATCCTTTTCCTAGCTACCGGGCTATTCACCGAGGCTGCTACCGTCACCTACGATTTCGATGTCTCTTGGGTTCACGCCAATCCCGATGGTGCCTTTGTTCGCCCAGTAATTGGCATTAACGGTCAATGGCCTATTCCTACCATCACTGCAACCAAGGGGGATCGCGTCATTGTCAATGTCAAGAACTCGCTGGGCAATGAAACCACGAGCCTGCACTTCCATGGACTCTTTCAAAACGGCACGACTCACATGGACGGGCCTGCGAGTGTCACTCAGTGTGGCATTCCTCCTGGCAGCTCGTTCACCTACGACTTCATGGTATGCTGGAGTCAAGCCGAGTTGCAAGGATGATGCAGGACCACTACTAATACCCGCATAGGTCGAACAACCAGGCACTTACTGGTATCACTCTCACACAGTACGTAGAATCCGCTATCGTGACGAAGTAGCACTTACTAATAACTGCATAGCGAGGCCAGTACCCGGACGGTCTTCGCGGCCCACTGATCATCCATGACCCTGACTCTCCGTACAAGGATCAATATGACGAGGAGATCATCCTTACCTTCGAGGATTGGTATCACGACATGATGAACAATCTGCTGGCAAAGTTCATCAGCGTCAGCAACCCTACGGGAGCTGAGCCCGTACCGCAATCCGCTCTCTGGAACAGCACGCAGAACATCTCCATACCCGTTCAGCCGGGCAAGACCTACATGTTCCGCATGGTCAACATGGCCGCGTTCTCAGCACCGTACGTCTGGTTTGAGGGTCACACGATGCGCGTAGTTGAGGTCGACGGCATATACACTGAACCTGCGGAGGCGAATATGCTCTACATGACTGCTGCGCAGCGGTACAGCGTGCTTATCACGATGAATAACGATACGAGTTCTAATTTTGCTTTTGTTGCCAGCATGGACCAGGTGAATCAACCTTTATGCCAAGTTCCCGATACTAGGAACCCGCTGATAAATCATGCAGGATCTCTTCGACCAGGTTCCGGAGGGCTTGAACTCCAATGTCACTGGCTGGCTTGTGTACGATAATACGAAAGAGCTTCCGACGCCGGCGTTTGTGGATGAATTTGATCCTTTTGATGATTATACCCTGGTGCCGCAGGACGGCATGTCTCTTCTTGACGAAGTAGACTATTCCATCACCTTTGACATGAAGATGGATAATCTTGGAGACGGTGCCAACTAGTTGAGCCAGCATCCCTCTGTTTCGCATTTTGTTCTCAGCTTATAACATCCAGCGCCTTCTTCAACGACATTACCTACGTCCGGCCGAAGGTCCCAACCTTGTACACTGCTCTTACCACCGGCTCCTCTGCCACCAATCCTGCCGTCTACGGCGTCAACACGAACAGCTTCGTTCTCAACAAGAACGACGTCGTCGAGATCATCCTAAACAACGATGATCCCGGGAAACACCCTTTCCACCTTCACGGCCACGAATTTCAAGTAGCCTTCCGCTCCGATGAAGAAGCAGGGGCCTACGTGAACAACGTCACCATGCCGCAAGTGCCGATGCGCAGAGACACGGTGCTTGTGCGGCCAAACGGGAACATCGTCCTCCGTTTCCGGGCGAACAATCCAGGCATATGGCTCTTCCACTGCCACATCGAATGGTGAGTCTGACTGCCGCCTCCTGCTGACCCTATTACCCCTACTGACACAAGCGGAACCAGGCACGTCGCATCCGGTCTCGTAGCCACGATGGTCGAAGCGCCTCTCGACCTGCAGCAAAACCTGAAGATACCGGAGGACCACTACCAGGCGTGCCGTGACGGAAATATCCCGATCGAGGGCAACGCGGCCGGCAATACGGTTGATCTGTTAGATCTTAGAGGTGCGAATGTGTCGCCGGATCCACTGCCGGCTGGGTTCACGACGAAGGGCATCGTGGCGTTGGTGTTTAGCTGCTTGAGCGCTTTCTTGGGTGTTGCGGTTATTGCCTGGTATGGCGCTGCGCCGATTGGGAAGGCGCAGAAAGGGAGCAGTTGAGGTTTTCGTGGATGAGGACTCCCTTTCTTGAGCCCGGGCTGCGGTCTCGTATATAGGAAGCTTGTTGCTCCGCCTTCATTATCTTCACACCTGAGATGTAAAGCCATCCATGTGCGGAGTTTTCAGACACGGTCATGAGCGGGGTGCACCAAGGAACTGAAGCCCAAAGATACCGTATCACGCGGATGATAGAAATCGCCGGACTCGTCAATTGCTGGACTTCCAACTTGCTCCCCAATCACCAAAATCTGCTAAATTCACCATCTTTTCAAGATCTTTACTCTGGCTTGAACAAGTTTATGAGGCAGTATACTACGAGGAGGTGCTTCTTTGCTTGACCTTGCTAAGCTGACTGAAGACCTCTCTGTTCTAGGTGTGCAGCGACTTCTGTCATCCAGGTGCATATTAACACCACTTCCAACTCAATCTCCCATCCCACGTGACCTTCCGCCCAGCACCGCCATCGGCCCGGCCCTTTCGACCCATCTCATCACCACCACCAAACTTTCCCTCGCCCACCTAGTAGAACCAAACAATGAGCCCCAAGCCCTCCCCCTCCATCTTGCAGACCCTCCGCTCCTCCAACTTCTGGGCTACAGCCGCAAAAGGCATCCCCGCCATCATCGCCGCTTCCATAATCCAGATCTCCTTCTCGCAATGGATGAACCCGGCGCCCGGCTCCGAAAAAGCCGTGCTGGGGAAGAAGATGCAGAAGAGCTTCGGAGAGACGCATCCGTGGCGGATGGCGGTGCCGAGGCCGGGGAGGGGGAAAGTGGAGGAGGCAAAAGAGGGAGAGGAGATAGGGAGATTGGACAGGAACACGGAGGGACTGGAAGCTTGGGGGTTGTAGATGTGCTGAGAGTGCTGGGAGGGCTGTTGCTGTTGAGCGCGGCTGTTAGTTGGATGGTTACGGGGGAGTCGGTTGCGTGGGGGTATAGGCCGTGGTGGAGTCGGGGGGAGCAGGTTAAGGCGTGGTGGGTACGTTTCTCTGCGCCTCTAGGGTTGCGTTACATGGCACATATGTTGCCCGGTGTCTGGGCTATGGCTGCTCTTCCGAAGCTGGAACTGGAGCTGGAGTTATGGAAAGCATCCTGAACCGACAGGATTAACACTCGATATCAGTGGACAACGCTAACACAAGCCCACCGCAGAACGGCCCAATCCATCTCACCGACATCGAACTCTCCGCCTACTCCGGCACCGACCCAACCAAACCAATCTACGTCGGCCTAAATGGCACGATCTACGACGTCTCTGCCGGCCGCCACTTCTACGGCCCAGGCGGCTCGTACCACTTCTTTGCCGGCCGCGACGCCGCGCGGGCCTTCGTGACCGGATGCTTCGAGGAGGACCTGACGCCTGACCTGCGCGGGGTCGAGGAGATGTTTATTCCGGTGGACCCGCCGGATGCGCCGCAGCCGACAAAGGCGGAGTTGAAGAACAGGCGGGCGAGGGAGATGAAGGTTGCGAAGAGGAAGGTGCGGGAGACGCTGGAAGGCTGGGCAAAGACTTTTAGGGGAGAGAGCGGGAGGCCGTATTTTTTGGCTGGGGAGATTGTGAGGGAGGAGGGATGGTTGGAGAAATTGCCGAAGAGGGAGCTGTGCGAGGCGGCGAAGAAGGCGAGGCCGAAAAGGAAGCAGGGCGAGTAAGATCACAGAGTGGCGGCTTCGGCATGGGCTCGGTGTTGTCACATAAGGTGGGCTGCGATACAAACATCAAACGGTGTCAACAGTCGTACATTTGCGCGGACTGGAAATCTATCAGCTCATTCAGGGACAGCTTGCACTTCTACGAACGGCATCCCCCGTGCACAGTTACCAAAACAATCGACGCCGAAAAGAGAAGGGCAAAGGCCAGATCAACACACACGCAACGTTTGTTCTACCGTTGCTTGCCATGTCACGGCTTCACAGTGCTCCTGCGCCTGACAGACCATGTAATAGCGCAGGCCATTCGGCAGGCAAATCCCAGATGGAGCGCTCCCGCCTCAAGAGTGAGGGCCCGTATCGGATCTTAGATTGTAGTCCTCAACGCCGCAGATATTTGAATACTCGATCTCACAGTCACCGCCGCCTCCGAGTCTTCAAAGGCTGTCAACTCAGTAGCGTCCTGCATCGTAGAGGCGGAGCTCGTCTTGGAAGACGAGCTAAAGAAGGATCTCCGGAGATGATGCAGCGAACTTCGCATTGGCGGCCTCTGAAAGGCGTCTTGGATAGACTCGAGGGAGAGGCTCCTCGTTTCCGGCATGCACGCGGCTAGGACGGCTACGGTACCTAGGGCAAGGCAGCCGAAGAGGAAGTAAGCTCCGGATGAAGAGCTCGCGAGTAGCACCGGTGATATGATAGCCACCAGCCAGTTGGTGAACTGTGGCGCGTCAGCAACACTCTCTCAAGGAAGATATTCAGAACAACGCGTACGAAACTCAGTCCTTGGGCCAGACAATTAGCCGCTGCTCTCGTGTTTCCAGGTTGGATCTCGCTGGCGTAGATTTTGCCAACAACGGCCCAAGTGAAGCAGTACGTAAGCGCGAAAGCAAAGATGAGCACAATGACGAACCACTTCCCGGCTCCCTCAGGATGGACGACTTTCGAAGCGTAGAGCGATCCGATAACGATCATACAGCTCGAGAGCGCAAGCCCGCCGGAGATCGCTGAGGTTCGCCGACCCCACTTGTCTGCCAGCAGCAATGCTGGGATGGAGATTGCTAGCATCAGTATTGCTGAGACACCGGACGCGAGGAAAGATGCTGTTTGGTTTGGCAGACCGGCCTGCGCAAAGAGAGTGGGAGCATACTGGACAGCTGTCAGCGACCAGATATCAAGGCAGGTCACTCTGGCGAGATCCAGATATGCTTACGTAGAGGACGGCGTCGATACCAGAAAGCTGCATCATCCCGAGAACAAACAAACCAAGAATCGTACGAGAGCGGTACTGGCGTCGAAAAACTAAGAGAAGTCCCTCCGTTGTCGACTTGCTCAGAGCCGCCTGCTCGGTGGCATTAAGGAAGTCCTTCTCAGCTTCCGTCCTCGAGAAGTCTAGACGCTCGAGATTGCGCATCGCTTCGTCCCGTCTGTTGTTGAGGAGCAGCCATCGAGGTGACTCTGGCAGGAAACAGCAAGCGGCAGCAAGTAAGAGACCTCCGACCGCCTGGAAGATGTAGGGGATCCGCCACGACATCGTCGAGTCCATCCGTACACTTCCATAGCAGGTGAAGTAGCCGAGGCAGATGCCGGCCGTGCACATCAGCTGTGGCGCGGACACAAGCATTCCACGGCGTGCGCTGGGAGCGATTTCACAGATGTACCTGCAGTAAGCTTCAGCTGAGAAACCATTAGGCTCTTCTCCGGTGATTCTACAACCTACACTGAGACGTTGCTGAGCCATACGCCCTGCCCAAGTCCACACAGCGCCCTCCCTACAAGGAACATAGGGAAATTATACGCGCCACCCTCGAGCGCAGCACCAACGACGAACACAAGCGCGCCAATCATAGTGATCCGCAGCCGACCAAACCGATCGGCCAGTTGGCCGGCGAAGAAGGCCGGGCAGGCGCCGGCAAGCATAATCAGTGAGACCGTGAAGCCGCGTATGAAAGGCGTGAAGTGGCCGAATGTGCGCAGGAAATACGGCATCTCGGTCACAGCGCCGATGGAGCCGGTATCGTAGCTGGGAGACGTTCTTAACGCTTCTGTTTCCGGGCTTTGAGGGACTTTGGGGTCTTACCCATTGAGCATACCGCCGATTGAGATCACTGACGAGGCTACTACGTAGCCGGGGGGCTTGATGCCCCTCAATGTCTTTCGAAAGAACTCCATAGCTTAATCAATCGGGCAGCTTGCTGGATTCTCAAGAGTAAAGTGTGAATACGAATAAGTTGAGTAGGCGGATACGCAAGATAAAGAAACAATTGGAGCCTCCAAGGCGTGTGGCTATACATGACGTTGGTATGCAGACGGAACCTCCGATGGAACGTTGCTTATAAACCTAACAACGTTCAAGGCGTCTAACCGGCTTTTGATCACGAACGAGTGTTTGATTGTTGTGGGGTGCTGGTGTTTTAGCCCCCAATACTGATACCGCATCTCGGAGATCTACACGCTATCAGCGGCTCACCACATGCCAAGGATGGCCTTGTGTGCATGAGAGGCTCACAGCACGCAGCCAAGACCGGAAAGCATTCCTGGAGGCTTCTAGCGCGTTTCTAGCTCAAACTCTAGAATCTGCCTAGCCAGAGCATCCTTCAACCTCCGCATAAACCACGCAATCCTCTGCCGCAACCATCACCTTCAGCCCGCCTGCCGCTACTCCCTGTGCACCAGCAGCCAGCTTATGAGCCCGCTCAGCAACGGAAAGCGCAACGTTGTGTATCGTCTGCATGTTGCCCACTACCCTGCCGATGAAATGCAGGGCTTCGGGGTGCTCAAGCCGCTTGCTGACCTCTTCTGCCCTGGCATCGGGATTTGGGACGTCTAGTGCTGTGAGCCTGTGCAGTTGGGTGACGGCTTTGCGGGTTACTGTGTTTGCGTGAGTAAGAATGGTATCGAGGGTGTCTATCTGTTCTTCCAGGTCTCTCCACGAGCTGTCGATGGTGTCCGTCAAAGAGGTGAGCTTGTCGTCTAGATCTTCAACCAGCTCTGGTAAGGTCGTGGATCGCGTCATCATGTCACTTCTTTGCGCTAGATAGTAAGTGAAGAGCTTCGCCAGCTCCGATAGAGGTTGCTCCATCTGTTCGCGCAACCCGGCAGCGGCTTCGCTGAGTTCTCGCAACTTGCATTCGTCGAAGATCTGTTTATTCAGGAGACGCTTCTCCGTGTCTACGCGACTCCTCTCCTGCTCGTCGTCAAGGTAGTATACATCTCTCTTACGTTCTCTGAGCGCTCGTCGTTCCTTTCTGTACTCGGTTCGCAGAGCGTTCTGCCACCTCAAGTGCATGTTGTGTTCTATGTCCACTCGAATCTGCTCATGGTCGCTGTGCGGGATAACGATATGCCTGATTGCGCCGGTGCAATTGTACCGCTGTACATCATATACCACTTCGAAGTACTGTATCGCAGCTCTCAGACTTCCATTCACATCCGCTGGATAGCGCAGGAGGAGCGGCGAAGAACGCTTTCCGCGCGCATTCAGAGTCATGGCGTTTTCTCGCTTTGTGGTCCTCTCCCTGAATTCCAGGATCCGGCGAAGAGCAGTTGCTCCATCACGCAGTTCTTCCATCATTGGATCCTGGCCAGTTGCATCGTTGATGTAGCGCGGCAACTGCAAGCTCTCCAGAATGCGCACACGGCTTTGAGTTGGCGGCCATCTTCCCTCACGGATCCGCTGTAATGCGCTGGTGTCAATGCCCACCGGTACCAGGACTACCGAGAATCCCGTCTGCGTCGGTGACGGTCGTTGGTCTCCGTTGTCGAAGTAGATTGGGAGGCTTTCTTCTCCAAAAGAGGACCTTCTCCGCGATATCTCCTCATACCGAACCTTAAAGAGCTCGTTGCGGATGAGCTGCTCAAACCAAGCCGTAATGGCCTCCGTGCTTTGAGCTTCTTCCGAGCCTCGGCTCTGTAGCCACGAGATTGGCGCCTTGGAGCCGGCCGCTGAGTTGTCCGCTGGAGCGAGGAAGTCCCTATCAACCCGGAAGCGCCATGTACTTGAGCATCCCGGAGTGTCTCCATCTCCAAGGATTGCTTTGACAAGCTGTCTAGTAAGCCGGAGTGGCGACGCGTAATCAGTGCGCGAAGGAGAATAAAGTGCTGTGCTTTCTGGCGGACTTCCTCTGATGTCTGGCTTCGAGGAGTCCATCGGTCTTACCACTGTCAGAGTAGGTGCAGTTATGCCCTCAAATAACGATACGTTCAAAGAATTATGATCTCTCTGATACTGTTAACGAAGTTATCCAGCACAACGAAATTCGAGGCACGTCGATCATGGTCCATTGAGAATGTCGGGACAGGTACTGCGAGAAGGTTATACCATTATCTGACGGCGCCGCATTTACCCGGGAATAGGGAGGCGAATCGCCAGCAGCATCGTGTGAATGCGTCGGTCCGCTGATGGTGTCACGCGAGGTGCGCGTGGTCAACATTCACGGCCGGGACGTGACTGTGCCGATACTGTCCATACCCCCCGATTGCTATGCAGTAGATGGGTGTCCGTACGCGTGATCAGAGTGCACGGCATCTCCAGACGTGGGCGAATGGGACATTAAAGGATCACCTGGTTATGGGAGGCCCAGCGGGCCTAAAGATTGATGTTTGGTTAACGTTCATTTCATTTAAGACGATCAGCGTAGGGATAGTGTCCTGAGAGATTTCAAAGACTGTTGAGAAAGTCTTTGTTGTATTTCAAAGGGGACTCAAGACCAAAATTCGAAGAAAAGAAACTCGAAACGACTGGGGCAATACATAGGCGCGGAGTGCTGAAAACCCTCAGTCCCCGCCTACTTGCCAAAGTTGCTCTACGTCTGCATCGCCTCACTCGACTGCTCTCGGAACGCTTCAATCGTTAACCTGAGAAACGCCTCGGGACTTGGTATCTCTGTCTCCCCATCGATGTACCGCTCAATCTGAGGGCGAATCCAGTCGTGGCTGAAGCGGTAGATCCGCTCCACATCCGCAATGCTCAGATCCTCTCGGTCCCGAGCGACAAGCAGAACGCTACCCACGTCGAACAACGGCGAATCTAGCCGAAGGCCCACCCGGGGCTATCTGGGTTCAGGTCCATGTACAGTGTATCCACAACCGGATTATCGAAACGATCGGACATGGCATCCTTAGCCTTCCATGCTGGATCTGGCGCGTACTTCTTTGCACACACTGGTCTGACTGCCGGTGCCAAACGCTCAGTGACCGAGGACCGGTCGTCACCTTCGTGGTAGAAGAGCGGGCTGCGCCGCGGCACGTCGACAGTCTGGAAGAGCGGGCGGCCACGAACAACCTGGTCGCCACGAGCATTGGCACGCACCCCTTTCACCTTGCCCATTTGAGAAGGCAGGACGACATTGCGAGCGAAACGGGTGTCGCTGCCGACGCCATCGGTGGCGCTGCTGATTCCCTCACGGTACTAGGCAAGGTAATCGACTACGTCGCGGACGTCGGCCAAGGTGACGTCTTAGTAGCATGGCGGATCAAACGCGGCTCCAGCTTTAGCCATAGCGGATGAGGGAGCCGCGCCAGGAGTGTCATTGGCTTCCTCCAACACTCGGTAGGCTTTGATTGAAGGGAGACTCGTTGATAAAGTCATCTAAGTAGGTCAGTTCGAGGGCGTGATCGTTCGATCCAGCACGTAAAGTGTTGCCGCGGATCATGGTAACACCACGGCCGATATAACCAGGCTTATTAGGAGAGTTCTTGAGCAGGTCGTCGAGCAGCAGCTTGTCATGGTCGCAGCTCGTTGCGCTCGATCTCGACCCAGATCAGAGTAGGGTGGGGACCTGGACGGATAGGGAAACGAATGGCACGGCGCGAGTTAGGGCTAGGAGGGACGATGTGTTTGGTAAAAGGCTTGCAGAAGTGGCCGGGGGGGTGGCCAGTCGGTTTGTTGGCATTCCAGGGAGCAGCATGCAGTAGATTTACATCTATCACATCGACGAGCCTGTTTGACGTTGCAGATTGTGCAGTGGGCGTCGGCCATGGCTGAGGCGAAGACAGCCGAAACATGAGGACAAGCGACTTGATTGATCGTCTATCTGGTGGTGGGCGAGGCCTCCCTATACACCCAAGTCCCGCTTCCTCATCGACCAGCCACCTCGTCTGATGTCTTTGAACCAAACAACCGTATACGTCAGAGGGTTGGATAGACACAAGGTACATGAGAAGGTCAAAGCGTGAAGGAAAAAAGGGAGAATGACTTGAATCAAGTTTGATGCACTCGAGCAAAGAGCGGTGGCCTGAGAGCCTGACGGTTCGCAAGGCCGGCGGCTGCGCTTCGATGAAGCTGCAAGGGCAGCGGCCAAGCAGAGGGACCGGAGGAAGGTACGGTACGCGACAAGCCCGGAAGCTAGAGATGCAGGACTGTTGTTCTTCGTTTGGATGGCTGCATCTGAGGCGTTGAAGCAGGGGGAACGAGTGGCACGATGAGCGGAACGTTTTTCCAGGCTGATCTGGATTTCGGCCATCTCCCGCCTTCGCTCCCGTGGGAAGTGCGGGCCGTGAGCACAACCAAAAATGACCGCTTTTGCGGTGTGCGTGCGGCACAAAACAGCTCGCAGCGGAGCAGCAGATCCAGCAGGCCTAGACTGCCAACCCGTCCATCTGCTTTTGAGCCATCTGCGGACGCCAGCATATGTACATGCCCAGCCCAGTAACATCAAAGCGGAGCATTTTGACTTTCATGCCTTTCCGACCTGTCAAGGAATCGAGCCGAACCACTCGAATATCTGAATGCTGTCCCTCGCACATCTCCCTCAATTCCTGTTCCACCCTATGATCCCTCTCCTCTGCCGACATCGACATCGACATCAACCAAGGACGTGAGTTAATCTCACAAGCCATTGCTGCCATCCACGCCGTCCCGCAATGGCTTCCGCAGCTCCCCACCCAACGCGCACGCAAACCTACCGAGAACGCGCCTTCCTACCAGGCACCTCACCGCTGGCAGCCTACCTCCTGCGCCTCATCGCCATCAAGCGAACAAACCTGTGTCTATCCGCTGATGTCTCCACCACCGCCGAGCTCCTGGCCGTAGCAGAGGAAGTAGGCGACTCGATATGCGTACTCAAAACACACGCCGACATCATCAACGACTTCGGCGACCGCACAATCAAGGGGCTCCGCGACATCGCGCGGCGGAAACGGTTCCTCATTTTCGAGGACCGGAAGTTCGGTGACATTGGAGGTATAAATTGCGTCCCCCATCCCTCCCCCCCACCACCTTGCAGCTCAGACCCTAACCCACTCTTCCCCCAGAAACCGTCCAAAAACAATATACCGCCGGCCCCCTCCGCATCTCCCTCTGGGCCGACATCACAAACGCGCACATCTTCCCCGGCCCCGCAATCGTGCGCGCGCTCAAAGAAGCCGCCGCCAGCACAATCGCATCCTACAACACCGCCGTGCACACCGAGATCAGCGCCTCCCCGCACTCAACCCCCTTCTCCGACTCCGACTCGCCCGACTTGGACGACTTCGACGACAGCCCCGGGCCCCCGCACGACGGCGCGAACGACTTCCTCACCGCGCGCAGCACCGCTGCGGGAAGGAAGGAGAGTGTCGTGTCTATTAGCACGACGATCAGCCAGCACAATGAGAGCATATCCCCGCAGGCGTGCTCGCCGCTGGACATGGAGGAGGGGTGCGACGGAGATGCGGATCGGGATGGGATGCTGGAGCGGTTGGGCCCGCCGCCGTTCCTGCGCGCGCTGTTGTTGTTGGCGGAGATGAGCAGCGAGGGGAATCTCCTCACGGGGAGCTATACGGAGCAGTGTGTCGCGATTGCGCGGGAACACAGGGAGTTCGTTATGGGGTTTATCGCGCAGCGCGCGCTGAATGCCGAAGCGGGAGACAACTTCGTGACGATGACGCCGGGGGTGCAGCTGCCGAAAGAGGGACAGGAGGCCGAGGGGAAGATGGGGGATAAGTTGGGGCAGCAGTATAACACGCCCAGGAGGGTGGTGGGGGAGATGGGGTGTGATGTTGTGATTGTGGGAAGGGGGATCTTGGCGGCAAATGATAGGGTGAGGGAGACGGAGAGGTATCGCACGGAGGCGTGGAGGGCGTATGAGGAGCGGATTGGGATAGTGAGGTAGGCTTATTGGGAGACAGAGAGTGGTGAGGCAGGAGAGTGGTTTGAACTGCGTTCGGCATCTTGCGATGGGCGTTGCGGCGCGTTTGAGGACTGGCGCACGCATGGAATGTGTGTAGATTCGGTCTGACGAGCTACGAGTTGTCTGCAGGTATGCTGCGGCTGCCTGCGAGGTTCCTTTCACGCGTTGTATCCTACCTAGGCGAATTGATTGTATTTCTTCTCTGACAAGTCATAGGATCTGCTCGGAAAGATTCTCGCAGCGCTGGGCTTCGCAGAGCATCTAGATGCCCACTTGGGCGATGTCGGAAGAGATTGGCCGTACCATGAGCAACAGATTCGCTGCGGAGCAAGTCGAACAGCTTGGTAAGCATTAGAAGGTTGGTCGTTCAACATTACTCATTCTTTCACACGTTCATCTTCTCCGGTACCTTTGAAACACTGTAGCCGACATCGTAATGCGAGTTATAGTCAGCTATCCACCGGCGTAACTACAGCTTGAGAATCTCGAAAGCAGTCTAGACGCCCTCGCCAGATCTGCACTTTACTCCGTCTCGGCTCAAGCCTTGCCAGTCTCAGGCCAGTTTGGTCACCCGCCACCAAAAATGACAAGCGTAGCGTTTATCCCCCGTATTCCAACTCTTCACCTTCCACGCACTCCCGTTCGCCCAATCAATCCCTGTAGTACTAAAATCGATCGCATGGTTCAAAATCACCCTGTCCCCCTGGACGACACTCCCCTCCTCATACAGATACCCCGAGAACGTCGCGGGCACAAAGACCGTCTCCCTAGTCACAGAAGCGAGAAGATGCCCCAACCCGCCGTTCTCGCTGCTCCAGTTCTTCTTCACCTGCAACTCCTCGCTGATGGACCGGACGTTGGTCTGGCCGCCGGCGTTTGTTCGAATGGAGCCTTTGAGCTCGCACACGGAGCCCGGGTCGTCGCCGGTCGAGAGCATGTAGATGCGGATGACGGTCCTGTAGCGGGCGGTTGCGCTGGCGGCGGCGGCAGTCTCGTCTCCGGCCTCCGAGGAGCTCTGGGGCGCGTCGGCTTCTGCGTAGGTGATGGGGCGCGCGTTCGCCATTGCCTCGGAGACTAGATGCGAGGTGGCCATCATGTTCTCGCTTAGGCGCGAGGAGGTGGAACTCTGTTTAGTCTGTCAGGCTCAAGCGCAGAGAGGGATTTTTGGACGTGGTGGCAGTATTACCATCGCCATAATGGCCTATGGGTGACAGTCTTTTGAACGAGAAGGTGATGTTGACTCAGTGGAGGTATGACAGTGGAGTGAGATGTCGGACTGAGAGCTGCTGCAGAGAGGTCTCCCGGACAGTCCAGACAGCCCTTATGGACCTTCGGTTGTCTCTTAGTTCCACGCATCGTCGATTGGTGGGCATTTGGGTATACTGCTTACAGCTGAAAACAATTTGAGCTGAGCTGAAGTCGTCGCCGTGATCAGGAAAGTCATCCATCTCGATCTGTCCTATCACAAGCTGCTTATCCGCCAGCCAAAACCTCTGTTTCCAAACCCGAGAGAGTCATGATACAGATCGTGTCTGCAAGGCTGTCAACTGACTGCTATCTCTGCCCTCCGCTGGTTCCGGATAATCTATGGATTGGAGCATGTGCTTATATCTATGCGCAGCTTACTGCTGGCTGCTGCACGCGGCCTGTTCAAGGAGACAGCCACGATCAGAGTGATATTGGCATTACGCAATACATTCTGGATGGAGAATTCGTTTTCGAGGGTTTTCAGGCTTAGTTGTCCAGCAGAGCTCGGGATTCCCCATGGGGTTCACGCAGCGCTGTCTGGTTCCTCGATTTCCTGTCGCTTTGCCTTGTGCCATTAAATGGTGAAGCTTGGTACAAATAGTGAAAGCTTACGCAGAGTCTTGGTCTTCTTGGGAGCTTACACCTCGTATTTGTCGACGTTCTTGATGAAACTTGCCAAGAGGAGCTGAATTGAGACCGCAGTTCACTTCGAATGAGCACGCGAGTCAACTTTATCATTTTGATGATTCTATCTTCGTCCCGTCCACCTCCCGGTTCATGATCGTCTACATAAGTTACCTCCGAGTGATGAGCTGAGGTCTAACTGCTCTAACTGCAGAGTTCCTTAAAGCCTGATTTGCCTGGCTGCACGTGATGTGCATGTAAAGGTGCTTGATCAGCGGCTGCCTCGACTCCCCGAGGTATTTGATGAGATGTCCATCTAATTCCTGCATCCGATATATGTCGCCTCGAGGGCTCAATGCTGTAGCCTTTAAACCCCAAAGTATCCCTTGGCCAGTCCGCCTGTCTTGTGCGCCTCGGACTTGATATTTCGGTAGCAGTTTGAACAAGTCGTCTGGCGCTGTAGTGAGTGCCTGCCAGATCCCGTCCGTGACTATCAAGTCGCCTCCGCCATTGCATGTCTGACGTGATTCCCCGACCGACACGTCGATAACGCTCCCTCTATACACGAGCAAGCCATTGGCATCGGGATGCTTTCAGTATCGTTAACACAAGACGTGGTTGTACATTCCATGATCAAGCGCTTGGTGACGATAGTGTACCGTACCCTGGATCCAGAGCGCTGTGAAACGAGTCGGCGAAGTTTGACGCTATCGAGATGCGCCTGTGCGATGGCGGTAGAGTTGATACTCTGCTCAGGTTGGTTTGAGAACTGTTTCCGGAATACGGAGAACCCGCCGGCGCTCGCGGATTCGTTACACTCGCTGCTTGTTGCACGACCGGCGTATGGTTCGGCCTGTCACTGAAAAAGGCCGCTCTTCGAATAGTGCGATCAAAGGACTCTTCGGCCTCGTCACGGAGCTTGAGCAGCAGTCGGAGGTGCCTGTTGAACTTCCTTCGCTCCGCGACCGTTGCAAAATCCAGGTTCAGATAGTCACATTCCAAGCGCTCTACTCGTTTGGTGTGGTTGAAGAGCGGATGTTCCGGTAATCCGAAGACAGAAAGGTCCCAGAGGTCGAGTTGCGCTTCACTCACAGCCAGGCGTCTAACCGTAAACGTTCGGGGGGTGCTGGAGTCAACGTTCTCGATGACTGCTCGCGTGCAAGACTTTTCCGAGTGTCTGCAGTCGCATGAACCGCCTATCGCCAGTCCGGGACGTACTGGATTTAACGTTAGTGTCAAGGTTGGCTTTGGTTGAGGTTGACCGTGCTTACATTCTAAATGGAGGAGTGCGTATCCTTCTCCAGTCTTCGAGAAGATAAAGAGAACCGGCTGAGGCTGCGTTCTTACTGCTACCACAGTCTCACCACTGTCTGATTGGGTTGTGGTGCAAATGGACTCGTTTTCGCCGTTCACCACCTTCGCAACCGTGGCATTCGTGCTGTTGGAACCTTGCGAACTGACCGAGCTGCGACACTGCAAACTAGCGGTTCCGCTGTCCTGGCGTTTACGAGATCCGTCTTGAAGCGATTTGCCGGCTGACAACGGTTTCCAGTACCACATTTGCACTCGACCGATGTTGCCTAGTCCCTTCGACAAGAACCGCATCTTCTTTCGATTCAAGGACCACTCAACATTCTTCATATCAGAAACGACCTCAAAGCCTGTCACTGCTCTTTGGAGACTGAAGATGTCTCCCTCGCTTTTCAGCTCGTAAACCGTTCCTCCCGTCTCCTTCCCGTCACAGATCTTGATAGCCAGCGGTGGACTGCCAGACTTCGATGAGGGAACCGCATACAGGGGTATGAAGCGGTCAATATGAGTGTTGATCTTCTCACTTTCCTGCCTGTGCGGGCCGACTGCTGGCACGATGTTGCGCGCGAGGCGCAGTGTCATGGGACCTCTCTGAAAGACCACTAGGTCTTCCTTCTGGACGGTGGGTAGTTCTGGCAGCGAAATCTCTAGGATTTTCTCCTCTAGTCCACTGGGTTCTGTGAGTTGTCTAGGCGTGGCCGCTTTCTGAGCGGGCCAAATGAGGAACGAGGACTCATTGAGCTTGCTCAAATCTTCTTCGCCGAATGTGGTGAGGCCGGGGCGTGCGTATTGATCCGAAATCAGTCGCTCAAGTCGTGCGATGGTCCGTAGATAGTACGATCCCGGACGGAGTGCTTTGTAGGGCGCGCCGCGCTTCAGAGTCTCGACGATCCAATGAGCCTTGAGTAGGTCAAGATACTGCTCCATGGTTTGGTCGCCGGTCGGGAGGCTGATGACCGTGCTTTGCTTGTAGTGTAGGTAGAGGGCCTCATAACCATGCTCAAGGGGGAAGTTTTCGATATTTGTATAGGATACGGGCGGGTTAACCTGCAGAGCCTCGCGGAATCGAGATCCGAGCCACTCAGGAATAGGCTCAAGAGACGTGTTGAGAGACAGTCCTCGGAGTTCCCTTGTGTGAGCCAGGATCTCTTGTATATCCCCATCTCGCGCGTTGCTCTGCTCCAGTCTGACTGACTCCATAAAGAACTCAATCTTTTGTATGTGAAACTGTATCCGGGTCCGCTGCTCGTCCACCTTCTTCTGCGTCGACTGGCCCCACATCACGTTCTGCACAAAGCCCGCTCCATCTTTCACGATACCCCTGTTGTTCTCCAGGATCTCGCGACATTCTTTGAGCGTGGCATTGAAGTCGCCGATAAGCTCCTTAGCTTCTCGCCTCAGGAGTTCACGATCTCGAGTGTCGCGTAGTTGAAGAGCGGTCCCAAACGCTGCCTCAAGCCTCCTCAAGGCCGGCTGTAGCTTCGACACGTCTTTGCCGAACTGCAGGTATCGTGTATCTGGAAGTCATCATCAGCCAGCCGCCTCTCTTTGGTAAGCACGTGATGCACTGACCAGCGCGCCCCACGCGTTCGAAGCAGTTCTCGTAGATCCACTTGCAAACCTCAATTCCCTTCACTATGTCTGCTGCGGACAGCGACATGGTGAAAGCACCATCTGTCCTGCCTGCCTGTCGAAGTGCGAAGGAGGACACTTTCAAGCTGCAGTCCAGCAGGTGTGACCGCAGAGCTGAGCCCCCACCAGCTCGAACGGTCACCGCCCGCACGGCTACGGGGGCGGAGACGCACGCCTCACAATCGGATACGAGTTCAAGCCGCAGCCAAAAGGCTAATGCAAGCCGGCAGAGCTCGCTAGCAGCTCGTTGTGAGGAGCCTTGGGAAAATCGCGCTTTCAGCCTTGCCGCCAAGCTGCCACGTTATCGTGGGGCGTGTTTTGCGAGGTACTGGCTGTCGATTGAGTCCCGTTTCGGTTCTGCAGAGCCTCCTCTTGTCTCCATTCGGTGCACTATCAGTTTGCTAGTGGTTTGAGGCAGTGTTGACCCCTCTGCCCAGCATGAGGAGCTATTCCAAGGTCACAAGGCGGACAAGGCGGACTAGGCAGAGAGGAGGGAGTCGGCAAGGCTGTAAACCTCGCGAAGATGAACTTCGGATACAAAACTATGCCAGCCGGGCGTCTGATCTCTGCTCAGGAAGCTCTAGCTGATCGAAATGGCGACCTTTGATCAAGCTGAATTTGATGAGGTTCTCAGAGACCTGGACGAGCATCACCAGCGCGTTGATCGTGCACCCACTCAGAAACAACTGCTGGGACCTTTCACGATTGTGTGCCTATTTTTGAACCGTACGATAGGTGTGCTGCGTAAGATTGCCCTGTTGCAAGCCATAACTGATTCAGTACTACAGGATCTGGTATATTTGTTGCTCCGGCGAAAGTCTTGAGCGGTACTGGTAGTATCGGCGGCGCCTTGCTCCTATGGGCCTTCGGCGCCGTTGTACACCTCTGTGGTCTATTGATCTGGCTGGAACTCGGTCTTTCCGTTCCTTTTCGAAACATACCGGGAAGCAATGAGAAGAAAAGCGTGCCGCGAAGTGGAGGAGAGAAGAACTACGTAAGAAAGCGTGGTACAGTGCCTGAACAATGATTCTGACGTCTTAACAGCTCGAATTCCTCTTCAGCAAGCCCCACTACTTGATCACGTGCATGTATGGGATACCATACATCATACTGGGCAATCTCTCCGGCAACTCGATTGCCATCGGATCCTTTGCGATGCAGGCCGCCGACCGTCCGCAGGATAGAGGTACCATCATCGCAATTGCGCTCACCGTTCTTACAGCCGCAGTCTTACTACACGTCTGCTCTCGCAGAGGTGGCATCCTAGTCAACAACGCTTTCGCCATAGTGAAAGTCCTTATCCTGATCTCGATCATCGTATTGGGCTTCATCAACGCTGGAGGTAACCGACTAGGAGGAAGCCCGCCGGCCACAGAGAACTTCAATCCGGACATTTCTTTCAGCAGCAGGAAACGTGGAGTCACAGACTATGCGGACGCGTTTATGTACGTGTTGTACTCGTATTCCGGATTCCAACAGCCGTTTTACGTGCTCAGCGAAGTACGTACGCCGAGGAAGATCTTTCCGAAGTCCACTCTGTTCGCATTGGCTGTAGGCGCTACGCTTTTCATGCTTGTGAACGTTGCATACTTCATGGCTGTGCCCAAGGACGTGCAGCTCAACAGCCCGGAAACTGCTATGGCGACTCTGTTCTTCGGCCGCACGTTCGGAAACAAGATGGCGCAGCAGGCTTTGGCGGGCTTGGTAGCCTTCTCAATTTTCGGCAACGTTGTGGTGATGACTTTCACTGCATCCAGGGTCAAGCAAGAGATAGCAAAGGTATGGCCTCGTCTCCATGGATTCAACAGAGGGAAGGCTGACAGACATCCACAGGAGGGTATCCTTCCCTTCTCGCTCTTCTTCGCAACTAGCCGCACCACCCCGTATGCGTGGCTGAAGGCAAGATGGAGGCCGAAACCCGCAGTCGGTACCGGCGACAGTCACCTGGAGCAGACTCCGATGGCCGCCCTGGGACTGCACTGGGCCATGTCCATAATCCTTGTTGCTGCTACGGCAATGCTTCCGCCGGCGACATCGTGGTCGGTCCTGGTCGAGCTCTACAGCTACGTCGTCAGAATCTTAGTGCCCATGGTCGTTTCGGGCGGGCTGCTATACCTCAAGTTTAACCGGCGCATAAAATGGTCATCGAAAGCGAACTTCAAGCCATGGACAGGACCTGTTCACGTTGTGATCTACTTCGCGACCTTGGCTTTCCTCGCCGTCGTCTCCTTTGTCAAACCGCCAGCTGATTCGCCGTTTGCTTCCGCCGCCGGCCATGTGAAGTGGTTCATCGTTCCGTCCGTAGGCATCTCGGCCTTGCTGTGGGGACTGATTTGGTTCTTGGGGCTCAAGTCAGTGATGTGGGCGAGAGGAAGGGAAATAAGAGTGATACGAACGCCCGTTATCGTGCCGGACGGCGATGGGCAATGGGTGCAGAAGGCTGAACTGATTGACCATGGATGGTACACAAAACAACGACCGACGAAGCGAGAATCGCCGTTCGTAGATGGAGAATCAGACTCGAACTCGGTGTCGATATCGGTGTAGACCTCGACGTCCTTGGGGGACTTCAGCCCTAGATTTGGTGCGTATCTGCTTGACCCTCAGTTGATTCTGTAGCCATGTCAGTGCAGCCGCATTCAACTGCCAGTCGCCTGTATATATATACAGAGCTTTTCGCACGGTGCCGTCCACTTAGCGTCTTTGCAATGTCAGGGCGTAGTCTTTCTGATCCATCTCTTATTCGCTTTCGTTCTAGTCGCCGCATGAACCGACGTAGAGGTATGACCAGACTCCAGCTAAGACTTCATGTAACTATTCTGGATAAGAGCAAGATGTCCTAAGGAAGATTTGTAAGAAATGGCACTACATCCGGGACTTGGAAGGCATCATTTGGACCGATCACAATTTTCAAATCCATAAACGGGAGGCATAATAGGAATTTGAGAAGCCTGGGATTCATCCTGCAGAACAGGCATTCCCTGGCCTCCTGAATTCTCTCCATGCTGATGTCATACATGTGCTAGCCTGTAGTACCACCGAGTTGTCCAGGAACATTATTGAAGAGCCGAAGCAGAAGTCCATTATCGAACGCCAGTATGATTGGAATGAGGCGCTTTCCCAACGACCTGTCTCGGATCTCTACGAAGTGGGATATTGTGATACTTGGAGGTGCTCGTTACGTGTGATAGGGTTCCGGCGAACCAGTATTGCGTCAGTTGATTGTTCGTGTTCGTGCAATTTCCTTCAGACATCTCAGCGCCCTACATCGTCATCCGGTTGATGGAAACGCGATGCGATATTGTCTTTACCTGAAACGGTTTCAGTAGTTCGAAATCGAACTCTCTTCATCACTGGAGATCGTCCCCAGCTGAACAATCACCGCATGACTTTGTCAACATCTCGGCTTCGCTTGACACAGTCTTGAACCAGTGACACTTGGGACAGACCAACGCACATCCACCTTCGCATCCATTTGAGCGTCCGTAACGCAACTTCATCCCTGGCCGATACTGGCGAGTCTTGACGCCACAAGCAATGCAGAAGCGTCGAAGTTTCGCGGGATTCTGGGACTCCTTGCCTCGACGGCCCCTCACCATGGCATTTGAGAAGTGGCGCGCCGGTCGGATTTTGAGGCAGCTAGAACAGGCAAATGAGTCGACCGAGTGCTTGGGGCCATGACCTCCATGCCAGTTCGGATCGTAGCAAGGCCACAGCTCTAGCTGGATCAAGTCGTACATGTTGTAGATCTTTCCGTCCCGCGGCCGCTCCCTAGCTCCGGTGTTGTTGGCCACGTCGACTTTGTGGTAGAGAGATTTGCATGTCCACCGAAGGAGGGTGATCGACGCGTAATCGAGATCCTTTGTGATCGTGTTCAAGAGCTCCTGCGGTATCCCCAGCAGAGACATGGTCGTCCGATGAGGAGCTGGAGCCGGAGGTTAGCATGTTGAAAGTTCCGAGATACGAAGATCTGCGGTGATAAGGGCTGGAGGTTTCCAGGTAGTTGTATGGGAAAGGTACCTAGATGTTGTCGGTCCACGGCGCGAAGCGACGAAAGCAAGGGGGGGCTCGTAACTATCCCGCAACTGACCTTGAGCCTTCGTAAGTGACTCCGTCTTAGTTTCTTCAAGACGAGCCGAATTGCTTGCGTGTAAGGCTTTCCTGCGCGTCAAGGGGAAATTAGCTCCTGCGACTTGTGGTGCTGAAGGTAGGTAGAGTTGATAGCGGCAACAGCGATGCGGACGAATTGGTCTACGACCGGTCACAAGGAAATGTTATTCACTCTGTTGTCAACACCGCCGACCCTCGTGAACCGCGTCGACGCCCGAGCACCTGGATTGCAACGGTACTTCACACAGACTTACCTGCTAACCCAAAGCAGAAGACGTTCGGCACCGGTTGGCCCAATGAAATACATATCGGGGTCCGCAATAAGGATGGTATACATCAGTGAAGAACGCTCCGCTGCCAGCTTCCCTTGGCCTTACGGAGTTTGTTACTCGCAGTCAGATCTTCCATCCCAACTACTAGTCTTCGGGCTAGTAGGGCTACCGTGAAGAAGTTGATGTTCAACTCCACAGAACACGAATTGATTGGTTATTGTCGCACGGTTCAGCTTTCTATGGTATCTAGAATCTTAAGTAGAAGTCCCAGCGTTTTAGAAAGCGCAACAAGCTAACAATTACCTCGCCAACGAGGATCCCCATTTCCCGGATTCATGAATACGTTACGCATTTTCGATGCTACCTATTTCATCTGCGAGGAGCGCATCTGCTTCTGAATTCGGCGCAGGACAACAGGATCGACCTTTACCAACTCAGCTTACGTCACCTTTGAGCTTTTGTCATAAGCGGTTCCCAATGAGATCCTCCTAACCGCCTGTCTGGAGCAGTGAACAAGGTATCAAGAGAACATTGCCGCATAGTGACGGGGAATACAACAGGACTGCATTGCACAGACAGGAACTGGTGGACTCGTATAACAACCCTATTAGATGGAGCTGGATGAACTGCAAACGAACAATTGTAAACATTTGCAAGCTCTGAGAGGGACGGTAAAGTACAAGAAGAGATAGAAAGGGCTGAAACAAGGGGCGCGAGAAAGCGGCACTCAAGGATGTTAAGCATTCGCCAGGCAACGGACACGAAAGGGGCGGGAGATTCTTTCTCCAACCGAAGGTTGATTGCAGCCTTTTTCACTTCTGCTGACGTCTCCTTCGCCTCAAACAGGCCGTGTGTTCTCTTCGAGTATCTGATGTCTCTTGCAGCTCAAAAAAGATTATCACTTGAAGATCAGAGCGTTGCATGTGGTCAGCTAAAAACTTAAAATCCGGTCCAATCCCGGCTCAAGGAGAGAACTTGGAGCCACGGTTAGGAAGGCAAATACACGGCCAGCCCGCCAAAATGTGGATATTACTCCCATGTTACAGTATCTGCACGCTGGCAACCAAATATGGCAGGCAAGGCTTGGAAGCTGAAGCACTTACAGCGTCGTGCCACCTCCGGTGACTAGTCTGCAGCAGTGTCTAGGCAGCATTGTGCTTCTCTCGTTGGCTGAAAGATAAACTCGAGCCAACCATCATCTGTTCCCATAGGAATAAGCTTACAGCGGTACATACGGGCGCGGGGCTATTTTGGTAACAGCATGTTGTCAAGTAAAACGATTCTCGTTGGCTTTTGACATGATTTCATCGTCATGTCAATATCATGTTGAAAATCATGTTCCAAACCAAAACGCACTTAACATGATGTTACCAGATCAGCCCCGCTCTGCAAGGCATCGAAGGCGGCAGGGTGCTATATGAACGCTAGTATCAGGCAACAGGCCGTATTCGCAGCGCGGCTTGGTGAGCTAATACGAGGTCGCGGCTTGGTAGATTAGGTACAGCTGGTCACGGGCGAGCCAAGCGTCAAGGGTACTGCTGGTTTCAAATTGTGCGGCCGTTTGGATGAACTTCATCCCCCCCCCCCTCGATTGTCAAACACCAAAACTATATTCACATAATAATTTAACGCTTAGAATATATCTTAATACTATTAGAAAATTTAGCATAGCTATAGCTACCTAATAGTTAATAGATTATTAGCTATATAGCGCTGCTACTCTTCTTAGTTATTAAACTATGCGATTTTATAGTGCACTTGGTTTTCTTTAAAAGCTCTCACGCCTCGCTATCTATATATATAGTTTTAGAATACTTAAGGCTTTTCTACCACGTATCTCTTAAAATATATTAAGATGAATATTAGTATAATAGCCATAGCTATGCCGAATCTTTTAAAAGTATTAAGTTATATTCCAAGTATCAAATTGTTTTTCAAACGTGGTTTTAGTCTTTAACAATTGAGGGGGGAAGGGTTGACGTTCGTGATCGCCGAACGGCCGCACATTTTGAAACCAGCAGTAGTGTGTCTTAAGGATTTTTGACGAAATAAGCAACGAGCTCACCCTTCTGAGCCTTCCCCATATAAGATCTTCGGCTTAACCCGCGCTGAATACCTCCGCCCCCTACCAGTAAGCCGTCCGAATAAGGATTTGACCATAAGACCGTGGCTTGAGATACCCCACCAAGCCGCGCTGCGAATATGCCCTAATGTTGCAGAAGTCGTGGGTCACGTCTCAGTAAGGCGACCTGCGAAGAGTGTCCCACACGTTGCCTGGTATCATTCCATGAGTCTTGCATCTCGTGTTTGTCGATCCTCACAGACTATCGCCAAGGCAAGCTGAGAGGAGGCCGCAAATGACTTCACAACCTTTGGGCAACCGCCTTGTAAGCTGGCTAATGCAAGTAAGAACGCATAATTCCGCAAACGATCATGTGGCTGAGAAGGCAAACCGGTTTTACGTGCGGCTTACTCCAGCCTTGTGCCTTATTGATTCACCTATATGAGCCTCCGAATATCCTTAAACTCTCATGCGTCTTCAAGCGTCTTATTCCGCGAGAGGACTTAAAGGGCTTGCAATCGGAAATCAAAGCACCAAAATAGGCCTCGCTTGTTTTCTCCAGAATAATGAGAAGCATGTCGTCAAAACCACTGCTGAGGAAACCGTCCGAGGGGCCAGTCTCACACTTTCGGAAACGGCTCATAGTCCTCTGCGATGGTAAATCTTTCCCGTTCTTCCCAATACCAAAGCTTATATTGAACCGCATCGCCCTGTAGGGACAGGCCAAGACTCCACGGCCAATGATCATACACAATATCCCACGAATGTAACTCGCTTCGGCCGCGCTATCAGCCCGTGGACTACAGTTACGACTAAGAATAAGATAACAGACAAGGAGGAAGAGGAGCAAGTAGAGCAAATTGTCTACTATCAGAAGGGCGTAGGGACGAACTCGTGGCTAGACAAACGTCTCGGAGGCATGTTTCTGACCCTATCATGCGATGAGCAGTTCTGATGATATTAACACACACAAGGCGCAACCGGAGCTGGCGTTGCAGCGAATGTTCGTGCCGCCTACGGCTTTCTAGCGCACAACTATGACCCAGGGGATGAGATCTACTTCTTTGGGTACAGTCGCGGTGCTTATACCGCCCGCGCTATCGCAGGCATGGTCACAAAAGCTGGATTGCTCAAAAAACGCGGAATGGACGCCTTTACGAAGGTGTACGAGGCATACCACAAGCTGCGTCTCAGCGGCAGCAAAGAGGATACTAGCGACGAGGATACCAGCGAAGAGGACGATAGCACAACTCTTAAGGTTGACGGAGTGAAGGAGGATTGGTATCATGATCCGGATTCCGTCAAAGCTGCGGTTCGAATTGTCGGCGTATGGGATACAGTCGAATTCCATAAGCCGGCAGTGGGGAAGTTCTTCGGTTATGGTGGTGAAGACGTTGAGTTCGAGAACAAAAAGCTCTCGCGGCAGATCCCTTTCGGTTTCCACGCACTGGCGCTGGACGAGCGGCGGAAGGCATACTCGCCAACACTCTGGAAAGTCTCGAAACACGGCACACAGACCATAAAACAAGTCTGGTTCAGCGGCAGACATTCCGACGTTGGTGGAGGGGTGTCAAATCCTCGCCTCTCGGATATTCCTCTTGCTTGGATGATCGGCGAGTGCGAGAAAACTGGATACTTAGGCTTCGACCGTTCTTACTGCGTCGCCGGCAACCCGCCCCAGCCTATACAATGGGGTACAAGTCTCGGATCCACGGACGAAAATGAGAAGAATGGCTGGTTCTACTGGACGCATCACCTTACCGACATAGTTACCTTGAGAGATCGGGAACCGCTGTCAGAGAAATGGACTACGAATGAGCAGATCCATGCTTCAATCGCTCATCGCAAGTTCGGGAAGAACGAGGATCCTGGAGCTAAAGACGCCAAGCCCTATGAGTGCAAACTGTTGACTGGCGAAAACCCCGAATCCCAAGGTTGGCTGCTACACAGGGATCCACAGAAGGGGCTACTGGAGGCAGAACTAAACAAAGTCGAAAAAGACTACAAGGGAAGAATTAGAAAGGCTGACGAGGATGATTAATCACTTGCAGGAAACTAAGGTAGTTGGTGGAGGGATACGTCTTTGTTGGATCAAGTCGAAAGTGCCAAATTTGATGAGCTGAAAAGGCTGGACTATATGTAATGATATAATTCCAAGATTCTTTTCTTTAAGCGATCATAGCATTCATAATGGCTCATAGTGGGAGAATATCTAGTTACTTCAACGGATGCTGCGGGAGCATTGCCGGTCCGTTTGGTACTTCACCCTTGGATTGACGTCTTAAGATCAAAACACCCAGGGCGGACCCTCCTGTGCCCCACGTACCTTCTCGCGCTACGCAACATTGGATTCGAGACAGTAAACAAGCTGGGGCGCTTGAGACAGCACGGCATCAGCCGGAATGCTGGAAGATGATGTGTAAGATGTTTCACCGGAAATGTCCACACCGGAAGGGACAGTAAGGCAAAGTTTGACGGAGCAAAGCCGAGATGTGAGAAACCTCACAGTACAACCATCGTGATTGCATACGTGGAGAGCCCATGCTGCCTCGTGACATTTCCTCAAACAAGGGTAATACGGGGACTTTATATTGCGTCCGAATCGTTGACCAAAGGGAGTTGTCTTGGCGATGTAAACCATGTTATTTGGGCGAACTACTCATCGTGGCTGCAAGGCTGTCAGGTGCCAGCGGATGGGAGATCAACGAATGCGGATCCACACAAACGGGAGGGTAGCGGGAGCTAAACTAGGGCTTATTCATCCCACAGCACATGCTTATTGTGACTACCCCGTTTAAGTGCTACGTGCAGAGGAGCTACAACAGGGTACTTAGAAGTAGCAGCACGTTTTGGTTGCTAGCTCAAATCTGCAGAATGCAGCGCGCTTGAAGCTCCATTTCGTTTCGATCTTCACATACGGTTTATGGCACCGGAGCCTCAATCTTGTGGCCAGACCCGAGCCCGTACAGCGTATGATAAGTCCAAGCTGATACAGGTACTCCCAGGTAGACACGCCTGAGCTACAGCAGCAGCTTGCAAAGCCCAGCCGTACCTCTTTCGTGACCGGTGAGACATCTGAGACAGATGGCGGGACGGATGGAAGGCTCAGGTTTAGCCCGTCTTATGCCGCTTCGAATCATGACTTCTGTTACGTAAGTGAAATGAACTCTACCGATTTTGCTTTAATTGAATGGTGGGCTAGAGCTGACTTTAGCAACCAGCTTGCTGGATATAGTCTGGAAGAGGCCTTTCAGCTCTGGAATGAAAGAGCAAGGGGAAGCGGCTGGCCCGCGGGTTTCCGCTGATAGAATGCGCTGTATTGCCTACGAAACCGCATGGAGTTCGTGAAGAGTTATCTGGAGGCTAGACTCGGATGTAGTGTATGCGGCGCAATTACCTTGATGCACCAATATTCAGTGCGACATCGTGCACTAGAATACAAGTATGCCCAGTGTTTCAATGCTTACTGTCAGCAAGCATCGTGCGATCGCGGTGTGTCCCAGCTCAGGTCTGCTCGCCATGCCCTTCGTAATGCTTCAAGTACAAAAAGCTTGGTACAAGGTGAGGAAACATAAAAGCATGCTCCCTCTCACCCTTTCTTCGTCTTCTCTCTCTCCACCATTACGATTGAGTCATCACTTGGATTGTTTGTAACGCTCTTGATCCCACTCAGATCGTTTGATCAGGCTGTAGCAGATAGCGTCCGACATGGCTCCTGAACTACCTCCACTTCTGCCTCCAGTTGGTGTTTTCGACCAAGCGGAGTTTCCCGACGCCTTGGAGTCGGAAATTCCGGACATTCCACCCAGCCCTGTCATAATCTCACATGCGCCCCCAGCCGTCGCGAGGTCTGTTCGCCGAGGCTGTTGGCTTGTCAACTTCAGGCCCACCGGTACGCCTCTGGTCAGTTATGATGGTACCATTCGCGTCGAGGTCAGTGCCGGAGGTAGGACGGCCAGCGGCGACCTCTATCAACGGCAGATTGTTATTCTGCCAGGAGGTACGTCAACCCTTGGGCCTGGACCGAACCCTGCTCATGGGATTCCCATTCAGCCGCTCAACAGATACCGCTACTACCTTAGCATCACCAGGATCCTCGAGCATAGCACTCCTGGGAACTCGTTCGAGCTCGGATTCCAGCGCTGGCGATACATCCTGCCGACCCCGGCCAACCGTAACGGGTCATGGGTTAATGAGGGCCCCTTCAGCGCTACAATGACCTGGATAACTGCTCCGGCGGCATATCCCTCGGCGGGCGATTACCTCGAGGGCAACCTTAGAAACAACCTCGGTGTTATTGTCGGCCGGCTCAAGATGGGCTGGGTCTCGTGGTATTACCGCAAAGCGTCGATCGAGATTGATACTGTCCAGGGTTCCGAACGTCCAACTGGTAACGGCGCTGGCGAGGCTTGGCGCACCGTCGGCATCAAGATGGGCTGGGACCTGACGGAGATTCTCAGCCAGACCAACGTCACTAATCCTAGTGGTGCGGGTTGGTCCAACGGAGAACTGCACGCAAGCATGTTGCAGTGGAGGAACAGTAGCAACCTCGACATCGAATGGCGTTACCACCTGTTGGCCGTGCATCTTCTTGACTTCACGGAACGCGGAGTTATGTACGACACAGGTGGGACAGATTCCAACAAGGTTGCCCGTGAGGGCGCTGGTCTCTCGTCGCACTGGATGATTCCTCCAAGCGGCTGGGGTCGTGTCAACGGTAAACGTTGGGGAGGCGAAGCGGCTCCTTACTTCCGCTCAGCGGTTCACGAGCTTGGCCATGCGTTCGGTCTCCTGCACAATCTCAACAATCAATATTTCATGGACACTAGTAACTTGATCGCGGGAGCAGGAGAGGTGACACCTCCGAAGTTCCCTGATAACATCAGATGGAACTTTGCGGATATAGACCTCCGCCGCCTGCGCCATTGGTCCGATATCTTCGTACGGCCGGGCGGAGTTCCATTCGGTGCGGCTTCGGAAACTAGTCCAATCATCTCGCCGCCAGACGTGGAAGTTGAGGTGCCCGGTGTGAGGCTGGAGGTCGAGCCGCTGAGGCCAGAACTGCCACTTGGTGCGCCTGTCCGAATCAACATCAGGCTCACCAATGTCAGCAGCGACACGCCATTACGGGTGCCGAAGGATCTCAGCCTCAAGTCCCGCTTCGTATGCGGTTACGTCACAGGCGTTTCAGGCACGCCTAGGACCTTCAGCCCGGTTGTGATCACCGACGACAATTCGATGAGAGACCTTGCAAAGGGCCACAGCGTCACCGCCTCACTGACTCTCTTGCGTGGTGCTGAGGGTGCGCTCTTCCCTACGAGCGGCGTCTCAGAAATTACTGTCAAGATTAACTGGCCCATTGGTGAGGCCGAGGCTGCAGTGGTTGGAAAGACAACCGTGATGGTAACCGGGGCGTACACTTCCGAGCACGCCGTAGCCGCTCACAAGGTCCTGGCGACCCCCGACGTCCATGCCGTTCTTATCTTCGGCGGAGACCACCTGGAGGAAGGAATTGAGGCTATCCGCACTGCACTCAACGACGATACTTTGCGCCCTCACTTCGCTGCCATTGAAGCCAAAAGATGCGCTCGTCGCTTCATGAGCCGAGAGCCTGATATCGAGACCGCGAGAAGGCTGCTCGATGACTATGTCGTAAGGACTGATGTTGAGGCGGCGCAACTGCGCAAGGCGTTCGAAGATGCTGGAGCGGGTGAGGACCGGATGCCAAGAAGTATTAGACCGAATGGCTCCTGAGTGTAGTCGCAGACTGGGCGCAGCTACTCGTATCATCCTTCTTCACGAAGACGTCTGTGAATGATGGACTTGGCAGATGCGCAAATACGATGAAGTTAGGAAGGGCGGGGAAAGGGATTGAAACGCTGTTATCGTGTGGTTTGGTCTATGGAATTGCAGGCGTCTGACAAAATGACAATCCTACTCCCTTGCATTTCGTCACTCACTTACATGTACGTCCCTGACCCAACATAGTGATAGCACGGCGTCCGAATGAAAACCATCATGGTATTTTCTCAGCGTACATGATTTTCGGGGAATCAAGTGTGATCCGCACGAAATATCAGAGTTTTTTTTAGGCAACTCCGGGTTCAGCCCAGCTTGTGAGCCAGCTGGTGCTGAGTTGCTGGAACCAACTCCAAAGAGTGCAAAAGGACGGTCGGACAAGAGTGGTTGTCTTCGCCGGAGCATCTTCGTATCAGTGGTCGTCATCACTTGTCCAATGGCCGACCCGTTCATAAGCGCTCGAGTTTGACTTCGACAACGTTAACACGAGTGAATACACACCTTCACCGCTTGAAGAGGACGGAGTGAACCTCCCGCATAGCAAAAAAAATACAGGCGCAACAAGCCCTCAATGATCTGCATCAGAATCCACCCTCTGGAGGGCAAGCGTCCCACGACTTCTGATACGTTGCTTGACAGTCATTTTGCCCAGGCTCTCATGCCTTTGGAGTATCGAGTCCGGGATAAAAAGGTCGTCTCATACAGCAACGTCGTCCGGTACTGAGTTATCGGTCCGCCCAAAATCGCGGTTACAACAGGCAGTATTCGTCCATGCCGCTCGGATCACATAAACGGAGCTTCACCTCTATTAGACGACCGCGTGAATCTGTTGCCGAAATTTTGTGTTCTTCTGCTTATAGGACCTGTGCCCGCTTGCTACTTAGGTATAAAAGGGGGCGCAAGATTGATGAGATATTTTGTATTCTTCAGTGAGAGAGGCAACTTTCGACTTTCTGCACAAAGCAGCCAAACATAAGCTTGAAGCTTAATTGAAATTCAAATCGTATAGCTGCGTTCCTACTGTTCGAATTCGAGGCGAGGTTGTGCTTTAATCGGCTTCACTTTGGCCTCGCGGGCGCCAAACCCTGCTTCCAAACTTCAATCAATTGCAAGCTCAAAGGCGTCTCGCGAGTCGCAATTACCCCAATATCCTCCGCCACAACTGGTCCGAGATTCCCATGGAGAACTGCAACAAAGAGGACATATCCACCTACGTTTTTGTGATCGCCGACAACTTGTTTCTAAGAGCGTCGAGGAGATTCTGAGGCATTTCAAGGCACAGGTAGCGACCCAGACAGTCGTTAGCGGCACATAGCTGTTCGAGAGTGCGAGCCGCCCAATGTATGTGGGAAGTATTTAATAAGATGAGGTCGCGGTGGAAGACTCGCACATCTCGGAAAAGCGAGCACCTCACGTGACGTGCACATGTTCGCCTCGCGACTACAAATCGCGCTCTCGCGCTGGCACCTGATCAGCCACGACACCTGTCAATCCTCACAACCCGCTCACCTTGGTGCGGTCCTCAGTCCCTGGGCATGACTTACAAGCCTTTCAAGCCGCCTTTGCTTGTACGCAGACCAAGCCAAGCACTCGTCAATCCATCATCAACCCGCGAAGCAGGCGAGCCACCCACCAAGAGGCGACGCGTCTCGAATCACGACGAAGAGGCCCACGAGCTCTCGGACTCGCCGCCACGAAGCTTGCAAGCCGTCAAAGCGCCCCGAAAGCCTCTCCTCCTCGTTAGAAATCCGGCGGCAGCGGAAGCCGCAGTGAAACCGGCCGGAGATGGCATTGAAGGATACTATACAGTGTTGTGGTGAGCTCGGAGCGCTTCAATGAGCGGGACGGGCACAAGCTGATGTTAGATACAGGCGAAAGTTCACGGTGAAGAAGCACAAGACTTGGGACGGTGATGGTATCCTCGCGGTCCGCAATGGCGTTGCACACTTGCAGGACATCTCAGGGAAGGAGTTGGGCAAAACAGCATTGAAGACACCGCTTCTGCCAGGATCAGAACTAGCCGTTGGTGGCAAGGATGTCGAAGTCGACTCCGTCATCTCGAAGGAGGACTTCCTCGCTGGCAGGCCGTTTTTGGGCGCCGTAAGCAACCCTGTAGTGCGAGAGCCTAATGTTACGGAGAAGCTGGGCTTCAAGGCACACGCCAAGCAGGCAAAATTGGAGGCGAAGCAGGTGGAAAAGCCGAAGGCCGTCGTGCCAACGAGCAAAGCCACAAAGGTTCTATTCAAGAATCCGGTGCTTACGAGCACGTTGATGCCAAAGGCGAACGGTCCACTTCCTCAGCCACGCCACGACCCCGATCAACCTGGCGCTCTTGTAATGAAGCGCCCGCGACAGGCACCGAAAGGCAAACAGATCGTCGATGTTGTGGTCGACCCATTCCTCTGCAAGCACTTGCGAGAGCACCAGAGGCAAGGCGTCCGCTTCCTATACGAGTGTGTCATGGGCATGCGACAGTACGAAGGCGAGGGGGCAATCCTCGCAGATGAGATGGGGCTTGGCAAGACGTTGCAGACCATCGCACTTCTGTGGACGCTGCTTAAGCAGAACCCGATATATGAGGATCCGCCTGTAATCAAGAAGGCATTGATTGTTTGTCCTGCTACTCTCGTCAACAACTGGCGAAAGGAATTTCGCAAGTGGCTCGGTAATGAGAGGATTGGCGTGTTCGTTGTAGACGACAAGAAGACTCGTCTCACCGATTTCACCAAGGGCAAGAGCTATAGCGTAATGATCATAGGATATGAGAAGCTCCGGACCGTGCAGGATGAGCTGAAGAAGGGTTCCGGGATCGACATCGTTATCGCGGACGAAGGCCACAGGCTAAAAACGGCGCAGAACAAGTCAGCGCTCGCAATCAAGTCACTCAACACAGAACGCAGAATCATCTTGTCCGGGACGCCGATACAGAACGACTTGAGCGAGTTTTACGTCATGGTAGACTTTGTTAACCCGGGCCTGTTGGGCAAACTAACCACGTTCAAGCGTGAGTTCGAGAATCCGATCTTGAAAAGCCGGCAACCCGGAGCAAGCGCAAAGGATCTGGAGAAAGGCGAGGCTCGAGCTCAAGAGCTTGCGGACCGAACAGGCCAGTTCATTCTCCGGCGTACAGCAGAGATCCTGGCCAAGTACCTCCCTCCCAAGACCGAGTACGTGCTCTTCTGTCGACCCACCACCGCTCAAGCGTCAGTTTATCGGAGTGTGCTTTCATCGCCAGTCTTCGGCGCTGTTCTCGGCAATACCGAATCAGCACTCCAACTCATCAACATCCTGAAGAAGGTCTGCAACAGTCCAAGCCTCTTGAGCAAATCAGCGAATGAAGAAAGCGCGAACGGAATGGTCGCGAGCATCCTCTCCGGTATCCCTCCTAGTTTGCTAAATTCACCTGGTGCGAGCGCCAAGCTCCAAGTGCTGGACAGCTTCCTCCACCAGCTGCGCACAACAACCTCAGAGAAAGTGGTGCTCGTCTCGAACTACACCAGCACCCTCGATATCCTCGGCCAGCTCCTCACTTCCCTCGAATACACCTTCTTCCGTCTTGACGGCTCAACGCCAGCAGCAAAGCGACAAGGTCTAGTGGACAAGTTCAACAGAACCTCAGCCACCGAATGCTTCGCCTTCCTCCTCTCCGCCAAGTCCGGCGGTGCCGGCCTTAACCTGATCGGAGCCTCCCGCCTGGTTCTGTTTGACGTGGACTGGAATCCTTCGACCGACTTGCAAGCTATGGCGCGCATCCACCGCGATGGCCAGAAGATGCCCTGCCGTATCTACCGGCTGCTGACCATGGGCGCGCTTGATGAAAAGATTTACCAGCGGCAGTTGACGAAGCAGGGCCTTGCGGACAGTGTTGTTGACAATAAGGCGTCGGCGTCGAGCTTTACGAGGGAGGAGTTGCGGGATCTCTTCAAGCTGGATGAGAGTGGCAGTTGTCAGACGCATGAGCTGCTTTGCTGTCCGTGTGGTGGTCGGGGGAATGCGCAGGCTCTCGATGTCCAGGCCATACCTGGCGCGGAGGGAGATAGCGAAGATCCGTCAGAGCCAGTAACTCCGGAAGAGAATGAGGGCGAGGACAGCGACAAGGACCTCCCCAGCCTACCAGCTCTGATCAAAGCGTCGCAAGTGAACATGGAAGAGCAAGAGCGGCGTATCGAAGAAGCGAAGAGAGCTGCAAAGACGTCGGATGGTAAGAGCAAGATTAAAGCGCTGATGGGATATCTGCACATTGATGCGGCTGAGATGATCAAAGAGGAAGCGCAGGAGGAGCTGGAGGCGCTTGTCGATGATGACGTGCTTCTGAGTTTGCTGCGGGAGGAGGGGAGTCGAGTCAGCTTTACGTTTGCTAAGACGTCTTCATAAGGTGCCTCGACGAACCGGCCGTCGTTATTGCTATTTGTTCTACAGGCCTTTTGTATTTTTGAGTCGTCGTGTTCTGGGAGCCGGATACTTAGCTTCACAGCGTTGCAAGATACCCGAGCAGCCATCGCTCAGACTCAATATAGACTATCAGTTATCAATTCCACATCTGGCATGCCAGTGGACACTATCATCTCTGCCAACCTCTCGTCTTTGCCCCAGTGCATGTGTTTCACACACTACAAAGCTACCTACCTACGTGCGTGCGAGCTTCGCCTTCTTCTCAAAGCACTCTTCGAGATCCACATGCACCCTTAACTCCTTCTCCGCCAAGACATCATACACCCTCCTCAACTCCTCAAACCCCATGACACTCCTCAGCAGCTTGAAAGCCAACATGACAAACCACTTACACCACGGCACCTCCCTCAGCCCCCTCAGCCACGTCTCTTTCGCCCTACCCAGATCCCCCGCGGTCTCAACCTCCCACCTAACCCACCACCCCCACAACGCCGCCGAATTCCTCCCCGCCCTCGAAGCCACAGCCCGCTCAAACAGCCGCCGCACAGAGTGCACAGTACTACCCAAATGCACGGGCCGGCGCATCTCGTTGCTGATAGCGAAGGCCCAGCCCACGACTGTTGAGTTTTTGGATGCTAGCGTGGGGGAGAGGGCCGCGCGGACGCGGTCGTCGAGGCGGAAGCGAGATTCGGTTTCGCGGAAGGCGGAGAGGAGGTGGGTGTTGTGTGGGAAGAGGCATATGCTGTTGGCGAGGGCGGTGCGGATGGTGGAGGGCTGGTAGGCTTTCGAGTGGGAGATGTGGGAGAGGAGAAGGTTTGTACGGTATTGGTGGAGGATTTCGGCGGCTGCGGAGGCGGATGGGTGGTTGGCTAGGGATGCTAGGGTCATATGGTAGGCGTTGAGTGCGGCGCGGAGGTCTGGTTTGCGGGTTAGTAATGCATGGGAATGCGAGCAGTTCTGAGAGTTTCCCTCCAGCACCTCCTTCGTATGAAAGGTGCACACGGCGTTCGAAAAGCGGTGAGACGAGGAAAGAAGGCAATCATATGCCACTCACCTGTATGATTCTGGTTTGAATGCGTTAGGTAGGAGAGGAGTGCTAACAGATCGGCATACAGCACGCCAAGGTGATAACGATGGGGGTTCGGGAGGTACCCATCACAGCCCTCGGAGAGTGTCGTTTTGATTTTGAGTAGAGTAGCTGGACTAGTTGGAACAACGCCGGCTTCGTGTACCGAATCGGTGGCGGAGGCTGTCGGGCTTGCGCCTGCGATGGAGAACATACGTTGTGTTGCTGCTGATACATCGCCGGAGCGGAGCGCCTCCCAGACCCAAGTATGCCACAGCAAGACCACGTCTCGTCTTGCATTCTCTTGTAAAGTCTTACTCATGCTGATCGCCGTTGAGAAAACCCGGTCTGCCACTGATGTGTTGCCGGCTCTTGCCTCGATCAGCGCATACGAGTTGTAAAGTCGGAGGCTGTTCGGCCGCTTCTTCAGCAGTGCTCTCGCGGCTTTGGCAGCGCCGGAGCGGAAATGGTGGCATTCGAAGGCAAGGTAGTATTCCGCAACGACATCGTCCTCGACAGTATACGCCAACCCCTTTAGTACTTGCTGCAGCCATCCAGGCGACATATCAGTCGTCATAGGATTGGAGAACAAGGAGTCCGTAGTGGATTGGAAATAAGGCATTGGCGCGTGCTCAGCGTGAGCTTCCAGCCGATCGTTCCTAAGAAACCGGTCAAGCCACCACGACTGGACTGTGCTTTGCCCTCGGTCAGGCAGTGGCGGAAAGTTACTGAATTTCAGAAAAGCCTGGATGAGCATCAGGGGTGACAATGTCGCGGGTGACCAAGCGAGATAGTCTTTGAGGTCCGAGAATAGTATGGTGTGGTATGGATCGTCTTCACCTGCTTCGTCTCCAATGCGCCCAGGAGTCTGGAGCGCCAGTATGCATGCCTCCTCCTTCCCTACAAAATCCCCAAAACAGTCGTCAGAGTCGACGTAAGTGTCCAATAGTATGACCACTGGCTCAAGTGGATCACCGCCCTTCTCATAGAAGGTACTCCAGCCTTGCCATGCGGGTTCGCCGATCCGCGGTACCTCGCTCTCCCAAAATTCCTCGAACGCGGCTAGACGTTCCTCTCTCTTCGCATGAAATAGCTCTTTCGGTCTAAAGAGATGGTACTCGAGCAAGGCTTGCCACAGCGCCGTAGCACGCTCGTGGTATCCGGCTTCCCGCATCATGGTTGAGAGGCGAAGTAAGACATATAGCGAAGCCTAGGTACAGGTAAAGGTCAGCGCCATGCATGTAGAACGGTTCTTCGCAAACGAAGAAACTAAGCGCGTGTTTGCGAGTGCGAGAGCTAAGGAACAGTACTCGGTATCTTCAGAGTCTTTATCTTGAAATAAGGGTCCAGTGAGGGGCTTACTTCGGCGATTCGATCCTGAACCTGTTGGTGCTGTGGTGTATCTGTTGATACCGCAGTACTCTTGTGCAGCACGTCATAAGACTCTGCCAGCGACGCGAGGCAGTCTTCGAAGGCTCTTCGGCACGTATCGTATTTGAACTCCACAAAATTCGTCTGTACGAAGTCTAAATACTTCATCCAGAGCTCTGCACTTTCAAGAGTACCTGCTTTGAGAAGTCAGCGTCACATAGATACAAGGCCTTTCGCAGTCTCGTGCCCGTAGGAGCACCGTCCTTGACATAAGGCGGTACGACATTGCCATCAAGCTTTCCAGAAGGTGAAACTAGGGGCAAAGGAACGCGGCATGTCACTCACCTTGGCAATTTGGGGTCATAGCACTCTGCTTCAGTATCGCTTTCCACTGCGCAGCCAGCTTCCTCGGTTCCTGGACCTTGCACGATTCCTCCATGAGGCCTAGCAATAGGCGCACGCGGTGCGGTTGAGATGCGCCGATTTCGCGTAGTGCTTCTTCGTACATGGAGATCTTGATATCAGCAAGGGCTCTTTGTTGGGAGTTGCTAAGCTCGATACCCGTATATGGATATGTTGAAATCTAGCCGCCATGTCAGTACCATCTCGCCTCGATATAGCAGATCATTAGCGGAGTTTACACTCCAGGCACATCATGCACCAGAAGGATCCGGAGGCATACAAAGTTCGGAGAGTACTCACATCTGCAACTCCTTGTCCAATGCGTATCATAGCTTCCTGGTGCTCGATGAGATCCAACCAAGCTTCTACGGTCCCTTCGGTCTTCGCCCGGCGAGACAGCTCGGAATTTCTGAGCCTTGCCTGAAGTTCTCCATCTCGTTGACTGCCTTGACCGGCGCCTGAAGAATCAGAGGCGTACTCAAAGTCTGAGTCGGGGTGGGGTCTGGTTGTAGTAGTCAGCATTGGTGTACTACAGAATGTTACACTCTCAGAGCCAATCGCTTTATTCAACTCCTCAACCCTGACGACTATTTTAATTAGAGGCGTATGAAGAGTATTGAAAATTGAATATAAGTTCAGGGCGCGCAATTCGACCTTCGGCATCTATCGCACGAAAGAGCGGCCGTAATCTCCGCCATCAACATCGGGACGCTTTCTCTTACAAGAGTGGCCTAGCAGCATCGGATTCTTCCAAACACTAGAAAGCGAGGAAGCAAACGAACTGACCTCCGATCCGGCTTCGCCTTACCCTCGATAGACCGGTAGTCTACCTCATTTCCAGGTGAACCAGGCCCTTCAGACCCGCGCTTCCTCTTCCTGCTGGATTGCAAGGGGACAAACTGGGCTTGGTGCAGGGGCTCGTCCTCCTGCTGGGAAGGCTTCACCAGACGAAGAGCCCGCTCTTCCTGTCTGCCTGGCTTTCCGAGCAAGTACCGCTCACTCCTACCTTTTGGCCGGCCATCAGTAATGACAATCGCTTTTTCTGTTGTGAGAGTTCTGTCGATCCGGTGGTCTGCTGGCAGGCCCAGAACGCTGCCGTAGCCGATGCGTCGATAGGGTGGTATGGAGTATCGATGAAGGCCGCCGTATGTTAGATTTGCTACATCCCCTTTCCTGTCGACTGTGAAGAGTTCGACGTCTTCGTCCCAAGGCACGGCCAATGGTTCCGGAGCTAAGGCTACAGCAAGATCTGACGGCCTGGCAGAGCTGCTTCTTCCATTCTTTGAGGCTGCATCTTCCTCGCGGTATCTTCGCCTGCGACGGCGCTCATCCTTATTCGTGTCACGGTCGGGATGCGTGTGTCTGCTCAAGCGCGAATGGTCCGCATCGTCGTTGCGAAGCTTCCTGCGACGATGCTCGCCAGTATAACCACGCTCATCTAGCTCTCCGGGCCGCCCTTCTCGCCTGGCATCGTCGCCATCACCGTGAGACCCTTTCCGCGCAGATGACCGAGCTTGCGAGGCCCGTCCGGCGTGTCCGTGGGGCAGGCCTGGTGTCTCGGTGGAGGTAGAGAGCGGTGGAGCGGGCGGCGCTTTTGGCCTGAAGCTCGCGAACTTTGGTACAGACTTCATCGTTTCATGTTCATCAGCGATCACTGTCGATTCAATGGCCTTCATTTGGAAATTAAGAGATGCGTACCTGGGATTTTTCGCTGTCCATCGAGGTCCACAAGAAGTCCGGCGGAGGTGACGGAGCTTGAGTATTCTGCCGCGGTTTGCCGCCTTTGACATCTGAAATCTTGGCAAAAAAGTTGCGCTGCAGAGCGACGAGAACGGCGAATTTTCTGTAATTCACATAGCAGTATATACGCCGCAAACCGCTCTCGCCGCTCCTCTCTACATGGACCAGGTGGCCACCTCACCTCTAATCCGCGCGTCGAAACCATGACATCCCTCCAGCGGCAGCTGGCCACCATCGCCGCGAGCAGCACCCACCAGCTCGACCTCAAGGCGCAAAAGGCGGCGCATGGCAAATCGCTGCTGTTTGAGCCTCGAGTAGCTGCGTCGCAGGACTTCAACACCATCTACCAGATATGCTGCGAAGGCTTCCAGGAGCTATGCATGCTCGACACGAGATTCGCCGCCTTCTCGCAGAATCTGTTCAGCGAGCAGAGTAAGAGCGAGGAGAGGACGCAGATGACAGCCGAGGAGAACAAAGAGCTCGACGCTGTGCTGGAGAGCTTCTTGGGACTCGTGGGGCCTAGGCTGCTGCTCAAGCCTGCGATTAAGGCTGTGGAATGGCTCGTGAGGCGCTTCCGGTAAGCGTGGTGGACCTTCGATATCAGTAAAGCGCTGCAGGGCGGACCGCTGACCTATTCTTTTTTCCGCAGCGTACACGAATACAACACAGACTTCGTCATTCTGACCTTCCTCCCTTATCACGCTACGCCCTTGTTCACGACCCTCCTCTCCATCCTACCGCGGAAAGTCTCGCCTACGTTCCGGTTCCTGCATCCTTACATGACTTCGCTCGCAACCCCTCCGCGGCAGACCATCATATACACGGCTACTAACACGAAAGAGTTCTTCACGGCCTTTAACACATACGTCCTGAAAGTCGCCAAGGCCGGTCACTACTCCCCAACACTGCTCTCCTTTTGGGCGAGCATAACCACTCAAGCCGTTGACGGACAACTCGAAGCCGCGCGCTCGGGTCGAGGCAACATACAACGGCACAGAGAGGAGGATTTACTTCTGCGGGTTTTGCCAATACTCAATGAAGCATTGGCGCTGAAGAAGATTCCGGAGCTGGTGACTGGTAGCTGTATGATCATGACGATTCTGGCTACCAAGGCGCACCTCGAAGACAAAGTCCTGAACGGTCTTATGGAGGCTCTTGTCGCAAGCTGGACTCAAACAACGCTGGACAGCTGTTTGGTGACTCTGTCTGTGCTTGCGCAAGAGAGGCAAGCTGCTAAGCTACCGAAGTCTGTCGTAAGGGCTCTACTTAAGACCGACGACTGTGGAACCAGGCTCGTTTTAATGGCGTCGAGATTTCCAGTCGGTAGACTTGCTTTTGGACTTCTCCTGGGAATCATCGACAAGCTCACAACTTCGAATCAAACAGACAACTTGGAGTTGGTGGCAACTGTATTAGAAGCTGGTCTTCTCAGTCCTCAGCAGACTTCCATAGTTATCAAGAGTCTCTTGTTGGCGATCGAACAGATGGACGAGAGCGCAGTAGCCACACCTCAGCTGCGGGATTCGTTGGCCAGCCTCCTTGTTCGGTTAAGCAGCGCATCCAGCACCCGTCAACTCATTCACGGCGTCATCGAGGAGCAAAAGATGGATCTCGATGCGATCGAGATGAGACTGAAGACAGTGATAAGAGCCCCCCAAGAGCTACCGGACACGTACAACGATGACGTGGAAATGGCTGAAGCCACAAGCGCTGAATCCATCGCCCCGTTCGAGCATTCGATCTCCTCACTTACGGGTCAACAAGCGAACGAGGCTTCGTTCCTTCAGCCTACCGATATTGCTCTCTTTCAGAGCCTATCTCAGGCATTCCTGAATGCAGTTGATTCGGATGAGCACCTGGAAAAGTTTGTTTCATTGCCGGTTCTATCGAAAGACAAAGCCCTTAATCGACCTACCTTTCTTAGCTTCTTCATTCGCATGTGGTGCGGGCCGTATCCCGCCCTCGCCCGGAGCGCAGCGTTACAGGTAGTAACAGCTTGGCTTTCTGCTCATCCCTCAGAGCAAGTGGACCTGCAGGCACTTGTACCCTACTTGATCAGCGCCTTAGCAGACTCTTCGGCGAGCGTTAGGCGCGCCGCAGCGGAATGCACACTGGCCTTGGCGCGCTCCTATAGAGACGGCGGCAAGGAGGGGAAGAAGCTATCGAGTAGGACTGTCTGGGGCTCGAAAGCCCTATATGGAAAGTCGACTGAGTCCACTTTCTGGCTTGATCCCGAGCAAGCAGCCAAGTTCCTTTCGAAAGTGCTAGTCCCCAGTTTGGAAGAGTGTGTCCTGGATGCCGAGCATATAAGCCAAATCGTTGGCACAGCACTCAGCGGAAAGACGCGACCCGGCGAGCATGTGTCGGCAATTGAGCTTAAGACTTCGCTCAGGTCGGCAGTGTGCACCTTTCTAAGCAGTCACTTCGCACACACTCCTTTGCTCACTGTACGCTTGCGCCTCATTCCCGTTCTTGGCCGCATGGGCAAGACAGGGACAAAACCGCGTGTAGACTTGCTGCTCCCGGCCTTGCGGCATTGGCTTACACTACCCAATGACGAAATTACAGCGCTCTGTCAAGCCGAGAACCTGGAGCCATCACAGGTTGACCGCGAGTTTCTACAGCTCATCAACGCCCGCGAGCATGAGTGGCTCCGGCTTCTGCAGTCCATCATGAGCGGTGAGCTGGCTGCAGGACGGCGGTGGATACATGAAGTCGCATTCGAGCGTACTAAAACATTATGGTCGTCGTTGAACTCTGGATTGAAGCAAGAGCTCGGCCAGTTTCTGCTTGACCTGTCACTTACTGGCACCAGCGATGCCACCACAGGTGACCGGTCACAAGAAGCCATGGATATCTTGCGGTCGGTTGATCTTACCACGGATGTCCTCTCAGCTTTTCTCGATGGCCTGCCCAGCGCTACCAACATGGTAGACCAACCGCCTGCTGCCAAGCGGCGCAGGACAAGCAAGGCAGACGCGGCCCGACCCATTGTCCATGATACGAACGCCATCAACGATGCTCTCAAAAGAATTACATTGGTGCTCGAGCTGGTCGAAAGCTCCTCGCCAGAGAAGCACTCACAACTTCTCCGTGGTCTTTTCCATATTCTCTCTGAACTCCAGCACTACAAGGCCCAAACCAGCTCCAGTCTGGTCTACTTGCAAAGCCTCGCCATCAGCTGTTTACTCTCCATCGTCGACAAACTCAAGCACGACCGTGCTGCGCAAGTCGATCGCTCAGTCATCCGTGCCGATCTTCTGGTCGAGTGCGTGAGGTCGACATCGAATCCACAAGTGCAGAACTCGGCTATCCTCCTCATCTCGAGCCTTGCCACTTGGGTACCCGACCTCGTGCTGCACAGCGTGATGCCGATCTTCACCTTCATGGGCACGACTCTGCTGCGACAAAGTGACGACTATTCGGCGCACGTGATTGACCAGACCATCTCTAGGGTGGTTCCTCCGCTTGTGGCATCCCTCAGAAAGCGGAATCAGGACTTGGTGTCCGGTGCCGCAGAGATTCTGCTGAGCTTCACTGCAGCCTACGAACATATTCCGCTACATCGAAGGCTGCCATTGTTTGTTCAGCTTACCAAGACCCTCGGGCCAGACGAGGCCTTGTTCGCAGTTATAGCCATGCTCGTGGACCGGTACTCTACTGACAACGGCGTGAAAAGCTTCGTCACGGAGCTCATGCGGTCGGTCGAGCCGTTGACCCAGCTGAGGACCACACGGAGATATCTTGATTTGATTGAAGACAGTCTCCGGCCCAAGCGCACCATGTCTGAGGTTATCCTCAGCTTCAACGAGAAGGATGCGAGCCAGACTGGAAGTGCCATTGTTCACATCACAAGAACTCTAGCTACCCTTGTCAAGGATCCACAGCTTCGAAGCAGGCTCAGCAGAACTCTTTCAAGGGATGATGCGGACGCCGCAGCCGTGCACCAGCTGTTCGCTGAGCTGCTTGAGAAGGCCATCCGGCTTCTGCAGAAGACTTCTCTACGTAGCGAGCTTAGGGATGCCTGCACCCAGGTGCTATCGAACCTGCTCGGACTGCTTCCAGTCGTGGACCTCATCAAGTCTGCTGAGACGCTGCTCAGCAAACCTGACGATGAGGTCCGACGAGTAGTGCTTGCATCCTTGTATGCTCCGATCCAACGGCTAGGGCAGGCAGACGAAAGAGCAAGAGAAGCAGTATTGCGGTTCTTACCGCGAGTCACCGACATCATAACAACATCGGCAGACATCAGCTTGAAGCGTACAGCAATCCTCTGTATCGACCGAATTGCAGAGAAGTTCGGCAAGAAAGACACCCCGCGAATCGCTTCAACGGCCGAGGTCGTCGTCGGTGAGCACGCGCTCGGTAGTCACGACGATGGACTACGCCGTGGTTCACTGCTCTGCCTCGCCACAGCCGTCGAGGTCATGCACCCAGACGAGTTCATCCCGCTCATGCCACTGGCGCTGCCCAAGGCTTTTGCATACCTCGAAGAAAGCATCAACGGTGGCGAGGAGAAAGAGCCTCTGCACAATGCTGTCTACGCTTTCATTTGCGCGATAGTCGAACATGTCCCATTCATGTTCTCTGGAACGCACTTGGACAAGACGTTGCAGCTTTCATACAGATCGGCTGTTGCGGACCTGAGTGAGGAGGCGGACGAGAGCCGACAACAGTTCTACAGGCTTGCGGTGAGACAGATAGATGCGAGGGAATCCTTCGCGGCGATTGAGCGCAACTGGGACGGTGCTGTGCGGGCGGGCTTTACGGTAAGATGTCTATGTTTTGATTGTGCTGTGGGATGTGTCGCTTATGCAGAACAGGCTCTGAAGGAGCAGATCGAGATGCTCAGCACGGCTCTCGCACGGCATCCGAAATCCGCCATTATCGGCAACTCGCAGACACTCTTCAGTCTGTTTCTGAAGGCCTTCGACCTGCGCCGCACCCGAGAGGTCGATGGTTTCATGGAAAAATACGACGACGATGTTCTGGCGGCGGCCGAGCACTTGATCAACGAATCCGCCATCGCGATGACCATGAAGCTCAACGACGCTGTATTCCGGCCGTTCTTCATAAGACTGGTCGACTGGGCTTCGAAGTCTTTGCCAAAGAAGGACGTCACAGGCAGACACCTGCGCGCGACGAGCTTGTTCGTGTTCCTCGGTGCCCTCTTCGACAAGCTCAAGGTATGTTTCCCGCCCTCAAGTTTTGTTTCCCGAGAGGATATCCTAATTTCCCCTAGTCAATCGTGACAAGTTACTCAATCTACATCCTCGACGTCGCCGCCGAGATCCTGCAGAACAACACGCCCGCCTCGGAGGAAACCCTCCTCATCTCCGTCCTAACTGCCCTCACCAAATCCTTCGAACACGACCAAGACGACTTCTGGCAATCCCCCCACCATTTCTCTGCTGTCTGCGCCCCGCTCCTAGCCCAACTCGCCCACGCCCCCGAAAACCCCAGCTACACAATTACCCACGTCATCCCCACACTCACCGCCTTCGCCACAGCCGCGAGTTCAGCAGAACACCACAAGACGCTCAACGCCGGCCTGCTCAAACTTCTCCGCCACGAGGAAGCGGGCGTGAGACTAGCGGCGGTTGAGGCGCAGAGAGCGCTCACGGAGAGGCTTGGGGAGGATTGGTTGGTGTTGCTGCAGGAGATGCTGCCGTTCATCAGTGAGGTCATGGAGGATGATGATGAGGGCGTGGAGAGGGAGACGTTGAGGTGGATTAAGGGGATTGAGGAGATTCTGGGGGAGAGTTTGGAGGGGATGTTGTTGTAGGCTTGAGTGGGAGGAGGGCGTTGGTGGGGTTGGGGGGAAGGGGTAGGGTGGGTTGCTGTGAGTTGGTGTTGATGGAGCTTACGCGTGTCATGGTTTCAGATGTAAGACTGTAAATAATGTCAATCTGGGTGTCAGGCGGCAAGTTCGCGTGGGTCCGTGGAACCGTCGTGGAAGCCTTGTATTTGTCTTGAACATCGAGGATCCGTGAATGTGAGCAGAAAGCCGCATTCTGCGCCTGGTAGGGTAGGGAAGATAGAGCTTACCAACGACGTATGGTGGATATAAGCAGAATAGGACAGATTGAGTTAGATTATGTCGGGCATGAGTGTGTTCCGGGGGAGGGGTTGTGGGTGAGAAACATTGCTTGATGACACACTAGTGACCTTGGCTCCATATCAGGATACTTCAACTACACCGCCAACTTTTCGAAGCCCTTTTGATACAGAAACGAAACAATTTTGAACGAACCGTAACGCTAACAAGCCCCAGATGTCTCCCGTGACACGCCATAGGTGTACATGCAAAAGTACACCCTGTGTCTATACCATCCCTAGCTACACTTACGGCACATCTCCGCTATGAGGTGGGATTGCGCCTCATGTTGGGCACGTCCGCAGAAAACTCACAGCGCGAGGGCGATGAGGCCCCTTCTTTGTCTCCGCCTCCACCTCCGCCTCCTCCACGTCACTACCAGCCGGCCTTGCCAGCTCCGCCGCCATCAGCAACCCCATCACAATCAGCGTAGCCAACCAGTCATTGACCACCTCCACAGTCTGCGGCACCATCTGCACCACAAAGTCGCCCTTTGAATCCTCCTCCACCAAAGCCGTAGCCCGGGCCAAAAGGTCCCCGTACGCCTCATCGAAGCTGGCTTCGCGCTCCTCAAACCCCTCAATCGCGCGCCAGACAGCCTGTAGCAGCAGCGCCATGCCGCGCGGGGTCGCTGAGTTGCCCCGCGGGCTTGAGGCCAGCGAGCTGTACATGTAGGTCGCGGCGTACAGCTCCTCGCGGTGGTGGCGGACGACACTCGAACCGTGCCACTGCACGCGCGCGCTGAAGCCAAGCTCGTCGCGGCGTGCTGCGTCCGCCCATGCGTGGCGGAATGTCAGGAGTTCGTTCCACCGCCCGCTAGCTATCTGCTCGACCGTAGGCGTCTGGATTGGCCGGAGTACACAACGGCACATGGGACAGTTGGGCGCTTTGTACGCTCGCACACAGCCGTCAGCCCATGAGCAGATACAGTGCCGGCAAAAGGCATGGCCGCAGTGGATCTGGATCGGCAGGGTGAGCATCGAGAAGGCGTCGCCGCATACGCTGCAGCCGCCGTCTGAGCCGGGCATGAGGGCTGCAGGCACAGGCTGGAAGCAGCCCTCGAATGTCTCGAATACTTCGTCTTCCTCATTGTCCTCGTCCTGGTCATACTCATCGTCGTCGTCATCATCATCGATGTCTGTTGCACGCATCCCTCTGAACTCGTGCTCGCCGGCGTCGATGTTGTAGCTATTGCCGCTATCCCAGATGTCGAATGGTACGTCATTCTCCAAGGTAAAGTACGGCGCGTATTCCAAATCATCGGCCAGCAAGGGCCCAATTTCGCTCGATGTGTCGTCCGAGTCGTCGTCTTCAAAGTCGGAAGCGTCACCTAGTAAGGACGGATCGATGCCTACAGGCCCATTGAAGCCGTCGGCGTCTTCATCATCCTCAGCATCGATGATCCAGCCTTCGGTTTCTGAGACTGGAGGCTCTGGCTCTTCGGCGGTGAGCGGCTGCCCGCTCGTTTCTTGTCCAGATGTGGCTTCAGTCACCTCACGAAGAGGCGCGACAAGTGCATTCTCGGCGGCGGGAACGTCCGTAGGTTCTACGGAGGCGAGGTGGCGGTCGTCCTCGCGGGTCTTAGAAGCCTCCATGGTCTTGGCGGTGGAAGTGGATGATGGAGATTTCGTGTTTGAGAAAGGGTGAGTGAGTGATGCAGAACAACGTAGGTATACAGCGTGGCTTTGAGTATATATTGGACTGAGATCACTAGACTGAAGAACAAGCATGATGGGAAGGAAGCGGACTATATATACTTAGCACACTGGCGATGTGTGGTCGACCTTGCCTCGAAGCAGCTAGGGCGTCATGTCAGAGCGGTACTGTCTGAGCGAGAGGATAGGGTGTTCAGCTTGCCCAGCGATCCAGCGGACGGGAGGCCAAACCTTAAAGTTGGCGAGGCTTGGTAGAGCGAGAAATCAGAACTGTGGTTGAGAGGTACGGAACGCACCAGGCCTCTCTGTCCTAGACACACGTGCTGGTTCTGAACATCAACACCCTCTTGTGCTTCTGAACGAGCCCCGCTTTCAGCTTCTCCACATGTTGCGTGAGTACACTGAAGATCCCTATAAGCCAGATACACCGCGTTCCGAAAAACTGCGAGAGCCGGCGGAAATTCTTCTCGATGCATCGCCTGACATCTTTCTTGCCTGTAAACGACTAGTCGAAAAACTGAGTGTGCTGCATTTGACTGTGGTTGAAGCCTTCGCTAGCCCACAGAACCACCTTTGACAAGCAACGTACCGGAACGCCACCCACAATATATACACACCATCAACATATTTTGACCCCACAACACTCCACACTCGCACCGTTTACCTCGGCGTCGCGATCAAAATACAACGCAATCATTTCCCTGACAAAGGCCTTATCAGCCTCACTCCACATATCCAGCCCCATCTTCACAAGATCCTCCCTCGTTACAACCACTCTATCACCCTCATCATCCTCGCCAGCCGCCTCGATAATCTCAGCCAAGTCGCCAACAAGGAGCGCAGTAATGCGGTGGAACGAGGCGATAACAGACGCATGCGGCGCAGCATAGACACCCGATGGTTCTGGTGGGACTCCCTCGCCACTAGATTGCGCCCGAAGCTCGAAGTCAAAAGCATCGCACACGAGTTCTCGGTCGCACTCTGCTTCCTGGGCCGCCAGGACGTCCTCCTCGCCCGCCGAGGCCCACCACATGAAGCTTGTGTAGGCGACTGCGGACCAGCTTACTGGCTCCACGAGGCTGTCGTCAACGAGTGTGTCGGTCTCGGGCGCGGGAGACTCGTTGCTTGTTTTCGGAAGGAGGGTTGCGCGGTCGCCGTTGTCGGTGTCGGCCTCGGGGTCGCGCGGCTCCTCCCGGTCCGTGCTGTTTCGTGGAAAGCGGGCCAGTTCGTCGGCGAGGAGCTTGTAGCGGCGGGCGTCGCGCTGTGTAGCTTTTATCGCGGTTCCTTTTGAGTCGCGGATCTTTGGCCAGCGCTTGTCGGTGGGAGTGTGGTCTGTGATGGGAGGGATTTCGACGAGGATGTCGTAGAGATTCGGCTTTGTGGCGAGTACTTCGTCGGTCGTGCATGCTACCCAACCGAAGGGAGTATCGTCTTCTACGTGGTAGGGAGATTCGACGGTTTTGAGCTCGTCCTGCAAGAGTGGTATGTCGTGGACGCCGATGGAGAAGAAGGGGCGCAGGCGGTGGTAGGATTCGTTATGGGAGGGAAGAAGATGGGCGGAAGATAAAGGTATGGATGACAGAACGGAAAGGATGTAGACTGAGGTCGGCAGTCAGCATAGTCGCGTCAAGAGAGTTCAGTATTTGAGGCCGGCAAACCATATTCACATGCCAGTCGAACCGGCGGCGAAATAACGAGAAGTATGCGCTTGCGAAGTAGTGCGGCTCTGTGTAACGGATATATCAATGGGCCAAAAGCGTCTATGAAGCGTAATATGGACAGCGCAGGATGGGTTGGCGGTAGCGATGGCGTCGAGCCCGGCGAAGTAGTGGCGATGGACATCCCTCTGCTTCTGCCTCTGACCTGGGAGGGTGCCTGAGCAGAGGAATGTGACCTGAGTTCCGTAGGCAAAGACGGCAATGCGTTGGACGTCGCTGTCCCATTTTCGCTCCTTGAGCGGTGCTCTTCCCAGTACTCCTCCAAAGGCTTAACCTTGGTAACATCGTCGACTAGCTGTGCTGCCAGCTGCTGCAGGTCCTGGGCGTGCAGCCAGCTTCTGCCCAGTCTTCCATAGCTCAATGGCACTAGGATTCCAACAGCGATCAAATGCGCATTGCGCTCCGACTCCGATGCTGGCCGGTTGATGAAGGCGCTGAGCCCGGCGTACTGCTGGTGGACAAAGTACACGAGGTCCTCTTTGACATTGTGAAGGCCTGAAGGCAAGCTCTTGAACTCGACTACACCCTCAAGCTGAAGGCCATGGATTGAGCGCTTCCAAGCGATTGTGTAGCCGACCTTTAGATCGAACCGGATAAGGAAGAGCGCGGCGAGCGGCGGGAGCTCCTCAGGCTCGGCTGTGGGTGGTTTGCCTGCTTTGTTCGCAGCTGCGTCTTCGTCACCAGGACCAGCCATCTTCGAGAGATTTCATTGCACAATGCGATGCGCTCGGGTGCAATGGCAAGATATCGACAGCACAGTACGGATGAATCTTGAAGGACGGAAGTCGCACGAGAGCCGGCTGCCTTTGGAGCGGGGCATGTCCGTCGGTGGGGACAGCCGCAGAGCCGCACCTTGTTTCTTCGTCTGTCCTGCAAGTGCATACAACCTGGTAAGAGTAAACAATCAAGGTTTCAAACAATTGAAAGCAGTCGTATTGCACATCCGTCCTCATGTGACTACTACACTGCGTGGCGGGTGTCCCTCTGAAGCGGCTGACAGATTCCCATTATCCGAAGTCTAGCTGCCGCAGCAAGGTAAGACGATCAGCAATATGATCAGGATGCGTGCTTGGGAGCGGAAAGAAACATCGGCCAAGCATCAACAACTAGGTCCATGGCTAAAGGAGCTGCTGTCGCTATGTTCAAGTTGCATCTCGATGACTTCCGCTAATGTAGAGGAAACAGTGGAGTGCCAGAGTAAGTGTATTTGTAGCTAACTCTGGCTTGGAGCATGATGCTATGTGCGGATAAGCCCGGCCATTGAACGAGGTTGACCAAATGCTGACCAAGGCTCTGAAACCCGTTGTTCCGTTAAGAAAGCAATGAAAACGCAAGAAATAAATCACAACAACGCCCATGCCCGACCTTCAATCTTCGAACAGGTCTCGCTCCCGCTCCTCACGTCGGGGCGGAGTACTCCGAAGTCGCTAGCGGCAGCTCATTCGCTTCGTATCGAATCTTCCCATCACTTTTGTGTAGTCGACTTGACTCCCTGCTGAAGTTTCCCGACTGCCTTGTGGCCATTGCTCTTTGCGTTGCTGGCCTGCAGAGGCTTGGATTTTGCCATGCTCTTTCCAGGGTTGGAAGACCCAGCAACGTCGACGTAGTGCTTCGCATTTTCTGTGATCATGTTAGTGAGTTTCTTGGTCGTGCTGTTGTGCCGTCTGACTCACGGGCACGGCTTGTCCAGCCAGTAGAAGACGTGGTGTAGTTGTATGAAGCGCCGCGAGCCTTACGTTGGAGGGACATCTGTTTCTTCTGGTGAAGAGCCTCGTTCAGCGCTTGAACCTTTGGGAATCGGCCTATCATCGCGACCATCATGGTGTGGTCCTCTTCCGCGATGAATCCCTGAGCTTGCAGATGAGGGATGGAGTGGAGCATGCGATGGACAATCCCGTGCTCAGCGGGGAAGGTGGTGCAAATCAGTTTGATCTCGGCCATATCCAGAGGGTGGAACGTGATCCATTCCAGGATGGCTTGGCGGATAGTGTGGAGGCTTCGCGGAAACTCAAGCTTTTCGACAACTTCGTAGACCTTGATGTAGTACTCTAATGTCTCTTCAGCAGGAAGTCGAAGAAGCGCGGGGTTGGCGACGTCCGCGTTGTCGTCCATGTATTTCAGGACGACCCCGGCCTCCTTTTCGCCAGCCGCTCGGAGCTCGAGGCGCAAAGCGCCTGCTTGGAGACTGCCACCCGGACGTTCAATGCACTGGCGGGCATATGAAGAGTAACGGGTCAAACCCTTGGTTGTTGCGGTCATGGAGAAGATCGTTTGCGCCTTTCCTCCTTTCTTCTGGAAGAAGACGTTCGTCATGGGCCTACGGTTTCCAGCGCGCTGACGAACAGAGGGCTTCTTGGTGCGAGGGGATCCGGGGGTGTAGTCGGCCGAGACGAGCGTTGTGACCGATGGAGCAGACATTTCTTGAGTTGCACCCGATGAGGATGTCACAGGCGACTTCGAAGGCTCTGGATTTGACATGATTGTCGTGGCGATAATGAACCAGAACAAGATGAAAGTGTTAATTGGGGCAGAAGAATGGTATGAAGTGGAGTGGTGTGATCGAGGTCCGATATGAGTGGAAAGGTAGGTAGAGAAGTGGATGAAGAAGAAACGAAGAGGAGGAAGGAAGGAATGGGAGCGCCTTAAGTAGGCTACGTTCTGCAGGGTCGCGGCGGCATCACGACACTTCACCGCGTTGCCCCCTGGTGACGTGCCTCGGGGGCGTGATATCAGGACGGCAAGGTGTATGTGAATTATCCGCTTCAACGGCCGCGCCCGCAAGTAACCTCCCGCAGTGAAGCCGCTTTCACATCAGAACTGCAGCCGATTGGTCGCGTATCAGCGTGGTTGGGGGTTCGCCGAGCTTAACTGTTACTCTGAAGTGCGGAAAGTTGGCTGGCACCTTGCGTGAAGTCGGAACAATGCTCGTCCTGATCTGTGCGTCGGTCATCGTGACTTCTCCACATGCACGGCCTGCACGACTGAGTGAATGAGAGGGGCACTGCACAACTGAGTGAATGAGATGGGCACTGGACTCGGCTGCCGTGACAGGAGTAACACGTACTGACACCTGCTCCTCCAACCGTAGCGGACCGTCACAATCCTCTGTACCACACGAGACCCTGCATACTAATTTTTCTTTGTTAGATATCTAGGAAAGGCTGATGATGACTGACTTGTTAATATACAATGATAGTCCTGAGCGCACCCTGATGTATTTAGGAATTGACCGAACAGTACGAAACACGGAAGTCAACTATTATACTGAGCGAGAGCTTTACTGTTGACAGTTGTCAAACACGCAGCTGGTGTGTTGTACACTATCAAGCGAATTTGCACAGCAGGGTACCTTATTCCACCGCACAATGTTTGTTCAGACAATGAGAGCAACGCTAACGACAGTCATGAAAAGGCATTTACGGTGGTTGGAATTGTTTTCTTCATGACATCATCAACTAAGTGATAGATCCAAGGCGATATCAAGAGCAGAAAGGACGCAAACATGAGCTCATGGGTGCGCAAATATGTTGTCCAAGCCCTGGTGCAAACAGTTCGCAGTCTGCGGCCTAGATCTGAATCGGCGAAGGTCTGTAGACGTTGGAGAACCTCCTCGTGATCCCGGCCATACTCGGGAAGCCGTGGACTTCAACCGTCTGCAAGGGATCAATATCATCGCTACACTTGGTCAGTTGCGTTGTCTATACGTAAGTAGGATAGAAAAGCTCACATGCTGATCGCCTCGGTTGTGAAGTAGTCCGAGACGGTCGAGTTGGGAGTCATGTCGAACGGATCAACATTATCGTTATCAACAGCGGGCGTAGGCGGCACAGGCGCCAGCCCGGGACGGTACATCCCCACAGCTGATGCTTGGAATGGAGAGTGGTGCTGCTCGACTGGCAAGGGTTGAATGCTCCTTGAAGGCACTTGCGTAGGACAGGCGGCGGAGATGGAGGCTCGGAAGGTTGATGGTGCTGAAGCGACGCTCATGGACCTCGTAGTTGCCGGTGGTGGTATTTCGACTGTGGATGGGTGGTGAGCATTGTGACTGCTTGTCAACACAGTCGAGAGCCGCTTGAAGATGGATGATCCGGTGGAAGAAACGGACGTGCTGCGGTTGGCAGGACTCTCCGGCTCCGCAACAGCCATGAGACAGAAGATGCCTCTAAGAGCGCCGACAGCAGAGTCAACGGCGGCTTGCACTGTCTGCCAGGAGTACTCGAGGCGTAGGAAGTCACCCATGGTGCTCTCGATGCGCTCGGTCTGCATCATGCAAACCTTGATTGCGTCGGCGACAATGGTGGTTCCTGTGATCAAGACGTTGGCGATGGCATCTTGACAGGCAGGCGGCTGCGATTCGATGAAGTTCCGGGCGGAGTTGGACATCTTGTCTATGGCGAAGTCTGCGATCTGATTTTGCTGGGACGCATCGACACAAATCTTAGCCCGTGTAGTGGGGTCGTTGCCATTGTCGGCGCAAACGATGGCTTTGGCGCTGTCGTAGACGTTTTTGAAGGCATCTTGGTGGACATATGCAATGCCGACGTTGAGGTTATCAAGTGTCGCTAGCACCGTGTCTGCTTCGTCTCCTAGGTTGGCTGTCAAGATGGCGACGTAGTCGATGTTGTCCAAGAAGGCTTGTACTTGGAGGGTCTTGAAAAAGGTAAAATCACCCGTGCGTCTGGCAGCATGCAGATTGTGCCGTACAAGCGCAAGCCGCTGGGTCCAGTGGAGTTTTCTTTCTTCAGTGATGGCCATGCTGGACGTCTTTGCTGTGTCAGTAAATACTGCACATACGGCTCATGCAGACTTGGTCCGTTACTGACATTGATGCGATAACTACGACCCTGCTAGACGTTGTCCGTAAGGGAAGTGTAAATATGTTCTGATGAAATGTATGAAGCCCCAAATCTGACCCCGGTGGGATGCTCGACCAAGAGTAGCTATATAATGGAAAAGGTAGCCTACGCTTTCAGCAATACAAGCTTTGTGCCGGCTCTGAATGCCCAGGGTACAGCGCTCGTAGAACCAAGTGACTACGTACTTTACTAGATCGAAACAGGTCTTGGAAATTACCAAGTAGAAGGATACTAGCAGCGTGTAACCATTGTGACTGCCCCCGCTTTCGGTGTTTGCTCAGTCTTCCATGTGCTCCAAACAAAAGGGAGAGAAGTTGGAACAGTAGAGTCTACGAACAGCTAAAGCTATTGCTGGTTAAGGTGTGCTCCAGTGAGATATATCAATGGGCGGGAGTCAGGCTCGAAGTCCGCTTGCGTGCCACAAAGACTCACCAACGTAGGAGGCTGGACCGTGGCGTCCGTGGGCTTGCGGAGGCGTCTATGCGATGCTGAGGGTATGCATCGAGCTCCAGATATCAGTACAAGTCAATTGGAAAGGAAGCTCTTGACGATTCAGAAAACCTGGTGCGCGTATTGAGCAGGACTTCAGTAGGAGCGACCAGGTCTGAGCCCGGATCTTATGAGTCGCGAGCATCTCATTAACTGTAATGCTGGTACGAAATACGTAAGGAGAGAAAGGGTTTAAGTTGATTAGATACAAGCCATCGACAAGAGAGGAAACCAAGATGAAGGACGTCAGCCTAGTAAGACTCTCAGCTCCGAAACATGTGCATAGCCGTGATGAGATCGTTAGAAATTGAAGTTCAGCTGTGAAGCTGTGCAACGCCACAAAGCCGAAGCCATGGACAAACCTTGTTCAGCCACCTACATCAACCTTCGTAACAGCCTTTGTTCGGCGATAGGTCGTGGCGTACTCTGTCTAACTCGGCGTGCTACGAGTTGCTTTCGCAACTGGGAGTTCGAGTTGGCTTGGACATTGCGTTTACCCCTGCGCTATGTGCACAATGCGACGTTTTTTACACGGTAATTGCCCGACCATAGGATCTCTGACGAGGTCAGAAAAGGTCCTCTCATGTTGCGCGATCCTCAACGACTGAGAATCCGCCTGTCTCTGAGCGTGTTGTAACGCTACGCATCTTCCCAATATTCCTTCCGCTTGCCGAATACCAATCTTCGAAAGTAAGCGTAGTCGTTCTTCAGAGTCATGCTCAACTCCGTCGAGCACAACTCAGGTGTCCCGAGTTTACGTTCCGTTCTCCTTTTTGCTCGTCCTCAGGCATGGTCGTGTTAGGTCCGCTGTCCGGTGGTGTGCACCCTCGGCCAAGGATCGCATAGGGCAGTCGCCATTGTTACAGCTGCTGTCCGAAGCTTTGTGTGAGTTCCTTCGACGTCTTCTGTTCCCGTACGCGCAGCACTTCATCGAGTTGTTTCGTCCGATATACAGTGGTTCTCTCACCCCTCTTGCTTTCCGCTACAGCACCCCCGATGGAGCTCAATGGCAATTAGATAGCCGCTTTATCCGGTTTATCAGCATGTTGTTCTTCTTTGTTTGGCGAGGAAGTCATGCCATCGCTTCGTTGCTGTAGCTCCAGCGGCATAGTGCTCAATGCATTCCATCGCGGTAGGTACAAAGCTCTGAATGGAATGCGCCTGAAGCTTAAGCAGTTGCAACCGTCGCGGCTGCGACCTCGGAGTAACGACTTTCCGGCGGCAACAAGCGCGCGGCAATCGGACAGTCCATCTCGAGTCGACCAGATCTCGCTTTGCCTCAAAGTATCCAACGCTGCCGACTCTCATCAAAGGTGTCGCGCAATGCCACTCTCGTCCACGATCCACTTCAGTGGTTGGCTGAGATTGAATTGCAATGATCGTAAATGGTAAGCACGCAGCGCATTGCTGTCAGTCGCAAGAAAGGCCAACGTGCCGCGGCTTAGTACTTTAAGGTTTCCATGGCGTGAAGGTCTCATCACTGTTCCTCTTACTTATCGTAAATCCGTTATGCCGTTAGGCCGAGCATCTCTTCCATTGAAGAGCCGGGCAATTTTTGCTAAACAACCAACGCCCTTCTGTGGCGAGTTCAAGATCGTGTTGAAAGGCGTTTTGAAGCTTCTCCAACTAGCCATCTCTAATGTCACAGAACGATTCGGCTGTACGGCACCTAGCGAACTGCTGGGTAGACGGCACACCCAAACTGTAACACTCAGACGCCTAACTCGATTACTATAGTTCGCTGATGCAGAGTCATTCTAGTAATGATTATGTACCGTTTCTCGTTACTCTAACGACAAAGAACGCCAAGACTGCAGGTTTCGACGCAAAAAGAACGTTATAGACTGCGATGAAAAGACGATACCAATACGCGCAACGCTCAAAGCACGCTCAGTGCAACCGGGTATCTATTTCCAGACTGTGTTCCATCCCAATGACCAAATGTGTACAACCACCTCCAGTCTCACCACTCACTTCCCGTTAACCGTCTTCACCAACCCCTCAACCTTCGCGTACAACTCCTGAGGATCCTCAAATACATGCCACACCCCCCTCGGCACATCCCTAAACGCCTTCTCAAATCGCTCATCACTGTTCTTCTTCTCCCCATCCACAGCAATCTCACTAACCCCCTCGACCTTCCTGATATAAATCCCCTTGATCCAGCCCGGAAACCGCCTATACGCCTCAGCATACGACTCTGGATCCGTCTGCGTGCTGTCCCCGATACAGATCATCTTTCGCTGCGGGAACCAGCCGTTGATTTTCTGCAGCCGGTCGACTTTGTACGCCTCCGTGCCGCGCGTAAGGGAGCTCAGGAAGCCGGCGAGATTCATCCACGAGGCTTCGCGCAGGATCAAGGTGCCGGGCGGGTAGTAGTCTTGGCGGAAGCGGCGCAGGAAGGGGTACAGGTTATACGGCGAGGCGGAGAGGTAGAAAAAGGGCGGGTTCTGCAGGAAGTTCTTGAGGTAGCGGTATAGCTCTGGCATGCCGGCGATGGGCTCCGGCTCTTCGGCGAAGGTCGTCTTGAGGATGCCCAGCGGGCTCGAGGTAAGCGTCTTCTTGATCGTGTCGTCGACGTCCGAGATGACGGCCCAGCCCTCCGGCTCGGCGAAGATGGTGACGGGCGCTGGGGTCTCGGGCGCGAGAGCGGGAGTGGAAGTCGTGATGATGCTGCCGGATGGGAAGAGGCTGTTTAGCCGGACGACGTCGGAGCTGATGCCATCGCGGCCGCTGGGGCCGAGTCGCTTCATCTGCTTGTCGCCGATGTCGATGTCCACGCTGTGGGCGGGCAGGATCTGGTCCACGAACGGGCGCAGCCGCTCGGCTATGAGAGCTTCAGCCGCGTCGCCGCTACCGAGTCCGATCTTCTCGGCGATGTCGGCGGCGACGGCGCTGAGGTCCCGCCCACTACCTTTGACGAAGTAGGCGGCTACGAACTCGGCTTGCCATGCTTTGGGGTTGTCGGAGGGACGGTAGGCGGTGTTGTCGAAAATCCAGACGGAGTGCTTCTTGGGGTCGACTTCGCGGTAGAAAGGATTACGACGGCCGAGATAGGACGACAGCCGGTCGGCGAGGCTGCTGTCGAAGCGGGATGTAAGCGCAGGCATGACGGCCTCCCAAGCATCGAAGTCGTTTGCGTCGCGCAGTGCTCTTTCTTGCTCGGTTGCGACAGGATCCTGGGTAGCTTGAAGGGCCTTAGCGGCCATGTTGATGTAGTCCATAGTGGCAGGCTTTATAGGATGTTGATGTGTTCCTGTGGTCAAAGAAATGTTCGAGGTGCCTAGGGGGGCCGTGAGTCAGATGGAGGCGCGGGTGCACGAGGAGGAGCGCAGGTGGGAGGGTCGGCGACAGGCTGCATCGCGAACAAAGGCGACTTTATGGGTGGCCGAGTCAAGTGGACTGCGGTGATCGTGCCTTGGAAGAGGTGCGTGGATCGGCGTGGATGGACGACAGGGAAGGCGGGGGAGAGCATGACGCGGGCACGGCGCACGTGACGTGTACCAGCTGTTCGCTGTCCGGATGTCTTGGATGAGACAACTCGCCACGGCGGGCACAGCCACCACGAGGCGTGCCTTCTTTGTCGAGAGAGCTTCGTCTGCGCCGAGCACCGTCCCTGTGTGCGAGATTGCTCTAGCAGAGCAGTGTACCTAGGTAGGAGTTGGCATCTGAAGAGGCAACACGTCTACCGCGCCGATCAGGTACAAGCGCGTCGCGTCTTAGCTCGTCGCTATCGGCGGCTTCGCCTTTGATCCCTGGCTGATAGCTGGAGCTACCCATCGTGTTTCCGCGGTTGCGTGTGGAGATCTTCTCAATCGCCTCTCTCTCGTCTGACCGAAGCAACAAAGAGTGTAGGTACTTTATCTTGAAGCTGGTTGAATGTCGTGCTCCCGTGTGTTGATGCGATGGTGACGGAGCTGGTTTGTGAAGCTCGCATGACGTCGATCACCGTAATCCTCGAGCTTCCCGGCTTCAAACACTGAGGTTCTCCATATCGAGACAACTCCAACATCTTCGTTCTGTCTAAAAGTGTTTCTCGAGTCCTCATAATTCACATCTCCAGTCTAAGCACCTCTCCCATCCTCCTACCACTTAGCACGTGACTATCAATCTTCCACCATGTCTTCCGACTCTCTGGCCATCTTCCGCAGGACTGGGCACGAAGACCTCCAGAAGCTTGCCGAAGAGCACTTCAAACACGAGTGAGCATAATCACAGCCACGTATCCTTCCTACATCATCCTCCATACTAACGGCATCCAGTCTCGAGGACAAAGACCGCGAGACCCTCTACAAAGCCGCCGGCAAGCTCTCCCGCCATGCCGCCATCGGCTCAATTGTAGGCCTCGGCCTCGGCCTCTACGCCGCCTACCGCCTGCGCAACGCCCGCCTCGCCTACTTCCAAGCCTTCCGCGCCGCCGAGAAGCCCAAGGCCGTGCAGTTCGCCGACGGCAGGACCGAGCCGATCCCAGACCTGGAACCGCTGCTGCGGCCCAGCCGCTGGGGTGACATTGCTACCTACACACTCTTCGGCATCAGCGGGCTGTTCCTCGGCGGTGAGACGGGCCTGTTGACGGGCAGCGCTAGTGCTAGAAGGACGGTGAGAAAGGATCCGGAGAGCAAGGCGAGGATCGAGAAGGCCTTTAGGAAGTTTAGGGCGGAGGTGCTGCGGAAGCAGGCGGATGCTTTGGAGGGGACGAGCAGCCTTAAGGAGAAGATCTTCGGATGAGGCCGCTGAGGCTCGCCGAACTGCATGAATTTGGAAGGATCAATGTAACGATGGGACGGTAGTTAATCTCCATAAACGGGCGTGATTTGTGGGAGGGTTCAAAGCTGCATGGTTTGGTGCTCTGGGTCAGCTTAATTCACGAGCTTATGCTTCAAACTATCGCCTCCATCCCCCGACGTGCTGGCTATGAAATCCATGGTGTTATTACTTTCGTCCATCTCATGCACTTTGACTCGGACTTCGAGACCCTCTCGCACGTGCGCACAGATTAGTGATATGCGACCTTTGACACAAACGCTCACCTGGGCTAAATCTGGCGAGATGGTGTCCCCGTATCGCGGATGGTTGTTCTTTGCTTGCGATTAATCCGTGCTAAAGTCGAAGTGGGACGATGCGAATTGCACAGTGCAATCTGCGTGGCGGGACGCAGGAACGTCGGATCTTGAAACCACCAAGGGGTCTGTGCACACAACGTTCGTTTCATGCGGCGAACCCACACGCCTTCGGCCCCAGATGGCTTGCGCCGTCCCGTATTCCACGATCCTCGAAATACACGGATGGGGCCGCGCCTCAAGCCACGTTATGCTGGCAGAAACAATCAAGGGACAGCGCCGCCCCAGGTGGATTGGAGCCAGACCGTTCAATCCGGGTATTTCCAGAGAATACGAAGAGTAATTGCCGGTTCCTCCCTCGCGGTTTGATCGATGACGGGATACCGGTCTAGCCCGACGAGGTCTACTTCAGCCTCGTTCTGAAATCTGCTCCGCCTCTCTTCTCTTCGTGTCCCGTCAACTGCGTGCCGCTGGCTTGGTCCCGAGTCTTGAGTGTCTGGATTCGCTGCTTCTACAAGTCGACATTACGGCAAAGGGTGGTGAGTCCATTGTGATGCTGTATTGACTTGAGGAGTAGGTGTGTACTGGTCTATTGTCTGCAGGACGTGCGGATAGTGCGCTCGACTATTAAGATTAAAGTTGGTCTTCCTGAAGCCACAACACGTGGCTTGCATGAACCGTTCGCTGCCTCCGCTCTTTAAAAAGAACTCGCAAGGATTGCTTGTGATGTGCATACTTTGAAACCAGCCTCATCAGGCTGCCAGGAGGTCTTGCTCCCCATCTTGAACAATATGTAAAGTCTTGAGGAGTCACGTCCCATGATGCCTCGATCACTGGATCTCATTGCGGCATCGCTGAGTAGGCCATCTTTCGCTCATTACTGTTTCATCTCGTTCTGAAGGAAGACCTCTTCCCTAGAGTCACTCGTTCAATACATTCTTTTTAATCAGCTACTCTGCCTTACCCTTCTGACGATGGCTTCGTCGTGTTCACGCTCATTTCTGCTGGCATTCGTCTTCCTGCTTCTTCAGGTATGCTGCGCCTTGGAACTACAAGAGATCCGCCCCTGGCAAGCGCAAGCGCGCAGGTCACGGTTTGGGAAGAGAGACACGTCTGGCCTCGATCTTCGGAACGCGGAAAGCTTCCTCTGGGGAGGCGCGGGTAAGACCTCTTGTTCTCAGAACAAACTACACAACGGCTTAAATAATTGACTGACCCAACTAAAGACAACACTGACGCTGTACTCGGTAACTTTACTATCTACGTGCCCGGCGATCATGAGCACATTCTCTCCATGGAAAAGTTTGATGGTATGCTCGAGTCGGTCGACTGCACGCCCAACGGGATGACGTTGAAGTTTGAGGATGACGGGACCTTTGCGTATGCCCAACGAGCTTGGGACTGGGTCAATGGGGCCGACAATCACACCTTTCTCATGGTAGCCGGCCGCGGCGACTGTGGAAACAATATTCGGAGGATCCCATACCTCGTCTCCTCCATCGAATACGACGAGGATCTGAACATTGCTCGGTTGAACGCTACGACGGGCGAGTGGAAAAGCCTCGCTCGTTCCTACGAACTCCTGGTTGGAAGCGTCGCAATGGCGGGCGACGCTGGACTCAAGACGCGAGACATAACCAAGGACGTAGCTATGAACATCGCGACCGCATTTCCGTTCAAGGTGAAGGTGGAGAAGGGCCGCATCTCCGCAGAGCTCGAATGTGACGAGAAAGACTGCCACACGACGGGCAAGATCAACTTCGAATTTCGCATCACCCAGAATGTGGTTGGCATTCCCGATGGCGCAAGATTCCGCATGACTCCCAGGGGCGTGACTGCGCAAGCGCGACTGAAGCTGAACGTCGCGAGCAACTTCGACAGCCAGAAAGAACTTTGGAAAGAAACCGTCCTGTCAATTCCGCTGAACTCGATCAACATCCCCGGCAACATCTTAGAAATCGGTCCTTTCCTCGACATCGATGTCGGTGGCGAACTTACCGGGTTCGAAGGGAGCGTGTCGATAATCTCGGGAGCTACGGCAACCTTGTCCAACTCTGCTGTCCTCCAGGCGGATCTGCTGAATCCTAAGAATAATGAGTTTTCGGGGTGGCTGCCAAGTGTTGATGTAATGCCGCTCACAATCGAGGCCAAGGTCGCGGCTACAATGCAGGTGTTTGTCATGCCTGCTGTACGGATGAGGATCGAGGCTCTGGGTACGCATCCCAAGACATTTACCAAGACCCATTGAAGACCATCCGCAGCTGACGTCTCGCACAGGCAAAGGTGTTGAAGCGGGACTCCAGCTGAAGATGCCATTCTTCGAGATTAAAATGGAAGGAGTAGCCGGTAAGTAACCGCTTCTCAACCCCTCGTCTTAGCTGCTCTTACTAAGTGCCTATTCTAGCTGCGGCCGGGGGAGTCTGCGATGACCCGACGAAGACGCTCGGCATAGAGGTAAAGCCCTCCTGCGGCGTCGAGATCAAATTCGCGGCAGGAAAGTCGAACAGCAATGGCGAAGCTCCGGTCGATGTCACGCTAGGGGTAAGTCGACTCTTCAGAGCCTCGCAGTTGCAGCTGCCCATGAGTTCCGGGCTCACGATATCACCAGACCGTATTAGTTCCCATGGGAAAAGGTCTCTGTTACGGATTCAATCCGGACGGTAAAACGCCGACCCCAACGAACGGAGGTTCTGCCCCAAAACCCACAAGCGCTGGTAGTGCTGGCAGCTGCACGGCAAGTAGCGGGCTAAAAGGCACTTGCACCTTCACGAGTTCCTGCTCTAGCAGCGGAGGCAAGTCAGAGGCTGGACACTGTCCGGGCGCAGCGAACATTCAGGTATGGTTAACTGATCAAGTGGCACTCTCCATTACTGACATGCCGAAGTGTTGCACCCACCCCACTGGCAGTGGCGCAAGCTGCACCGCCAACGGCTTAGCGGGCAAATGCATTTCCACGAGTGCTTGCCGAAGCGACGGCGGGCAGTCTGTGGCTGGTCACTGCAATGGCCCTACGGACATCCAGGTAAGGCTCTATCAACCAAAAGATTAACCATACCCGCATGCTTGTACACATACATCTGCTTCGAGGTTGTGAAGTCAAGAAGCTGTCGGTTTCTGTTTCTAACCTCGATCTCCACCAGTGCTGCACCCACCCCAAACCCAAGCCTGCCAGCAGCAGCAACGTCTGCACAGTCAAGCCCAGCGGCCTCGTCGGCGAATGTATCTCCACCAGCTCGTGCAAGGGTCTTGGTGGGAAATCGACAGCGGGCTTTTGCCCTGGTGCGGCGGATACACAGGTATGTTTCAAGATTGATGTGGTTGCGAGATAAGGCATGACTGACTGTTCTGCAGTGCTGCACCTACAGTACTTGTGCGGTTAAGGGAGTCTCGGGCTTGTGTCAGCCCACTTCGTCCTGCAAGGGCACGTCCACGCCGGGGTACTGTAAAGGTGGGGATAATATACAGTGTTGTACCGGTTGAAGCAAGCTGTTGTAAAAGAGATCCTAGATGGGTGAAGGTTGGCAGGAATAGGATGGACCTTATAAGGAGGTTGTTGTCTTCTGCGTACATTAGAGCATACTTAGCGCCCATTTGCTATTTGAGAAAGCGTGAATACCTTATCATGGCTTGAAGTTGCAGTACGAGACGCAGAAAATCATCACGAGGTCCGTGCATAGCGCTTGTTGTGGGAGACCTAGGTACATAACAAGCCTTCCGCCCCCGTTGCTTGCGCCATCTTGTATCCCACACTTCTCAAGTATTGTACATTGTACAGCATCCTCCCACGTCCGATGAGTAGTCCGCATCGGCGCCTAAGCCCTTGTTTCTGAAGATATCATTGGCTCAACCTTCGAAAGCCACGTCCTCTCAACCAATCAGATATTAGCCCAGTAGCTGAAACCCTCTGTGGAAGGCGTCAACTACCCATCGGACGTGTCAAGGTGCTGTACAGGTACGAAGGGCCGGCCCGGCCGGGTGGTTACCGCTAATACGAGTACTCATTCCAACACGATGTCCGCGGGTGATCAACGCGGACCACGGCCAGGCATCTTTGGCCCAGCCCAAAATAGCGAACCAGCAATTGAGCTCCATCACCCTCCATCGATATATATATGAGTGTATCTAGATTTGAGATACAAGACTTGAGACATTCTACTTCCTCAGTCTTCAGAACCCTTTCAGTATCGAATCTCCACGCTCTTTTTCGGTCGCTTGAGAGTACAATCAGGACAGCCTCTCTACTTCCTGAAGCACAGAGTTGCATCACCGATGCTAGGCTGCGGAAGATGGATGTGTGCAGGCTCATGGACGACCGAAGGCGCTGCCTCGATGACGCCGGCTATGGCCGCATATGATCCAATCGCGTACTAGCCGCAACCCCACAATTCTACCCCAGCACTTGAGAATTCGGCGCTCAGCTGGCAACCACAGGCATATCACGACCCGCCAAAGGCTTACGAACGATCCTGGAGCGAGCTGAGGGAGAGCTGAAAACACGATGGCCTGACCACGGAGAACACACCATCTTGAGCTGCCTCAAGAATGCATCCTCTTGGACAAACGATCTAAACCCTGAAATGAGCCAGCCGTCTTCCGATCACCCAAGGTGTGATCACCATCGAAATCAGGAGATGGCAGCCAACATACAGATACGCGTGAATCAGCTGGCGTATTGGTCAGTCTTGGCAGCTGATCGGATTGTCCAGATGCAGACGTGGGGAACTCTTGACACGAGCCTAGTTTGCCTTGTAGGCAAATGCACATTTTTCTTTGCATACCATGGTGTGAGCACTTCCTTGGCAGGAATGCTTTTGGCCAATCTATCAGAGAATTTGGATGCGGTTGCACTTGTAGGTTGTCCTGTCTTAAATCTTCTCAAAACTTGCGGTACTCGTTCTATCAGCTACCTTTCACGTAGAGCGTGCTCCCCTTCTCATGTCTTTCTGAAAGATACAAGCGTGTCTTCAAGTACATATATCAAGCCACAGCGTAAGCTCTTATCGATTGTAGTTTATTCTCCTCTCGAAATTACATCTAGAGACAATAGCGATACTCATCGTCGTTCAGCGAGACCCTTAAGAGGGGTGTACTTTTCCAATAAGTGGCAGGGATGAGCACCGCAACTTTTGTAACGGATTGCGTTTCAGCCTCAAGTTTGCGGTTTCTCTTACGAACGATAACTCTGTAGGAGTTTCCCGTGCGCCAAAGCAATATTTGGCGTGCATAAGGATCCCTGTCAAAAGGTGGTTGTTGGTGCAATGGTAAGAGGAGTAAGCCTGTGTAAGACGCCCCAGCTGACTAAGCATTAGTCGATCTATCCCCCAGGTACTATCCTAGGTTGAGCTGAACTGAAGCTGAAGCTAGAGGTGTGATGCGTTCAGCTCCCTCCGATGCTGAAGACCGAGCCGTGGTCACATGGACGACGAGGTTCTTCTACAGGAGAGTTTTAGCGGAGAATGCAAATGCATAAGAGCGCAGAGAAAGTGTAGTCTCTGAGCAGCCTTCTCGTCCATCCACTGATCTCTCAAAGCAATTACTCAATAACTCCCTAGTTTGAACATTCTGCTAGCACAGTCATGTCTTCGGATAGCGTCAATGTATATATTGACAAAGACAAGCAAGGCGTACTCCACAGCCTTGATCACCTTCAAGAGCCATATGTCCCTCAAGACGCATCAGCCCAAGCAGACGCAGTGAGCGTTAGTCAGCAGTACATAAAAGACCAGGCCGCCACCTACGACTTTCCCGAAAGTTATCTCCGAGAGCTCGGCACAGAAGCATCAGCTCAACAAGGCTTGACAAATGATAAGACTCCGGCACTTCGGTTGGCGGAAGGTCCAAAACGTCGTCTCAGAAGCACAGTTGTGTCTTACCAGCAAACCATTCTCGGCTTTCCCGTCTGGGAGACGGGCTTCAGCGTCATGCTGGATGAGGATCCGCCGGACCATCTCCGTGTCGTTGGTTCTATCAGCACAGCCCAACCGAACATCGAAGCCGAATTAATCAAGGAGCCAGGATTAGAGGCCGAATTTCTGAACGAAATTAGCGAGCAGCGCCTTGTCGAAGTCCTAGGGCTCGACGCGACGGACCAGGAAATTCGCATCAACACGCAACGTCTACTTGTGTACAAGTTTGATCCCGAAACTCGGCAAGAGATAGAAGATGATGAGTCCCGATGGTCTGGAATGGATGTCTCTGTTCCAACGCTAGAGCTGCCGCCGGTGGAAGACAGTATTCTGGCCAGGGACCAGCCCAAGATCTACTACGTCTGCAGGGAGGTGCTCTTCACCTGGCGATTACCCGAGACTGAGTTTGGAGACATCAATTGGAGAGCCTTCATTGAGGTTGACACCGGAAGCGTCCTCTATCTGCGTGCCCTAATGGCATCTATACACGGGTCTGTATACACTGCAGATCCTTTTACGCGCCTTGGTGCCACTGCTCCCTCAGCTTCTGCGCCAGTAACTGAGCTTGATAAAGTTCGCGAATGGAAGGAACTTCCCGCGATAACGCGCGCCAGTCCCCAGGAGCTGGCAGGCCGTTATGTCCGGATCAAGGATTTCGATCCACCAGCTGTTCCTGCTCCGACCAGCCCGACGGGAAACTTCAGCTTCAGCGTTTCATCAGATGAATTTGCTGCAGTGAACGCCTATTATCAGATGGCAAGCCTGTTCAATCTGGTGGAACGCTTGGGCTTCAATGTGAGGGAGCTTTTCAATAGCACAGCCCCAGACTCGCAGTTCCCTTTACCGGTCGATCATCGCGGATTCAATAACGCAGTCAATGCTAAAGCTCCTGGAAATTCAAGAGGGGACGGTTCTGGAGGATTCATCTTCGGTATCGCAGCACCTGGCACTACTATCGGCATGGGTTGCGATTTCCGCGTTGCCGCACACGAATTCTGCCATGCTCTCTTGTGGGATGCTGTGCATAAACCCGGCTTTGGTTTCGCGCACAGCGCTGGCGATGCGCTTGGCAGCATTTTCTGCGATCCCACCAGTCGACACACTGATCGGTTCGATACTTTCCCTTGGAGCGTCATACGTCGCCGTCACGATCGTGCCATTGCAGACGGCTGGGCATGGGGTGGCGTCCAGGACAGAGGAGGATATCTCAGCGAGGAAATCCTGAACACTAGCCTTTTCCGTGCCTACCGGTGCATTGGCGGGGACGACGCGGATATCAAAAAGAAGAGATGGGCTTCAAGATACATGTTGTACCTCATCATCGCGGGCATCGCATCCCTGGCATCAGGCTCCATAACCCCAACTCCAAAACCAGTTCCGTACGTCACTGCGATGATGCTTGCAGACGGAGGCACAATCATGGGATACCCCGGAGGCGCCGTCAGGAAAGTCATTCGCTGGAGCTTCGAAGAACAGGGCCTCTATCAGCCAGAGGGTGTCCCGGGTTCCGGGACGGCGGTCACCACCAGGGGCGCACCTCCTCCGGTTGATGTATACATCGATGACGGTCGTAGTGGAGGTTACAATTACATCACGAACTGGGATCAATCGACGGGCATCTGGAATCGGCGGGCTGCTGACTCGGGGACAGTCCACCAACACCCGCTCAGGGATGTCCCAAACTACTGCTACGTGCGTATCAGGAACAGAGGAACGCAAACAGCCCAGAATGTTGTCGTAAGCGCGTATCACTTGGCGGATAACGCCGACGACACCTGGCCGGCAGGCTTCGAGTCTACGACTACCGCTCCAATCTCCGCGCCCGCTATTCTTGCTGGCGGCACCAGAATTGTTGGACCGTTCGAGTGGGTTCCTCTGCACAACGTAACGCCGGATAGCCTGCTTGTCGCTGTCAGTGCTCTTGGAGACCGCTCGAACATCGATCCTCTCAGCGGTTTAGCTTGTGCACGTGGTCCGACAGACATTGACAAGCTCGTTCCCTTTGACAACAACATCGGTCTGCGGGCTGTGACGACTGTGGCGCCCGCTTAGTTATGTGCCGGCAATCGAGGATCATGACGCAGGTAGGTCGAGCTTGAGGTGATCTGAGTCACAGAAGATTATAAGTCTAGAGTCATGGCTGACTTCTGAAGTAACTGTCGAGTTTCGCCGGTATTGGGAGCTGAAACGGCCTATCGAAGAAGCAAGGCGGAAATCTTCATACTTAGCGAAGTTGCGAAATTCTGAGTTGGTTTACAGTGATACGCGGCTTGAGGTTAAGGGCCTAAGGCAGTAGGTAGTCTTACTTAGCACGTTTTGAAAACTCTTGGGTTCTGGGCCCATGTAGTCTTGTGCCTATGCTCTATAGGTGGGTCGCCGTTGTGAGCTGATTGGCCCTTTTCATGAGTTGATCCGATGATGGAGAAGCAGAATGAGCCGACTCGTGTGCTCAGGGTGTTCGATCGTCCGTCCGTCCCCGTCGGACGGCCTCGGACGGTCCGACGAGGTAAGGGGGCGCCACCGGACGGGCGGATGGGGCTCGGCAAGCTTACGGGACGGGCGGACGAGGCTGGACGAGGGGGTTTAGGGTATCCAGAGTCTTGGCATAGTGTGATAAAAGTTGGCAGCATTTTCTTACATAATATACTTTATCTTGCCTACTACCACCCCCCTCGTGCTCTAATAGCTGCTATTATACCTTATTATTACTAATCGTGATGTATTGACTTCCGAAAGTTTAAAGGTAGAGATAGAGCTTACCGGACCAATTAAGTCCTGCTTACTAAGCCGCTAAGCTCTAACACCATGCCAAGCCTCGTCTGCTCGTCCGTCCACTGCTCTAGGATGGACGGACGAGGCTCTAGCTATGTGTCCGACGGTCCAGGTCTTGGCACGTCCGTCCGTCCGTCCAACCGTCCCGGATGACCTATCGAACACCCTACGTGTACTGAAAATGAAGGTTCTCACTGCTGTGCTAAACCCAGGAAGGGATGCTCAAGCTTACATGCAAACACAGAAAGGATTCAGGCCTCCAGCATATGAGTCCATGCTAGTAAGCTATGGCTAGGTGCTTGGACGTACTATCCCATCTCATCTGGGCGGCGGTTGGTGTGGATTTGACACGATTGCAGTTAACGACCCCCACGAAGTGTGTCAGATTTTGGGGGCCGCTTACATGCACCAAATATTCTTAAATCCCCTCCTCCTCTCTTCTTTGACAAACATCCAGATATCCCCTCTGTTGAATCTTTCTCCGAATACCGTGAAGCACGAGGTATATCAATCTACAATCACACGTCAAGAACTTGGAAGTATGTCGACCTCCGTCGGCACCGCCTTCAGCAGCGCCTCCTCGCCTGTTCTGACAGCCCTAGTAGCCGAAGGAGCTAATCTCTCTTCGTCCAGCGCTCCTTGCGTCTCCACCATGAGTCCCGAGCAAGTCCAGCAGAAGTACGTCGAAGAGCGAGACAAACGGGTCCGCCTCGACGGGACGAGACAGTAATTCGACCTTGCTACATCTGAGAAGTTTAAACACTTGACAAACGATCCCTGGCTTGATCCGCATTCCCCTGCCAAAGGGCCCAGATTAACGACCGGCGCGCGGGTCAAGATCCTTGTGCTGGGTGCTGGGTACGGCGGTCTGCTCTTCGCCGTCCGCCTACTAGAAGCCGGCTTCAAGGCCGAAGACATCTGCATCGTGGACTCCGCGGGCGGATTCGGCGGCACGTGGTACTGGAACCGGTATCCTGGGGCCATGTGTGACGTTGAGAGTTATATCTATATACCGCTGCTAGAGGAGACGGGGTATATGCCGGCGCACAAGTATGCGTATGGACCAGAGCTTAGGAAGTATGCGGAGATGCTTGCGGAGAAGTGGAGGTTGGAGGGCAGGACTGTGTTCAGAACTGTGGCGAATGAGATCAGGTGGGATGACGTGGGAAAGGAGTGGGTTGTGAAAATGAAGCAGAAGAGAGACGAATGGACAACCTGGACTTTGGGCTGCGAGCCAGCTTTGTTATCGCAGAATCTGGCCTTCTGAACTACCCTAAAGTCCCTCTGGTTCCGGGGTTGGATGCTTTTAAGAGCCACTGCTTTCACACGTCCCGATGGGACCACCGATACACCGGCGGCTCACCAGTGGATCCGGCCCTGACGAACCTGAAAAATAAGAGAGTAGGCATCATCGGGACGGGCGCGACGGCTGTCAAAGCTGTACCGCACCTCGCCAAGTGGGCGAAGGAGTTGTACGTCTTTCAGCGGACGCCCTCCGCCGTCGATACGGGAGGCAATCGCCCTACAGACGCCGAATGGTGGCAAAAGTAAACACAGTCAAAGAAGGGGTGGCACAGGCAACGACGGGAGAACTTCTCTGCGTTCGTCTCCAACGTCTCGCCGCCCCCATCCATCGACATGGTGGCAGATGGCTGGATAATCATGCCCTCCTTCAATGCCCTCGTTGGAGGGCCTGCCGCCGCACAAGTAACGCTGGAGAAGGTAGCCGCATATGTGGCTTCGTTGCACGCCTTGGACTTCCCGCGGTCCGAGAGGATTCGCGCCCGCGTAGACGAGATAGTCAAGGAGAAAACCACCGCAGAAAGCCTAAAAGCCTGGTACCCCGGCTGGTGCAAGCGTCCATGCTTTCACGACGAGTATCTCCAGTCATTCAACCTGCCCCATGTCACACTCGTGGACACGGACGGCCGCGGGGTTGACCGCCTCACGGATCACGGGGTGGTGGTGGGAGACTCCGAGTACGACCTCGACCTGCTGATTCTCGGCACATGATACGATTCGCCAGCCGTTGGAAGCCCCGCCCGTCGCGCTGGCTTCTCTATTACCGGCCGCAACGGTCTCTCCATGGAGCAGAAGTGGGACGATAGCGGCGCTGGAACGCTGCATGGGATCACCAGCAGAGATTTCCCGAACTTCTTGTTTCCGGGACCGCAGCAGGCTGCTGCCAGTGCGAACCAAGCTTTCCTGCTCGACTTGTTGGCGGAGCACGTGGCTTATATTCTGTCTCAGGCGACGCAGAAGGCTAAGGCTGCTGGCCTGGAGAAGGTTGTGGTCGAGCCGAGCGCAGCTGCGGAGCAGGAATGGTCCATGCGGATCATGGCTGGAGCGGTAGCTTTGGCGAGCCTGGCAGGGTGCACACCGAGCTACTACAACCGTGAGGGAGAGTTTGCGAGGATCTCTACCCAGGAAGAACAGATGAAGGCGGCGAAGGGCGGCATCTGGAGTCGGGGACCTGTGAACTATGCGGAGGTTATAGAAGGGTGGCGGAGGAGTGGAGACTTGAAGGGACTGGAGATTACAGTGGGCGATAGTAATTGACTGATCATGGTAAAATAAGTGGCCTTAACAGCTTAGAAACACTTGCAAAGTTGCAATCATATATCAAGAAGTGGAAGCAAGTGCACGGACCGAGTTTGCGGAATTGAAGGTATTCTAAAGAGGACCACTATCTCGAATGCTCTCTGCCGATTGAGCCCGCCTCACTCTGTTGGGAACTCAAGGTCCCTATATTGCTCATCAACCTGCACCAAGGCCCCGAAGCCCCCATCCTCCACGACCTTCGTCTCGACCACAAACGTTGCCAGAAGTAGCAGATCCTCGGTGTCGCTCGCGTTCGCACTGATCTTATGATGACATCCGGGCGCCTCATACCACGTCTCTCCTTTTGTCAACACAAGGGTTGGGTCGTCGTTCATCTTGTTGTACGCGGTCCCCGAAATCACGACGCCTGCAACGGATGCTCCCCCATGCCGGTGCGGAGGGGATGCACCACCTGGGGGGAAGGCGACGCTTAAACCGATGACGGAGAAGCCTGAGACATTGCGAAGACGGTAGCTGTATAGCATCTTTATAGTCGGGCGTGGTTTGCTGTTGAACTCGTCAGGCGCGGGATGCCAGAGCAAGGGTGATGCCTTTGGCTAGTTGGGGAAAATTTGTATCTCAGACTACATACCTCCTCTCGTAGACTGGGTCTTCGATCGTATGAACCATCTTGGTGTGTTTTCGCAGAAATCGCGGCAGATCCCGGCTTGGGTTGCAACGCTGCTGTTTCGCTCTTGGTACTGTAACTCAAGATCTTGACGGGCAACCTCGCCCTATATATAACGTTTGCAGCCTGGAGACGCAGTCTGAAACCTCAGAAGCCCAAAAACCATGCTGAGTAACAACCCAAGGGTATTGTCCTTCCGATGGCATGTCCACACGCGAGCTCCCCGTAACACGAAAGCCCGAATAGCCTATGCTAACACCCGAAGCCGATATCCGAGATTATACTCCAGTGACCTCAAAGGGAAAGCCAGTCCTTAGGCTCACATCGCTACTTGCGAGCCCTAATTCTAACTCCCAGTCAGAGCTCGGAAAGCCAAAATACCCAGTCAAATCGGCTCTCGCAAAGGAATCCGCATCGATAGTTAGGCTGTCATCTAAGATAAGCAGAGCATTTGCATCCAGTAAGCTTCTAACTTCTGTCGGCTCTCTAGCTTCGGTTCCAGCTCCCAAGCTCAGCAATTCCCTTGCAACAATTTTGACCTCCCTCACCACCTTCTTTCCTCGCGGCCACACCTCTGCAAAGACCTCCAGTGCGCCCATGGCAACTCTGATGCGCTCACGGGCAATCTTGAGCTGCTCGCCTTTAAGAACGTACTTGCAGGCTGAGAGGTGCGCAATCGTCATCGTAGCGATCATGCAGATTGTGAAAGGGCTGTGGACAGCTATGCGGGTGGGCAGGGTGAGCATATCAGTCATTCTCTCGATAGCGCGCAGGATCTTGGTAGTGTGAATATGCGCGTCACTGTAATAAACTGGCGCTAAGCGTTCAGGTGGCGGAGGCGGGGCACAAGAAGACACGGCTTCGATGGCGCTGTAGGCAAGGGTCGAGAGTGATCTGTGGATATCGACCGTATATCTGGCAGAAGTTAGTATGGAAACCTGGAACGCACGTATACGCAGGACAGCCACAATACGGTAGCTACACATGGGATAGATCCGCAGCCTGCATGATGAAGACGGTCCGATACGAGGCCTTCTGGTTGACTTGACAGTATTGGAGTCAACTCACACCTGAATCAACATATTTGCTTTAAATAGAAGCTCGTCGAGGGTTCGGTCATCTCTGAAGAACTTGCGCTTGGACTTGGAGAGCAGAGACAGCCAAGCCGCCACACTTGCATCTGCGTTCGTGCATATTGCGTGAACATTCTCTTCTGAGTTCCGTGGAATACCGATAATGGTGTGGTCAAGACTTCGTGCCAAACCAATAAGGTAGGCGAACGACGAAAAATCCGTATCGTCGTCTAGAGCGAATTCTCGGTTGTCGTAATCCTCCAATGTCTTGGGATGAGGGATGTTCTGGGAACATCAGTTAACGGAAGTAGACCACATCGAGGGGAGCTGCAGAACGTACCCCTGAGTTGTAGTTAGCCTCTTCACAGGGAAGCTCGACGGTAGCAAGCACGTTCCTCTGGCTTGTGCCGAAAGTGGTTGCATGATTGCTGGATGCAATGTGTGCATCAGCGAGGTACAACTGCCACCACGTTCGTCTCCAGCTCTCTGCTAGGACTGGGTCTCCTTGGGAGTTCCCGGCTGCAAACTGCCCGGAGTTCATGCCAAGAGCAAGCGCTTTGCTGGTAGCCATATCAAGGATCTCGCGTGCTCTTTGGATATTGTCGTACCAGTAAACCGCGATTGAGTACAAAACCAGCGCTTGGACTTCGAATCCGCATGTGAACGGTTGCTGCTCCGCTAGGGCAATCTCCACTTGCTCCTCTAGTGGAGCCGTTGAAACTGTTGGCGCGTAGAGCGAGCCAATGAATTGCATGACTAGGACCAGGGCTTTCACTCCGGGGATACTTCCGTTCATCTTTTGTTTCATAAAGTGAATCGGTAGGGCACAGGGCTGAGCCACGTGGAAGAACGTGTAGTAAAGATCCAGGAGAGGCTCCGGAGCGCCACTACTCTGGAAGCTAATGATGTGGCCATCGCCCCAGGAACTGGAGCCGCTGGAGCTCGAGCTTCCGGATCGATCTGATGCGGGAGCAGGAACGCGGTCCAGACTGTCAGCGTGGACGCTGGGTAACGCTGGCACAATCACAGGCTGGCCGGAGCATAGTGAAGGAGATCCCGTCCGGGTCCTGGTTTGCGGCGCCGTGGCTCGGACTCTTCCACCTCTACGCGACTTCAGATAGGTACATTGGCTGCCATCTTTGCGGCACCGAGAGCAAGTCGGAGTTGTGGCATCGCACCTGAGATGGCGGCTGCGACACTGCACGCAAGCCAATGAGGCTCTGATTGCACTTCTTGCGAAGGTCGCGGATGTCTGTTGCATGACCACAAATCACGGACAAGTGATCTTTGCGGCTATTGAAAACATCGAGAGGTTCCCGCCGGTTCCCGCAATCATCGTGAAGAGGTGAGATGAGTGTCATTCCCGCCCGAGTACAGCTTACCTGCAGGTGAGTGTAAAATCGCTTATTCAGCGACCCGTAAAGTTCAAGGTTCTCCACTCAGCTGTCGGTTCTGCTCCTCTCCGGTGTAACGTTACTTAGCGAATGTTGATATCTGAACCGGTGAGCTCGTAACTACACATTAGAGCACTCATCCTGCTTAATTAGGGGCGTGTACCCTGGTGACGGTATTTCCTGCGATGTATGAGCGAGAGGGAGATGGCTGAGCGGCACCAATACGAGTAGCCAAGATCGGTTACCCGAGTTCCCGCGCTCGCCATTGCGCTGAGCACCTCACGCATCACAGATTGGAGTGATCAAGGGTGTATAGCCGCAACGCGGAAGAACGATGTAGATACGGCGAAGGTCGGCATAGCATTGCATGATCTTCCAAGAGGAGTGCTTCCTGTACGAGTCGGAGCTGACCCGCGGATTTACAATGCTGACGGGCTCCCACCAACTGTATATTATCTCTCAGGATCAGCAGAGAGTTTACCCACCATTTCAGAATGCTCACTCGATAAGGCAAAAACTACACAACCACTCATCATCTTCTCTACCGTCAGCAACATTGTCAACTATAAACCTACTGCAAAGAGCTTTCAAAACATCAGCAACAATGTCTTCCACATCAATCCCTGCCAAAATCCGGGCCGTCCTGCAACCAGATTTCCAAACGACGGACCTAGTCCTGACCATGCTTCCCATCCAGGAAGCTAAGGAAGGCACCGATGAACACCTCATCAAAGTCCACGCCACCGCTCCCTGCGCCGGCGAGCTGCTCTGGGTCAAGAACTTCGGGGGCATGATGCAGCCCGGCAAGATTGGCGTTCCATGCTACGACCTCAGCGGCGTCGTTGTCACCGCGCCCGCCGACTCGCCATTCCAACCCGGTACGGAGGTCTACACGCGAACGTCCGCGGCCCGGGCAGGTAATGCCCGCGAGTACACAATCGCGCTGACTAGCGAGCTTGCACTGAAGCCGACAAACCTGTCATGGGAAGAGTCTGCATCCGTCCCGCTGAGCGCCTTCACAGCTTATCAAGCTCTTTTCGAACACGGTGGCCTGAAACTCGGCTGGAAGGATGATGCCGGCAAACTGGAGAACGCCAAGAAGCGGATCTTGATCACCGCAGCGGCAGGAGGCGTCGGCGTGTGGGTCGTCCAGCTCGCTAGAGCCGCAGGCGTCAAGGATATCATAGCCGTGGTCGGCCCCGACAATGTTGACTTCGTCAAGAGCCTCGGCGCCACAGAGGTCATCAACTACAAGCAGCAATCGCTCGGTGCATGGGCTGCCGCGGGAAACCCGAAGGTCGACCTCATCGTTGATATGCTGGGCAAGCAGACTCTCGCTGATGCCTGGATGGCGGTCAAGGACGGCGGTATCTTGCTGAGTATCAACGAGCCTCCGGAGAACCGCAAGCCGAAGGAGAGCGCCCCGAAGGATGTCACTAATCGCTTCTTCATCATGGAGCCTAAAGGTTGGCAGCTAGAGGACGTTGCTGAGCTGCTGGAGAAGCGCGAGGCAAGAGCTGTGGTAGATAGCGTGTGGAAATTGGAGGAGTTCAAGGAAGCCTTCACTAAGGTGGAAAGCGGGCACGCAAGGGGCAAGGTCATTATTTTAGTACAGAAGTAATTGAAAAACATAGTTGACAGGGACTTTTCTTTAAGTGCACATGGCGTGCGATATGCGAATGTCGCGAAGGCTGCCTATCCAATCTAGGTTGCAGGCGGCTCATAGTGGTAGAATCTCCCTCAAAGCAACCTTCTGTGCGGGCGTCAGGGAGAGTGGAAGTTGAATACTGACACTAATGACCAGATCGCCCCGCTCGTCAGGCCTTTTGGAAATGGGCATGCCAAGGCCAGGGAACCGTTCCTTGTAAGTGGGTTGGGTTGGGCCAGCGGCGGAGACGAGTACTTGCCTCCCGTCAATTGTTTGTACCGTGAGTCTCCAGCCGCAGAGTGCCTCGCTCAGTGGAATACTGATAGTAGTATGGAGATCATCTAGCTCCCGTCTAAACATCGGATGGTCCTTCTACGGAAAGTCAGCGATATGAGGATTCATAAGGGGACCACTGGGCTGCACCGACTTCTTTGACGATGAAATGTAAATCCTGTGTGGTATTGGGGCCTTGATCTCCAACATCTGCAAACTTAATCTTGGAGCCAGCCTTTAAGCCTTTCTTGATCGGCACCTCTAAGATACGGTCTTGCGTGCTTGTCTTTCCCAACAGTTGGTCATACGTTTTTCGGTTGATTTTCATCTTCTTTATGGTGCCGTTATATAGCTCCTCGAGGCTGACCAAGAGCGGCTTCTCCAGGACTGTGACCTCAGGCGTCGCATGTCCCCTACTCGCGCTGCCATTTAAGTCCACCCCGAACCTCGACGACGCCGACCGTCCTGCTCCAGGTCTGCCGCCCATCCCGTCCAGCCCCCCAAAGAAACCTCCCCCACCGCCCACAACCCCATTCTGTCCAAAAAACTCAGCGAATATGTCCTCCGTGTTCGAGAAGCTGAACCCGCCGTCGCCGGTCGAGAAGTGGGATGTGCGTGCATCGCCTGGACCACCGCCTCCGCCCATGCTGGAGCTGAAGGGGGAGTCGTCTGCGATCATATTCCTATCCTCGCCAGCACCGACAGCGCCTCTGCATGGCGTTGGAATGCGTGGTGGAAAGTATGTTGATTCGGCGCTGGTTTCTTGCCGCCCCTGGTGTGGATGACCAGTCGGCTGACTCGGCTCGAAGTATCCGCGAGAGGATTCTTCACCGTCTTCACTTTCTGAACTAGCGGCATGGTTCTTGCTGAGCCATTCATCGACATGATCTCTGGAACCAAGCCCGCCCTGTTTCGAATGGTGTGTAGATGAGTATCTGTACGGAGATTTACGCCGTCTTGGTGTCCCCCAAATTGCCCGGTTGGAGCCAGAAGAACTAACGGAATCATCATTGTGTTGAAACTTTCCTAGAGGCTCAGTGGAGGGAGTCAAATGTGGCTGGCGAAGGTGCGATGCAGGTAGACCACCTATTGGCGGCGAAGACAGAGACGTGCCAGCGGAAGGGGCTGCTCCCGTTGCATTATTGACCGTGGATCCCTTGGAGTTGGCGGTACTCGATGCATCGCTATCGGAATTACCCTCATTGAAATCCTGCTGCTCCGCATTACCCATAGCGTAAGGATCAGAGACATCATCGTCGTTGTTCTCAGCATCCTCAACCGTCGCATGATACTGCCTCAGTCTCTCGGTTGCAGATTTGGTTTGGAAGTCTTCGACGTCGGGCAAGGGCGGCGAGGGTAGCGGTGCGTCGACGATGCCTGAACGTTCCGGTGGATTGACTCCGCTTGTTTCGCTCTCGCGTGTCTTAAGCCATTCGGCGATGTAGTCCTTATTGAGCTCGACGTCGACTTCTGTGATATTGTCGTCGACTAGCTCCTTTTCGAGCGATCCCCAATCCTCCATGCTCGTCAGCAGCGCTGGATCTTTCTTTCCCGCGAGAACATCCTGGTGAATCGAATCAAGCTTTTTCTTGATCTCCCCAAAGGCTTTCGTGTGCATCTCTGCGTTCATCTCAATTCTCCCGAGTGCACTGGTGTTCAACTGTGTAAGGAAGAGGTTCAGGCGGTCTGTGTGTCCAGAGAGCTTAACTCGGATTTCCGACTGTCGATTGCTGTTGAAGCCGAGTCGGTCCCGAGTCTGCGGATCGGACGTTTTCAGGGATTTGTATTTGGCGAGCAGTTTTTCGAGGTCTTGTAGGTCTGACTTGCAGGCTTTCATGAGCCTTCTAAGCTCATTCCGCTGGTGTTCTCCGGCACGGTGGATCAGCGAGTGCGGGTTGCTTGTTTCGTCGCCCAGTTCGTGGAGAACCGATTGAAGCGCGCCCACTGGAATTGGAGCTGTCAGCTCTGCGCTACGGCATACAGTAATGAGCGTATCGTACCATCGCCTGTGAGGGAGCGAAACTCCTGACCTGCATGCTTGCCTACTGACGTTAGCTGCCGCCACGATACTGGCGCTGACGAGCTGGATTGCGAGCAACTCACAAGACTTGTAGAGATTCCACGCAAACGTGCCTACGGCAGCGATATCAGCTATGGAGAACCCAAAGCCCGCCATTCGTACATCGTGAAATGAGCAGGCTTCGGAGAAAGGCCGATGTGGACTGGACGATTATTGACACAAGGCTGGGCATCTAAGCTACTGGAGCTTCGAGTGTCGGTCTCGAAAGCCCCGCATTGTCGGCGATTTTGACAGCGTTTCGCTGCCAGTACCACCGCGGCCATGAACTGTTTTCCCTGTAAGACATTTGCATTATAGTGGTGGATATAAAGATTGAACATAACGTCTTGATAGACTTTTGAGTCGTATGTCTAGTGCCTAAGGGCTAGAATCATTCAAGTTCGTGACTTATAGATTACCTTACTCATCATGTCAAGAGCCGCTATGCCCCCTTTAGATAAAGAACTACGCAACGCCGACGATGCCGCGGCCTAAATCACCACACGTCCCTTATACTCATTACCGGAACGTTTTTGATAGAGAAATGCTATTATTCAATACCGTTTGATATTCTTCTGTAAACCAAGCCAGGGTAAGTCGGTGAGACTATTGATTTATCACTTTCTCTCAGGTTTATTGATCGATCTCCTGCACCTGCTTTCCAGCATTTTCTTGTTCTACTTCTCAAACCCCTTGTCGACTCCGACAGTCATGTCCTACGACATAATTATAGTTGGCGGTGGTACTGCAGGATGTACTACTGCTGCGATCGTTTCAGAAAGTCCTGATCATAGAGTTCTCCTTCTCGAAGCCGGCCACGAGTACATCCCCAGCTCTCAAGGCCCAGATGCGGATGCAGTCCGGGATGCGCGCCGTGTGCCCATGCAGGGCCACTCCATCAGATTCGACCACTCCACGACTGGAATCTCGGGTTGACCTCTTGGGAGATGGTGCCGCCATCGACGCTTCCATTGCCCTGCGCGGCCCCGTTCACAATTTTGGCCTTTGGGAAAGAGAGGGCAATCCCCATTGGGGCTGGAAGCAAGTCTTGCAATCGTGTAAAGAGATCGAGGATGACACCGCTAGCCCCACCGAGGTCCATGGCCGTGGCGGCCCCTGGCCTATCTCTCGCTATCACGAAGAAGAGTTTGGTTTTATTCAAAAAGCTTTTGTCAACGCCGCGCGCCGAAACGGCTTCAAATACGAGCACGGTTTGAATGCCCTGACGCAGAGGGTGTCGGCCCAGCCTCGATGACCCGCGTCAACCCCGGCGCATCACCGCCGCCATGGTCTACATCGACGCTGCGCGCCATCGCAAGAGCCTTACCATCCAGCCCGACACGACCGTCGACCGTGTGCTGTTCCACAGGTGTAATCCTCGCCGACGGCACCGTCATCCACACGCCCCGCGTCGTCGTTTGTGAAGGCGCCATCATGACGCCGTGCATTCTTCAACGCTCAGGTGTTGGGCCTAGAAAGCTGCTCGACTCGCTCGTCATCCCAATCGTCGCAGACCCACCTGTTGGCGACAACTTGGGAGACCATGTCAGCTTTCCACTCCTCGCCCAGCCTAAATCACACGCCTATCGCGATGGCGATGACTTCTCGCCGCAGACTATTGCGCGGTTTTCTTACAAGGCGCGACCTGGCATTGTCGACCTGCAGTACACGTGCTTCTCGTACCTCAATGCTGGCAACCCCGACCCGCGTGTTGAGCAGCCTCGTCGTTCGCTGGCAGGTGGAGCAATGGAGGGCGTTACCCATGTGGCAGGCATCGGAGCTGTGCTCAACAAGCCTCTCTCCACTGGAAATGTGTCCATCGGGTGCAAAGACCCCAGGGCTCTACCGATAGTGAACCCCGACTACCTCGCCGACCAGATTGATGTTCTCGCTGCGCGCGAAATGGTGAAGGCGGGGTTCAAACTCCTCGTTTCCGGCGAGATGCAGGCGGTACTTGGCCCGCCTCTTAACATGGACCAAGAGACCCTGGGCAGTGAAGAGAGGCTCGATGCTGCTTTCTACAAAAACATGACCTCTGCGTATCACTTCGCCAGCACCTGTAAGATGGCATCTATTGAGCGGGTGGTGTTGTTAATAAGAGCGGGAGAGTGTGGGGACTTATTGATTTTGTCGTCGGTGATGCGTCGGTTATCCCTACTGTGCCGTCGGCGAACACCATGTTGCCGACAGCGATGACGGCTCACAGGATCGCGATCAGTTTGAGGGACAATGTTGATGTGGGGAGTCCTAGCTCGAAGATGAAGTTATAAGACAAAGTCAACGTGCCGCTTGAATGGCTTGGGCGTGGCTCGCATGGTCGTCGACAAGATGATGAAAAGCATCGAGGTAAAATCAAATGCCGGCTGTGTCCGCTATTTTGAAGCGTTGCGGCTTCAACAAAAGATTCGGAGACAGAGTTGAACCGCAGAAGCTCGGCTATGAGTTGTCAGACGGATAAAGCAACTGCGATGTATCTGCCCCGATGCTACGTTGTAGGAGTGCCAATGCTGGAAAAGTCACGGATACCGACCTTTAAGAGTCCGGAAATGACCTCGCGAACCCTGGTTGTGTAAGCATTCACGAGAAGCGTTGACTGTTAGGGCATGGAGGAACCAAGCTAGGATAACGTTCAGTGACTGAGCGCGGCGAACAGGGATCTAATCAACAGACGAGATCTCCAAGACAAGTTTGACCTGTACATCAGGCGGATGAGCTTGTGGGACGTGATCTCGGGGATGCGGATGAATTGAGTGCGGAAGTTGTCTGCATTCGGTCCAGTCTACAAGATGAATAGGGAATTGTTGTCGCTAGCCGTGTTCTCTTTCCAGAAGGACTGCTTTAGCTACTACGATGGAGCGAATAGCATTCTTATGGGATCACTGGCAGAGTGTGTTGCGGAAAGTGAAGCAGTTCTACATCGCAATATTCACAACCAGATTCTCTTAGTTGCTCTCCGGGGTATCATCCTATCCTGCCTGCATCCGCGTCTATTCTGAGCTTGTCTGCACTCACTTTTGTCTTGCGTCGAATCCTGCAACGATCCGTGCCAACCTTCTTTATGAAGTACGGCCTTTCACAAACACAATTTCAGCAACCCGGAGCCCGAACCACTTCGCTATCCTGACTATTTGCTGCCTGAGACCACGTGCGCAAACAGATGAAACTCAGTCTCAGATTCACAAACACATCTTCAACTGCCGGACACTGTTGCTGACGCTCTAAAGAAATTGCGATTTGTCGTCTCTCGACGCTGTGCCGTCAGATGGCGACCACCATCTCGAAGATTCTCTCACAGTACCCGGTGCTCTGCTCAGTTGCCGGTGAGCTCACGACGCGCGAGCTGTTTAATCTGGCTCGTACGTGCAAGGAACACTGGCTCTACATCCATCAGGACAAGACGACATGGGACAACATTAAGACGCTCACCAACTGCGACGCGCAAAGCGCGTTCCGGCGAAACAATGGCCGCATCCGCGATCTTAACCTTGGGAAAGTCAATCCAGATTGTCTCAGCAAACCTGCAAATCCGTGCAAGCGGTGCGGTAGCAATCTGTGCCAAGTCTGTGCCCAAACGTGACTGAAATTGTTCGAGGGTTTCGCTAACAGCTACAGGCATGCCGACCGTGGCGTGTGATCGATGACGATACATCTTCAGTCTACAGTGCTGTGTATATCGGTACAGAGCCGACACTCAGGGATGATGGATTCCTTCGTTTCACGAATATCCGTTTCGACCAGCGCAGGAAGCACTTCTGCGCGAGTTGTGTCCCGAGCGACCTACCAATAAAGCCTTGCTCCTGCAAGCTGCACGACTGTCCACCGTTGAAGCGGCACCTGTGTAACACTTGCCTTGAAAAGACAGAAATTGAGGAGGAAGAATTCAAACACCAAGCCTACATTCGTCAACAGTCTCCCGTCGGAACATTCTTCCTCTGGGTAAGTCATATCACCAAGCCGTGACAATTTGGAGGTTTAGATTGACGAAGTGTAGGGTTGGGTTTGCAGTTGCAGGAATCTAGTTGGGAAGGACTGCACATCTATCTGCAAGTGGTGCAACGGGCTTTTGAACAGCAACGTCCTGGATTTTCAGCCGGATCACCGACCTTCGCCCCCAACGATATGGTGCGTAGACTGCGACTCTGATTCGGATTGAGCGACGGCGACCGTGGACTATCGGCTTGTTTTGGGGCTACAGAGAATGCATCGTGGGCAGACGATTGAATTCGGTGGAAGGGGATGATTCCATGAGGCCAATTTTGGAATAAGTTGTATCCTAGCTCTACAGACTGGTTATTGAAGGCTAAGGTCAAAGCCAAACCTTCTCTTGGGGCATGAAAAACCTAGAACATCAGATGATCCTTCTCGCATCCTCTTCATTTGCCGTGATACTAGAGAGTTCTAAGTCTTTGAAGACCCGCTTAAAAAGGTAACAGAGGCTTTCCCGTAAAATGCCGCAAATCCCCAGCATGTTCGGACGGTGCTGAGAACCTATCGCGCGTTCATTCAAAGGTTCAACGTCCAGCACAAGAGACAGTCCGCGGTGCGAATGCAGTGAAGTGCCCCGCAGGCCAGGTGGTGGGTTCTCCAGGCTCGGCGATGTCATCAACATCCCTTACGCTCATGTCGGAGTGCTCGTTCCAATGATGCGGGCATGGTCCTATAGTGAGTCAGTTTCAATTTTCACGTCGTTTGTTGCTGAGAATCCTACGGAATATGTTTGTTCTCCGAAGCATCTCATATCAGACGCGAAGGGTCCAATGTCGTTTGAAGCGTCACATGACCACGCGACTCTTTGGAAACGCCGCTGATACTCAGCACGGTCAACTCAATGTCTGATATCATGTTCGTAAGTAACGGCTTATCTCCCAATTCAGCCGGCCGTCGTTGGATTAGGCTTCACGCTTGCGATACGCCTACTATGACGTCTCGCAGGCAGATCTCTGTTTGAGGAAAGGAGATCAAGGAGATCTTGCCCCGAAGATGTCGTGTCACTGTATCAGAACAAGCCTTTATGAGGTCGCGCACGAGCTACGAGCCCCCGGCTTGAGCAAGATGACGGTTTCAGGAGGCGCTGATGGGGCTTTCGGTGCAATGACCGTGTTCCTGGCATGATATGCATGCCCTAGTGCAGGCTCCGTGGTTTTAGCGCGAACTGGTACGCAAACAACGGGCAGCTTGTTTACCGTGCCCAGTGCAATTGCTCAACTTGTCAGGTGCACAAGAGGAGTTCTCTACCTTCGAGTCCGGTGTCGCTTAGTTACCGCGAGGAACTGCGTAAGAAAGCTGCCACGACTCAGGCCCAAATGTCGGCAAGACGTTTTTAGCGAGACGAGCTGCCCACCCGCTCGACTGACCCGGTCCATGGCTTGACCGTTGTCAGCAGCGCGAAGAACGTGCCCGTCCGGCCGAGGATGATGGCGTTCGCGTTTCTGCTCTCTGCCAGTGTCAGCGCGTCGGCCAGCGAATCCGGTTGCCAGACGACGCTTTGGTAAATTTGCGGCGCCCGAAGCCGAGGACGTGGCGATCCTGCCATGCTGAATCGTCCCGCCAAGTTCCATGGTTTCGCTTGCAAGATTTGCAGATCACCGAAAGCTGACGACCACTGCCTTGCCTGAGGCCAGGGAGCTGCCTTTCCGGGAGGATCTGCTTGCTATGGGAGACTGGGAGCAGCTGTGATTCGTCCGTGGCACAACGGGCGCTGCTTGCCGTCGGTGTCCAATATCACCCGGACATGGAGACTCCTCAAGATGTTCCTTGCCTCTTAACAACCATCTCAGGAGCTCGCAGCGCTCGGACGACCAGGCCGTTACCTTGCGGCAGGGCCACCCAGTAGCATTAGAGTCAATTGTATTCTAGCTCGGATCAACAGGCTTGATGGCTTCTGTGGATCTCTTAGACTCACAACCTCTAGCACCGTCCGCTACCAAACATTCTAACTTAATCTCAACGCCCTTCATGTTTCCCCACTTCGCTTCCTGAGATGTCAGTCTGCCCCGTACGATCTTGATGGACATTCCAGTAGGCGCCGGACTCTGTACATCTCCACTCGCAGCCCTTAAGCATAGCATCATTGCGTAGTTCGAGCCTTGCAGTGTTCCCACTCTCATTGGCCGCTGGATCCGCCGCAGAGTCTCACGGTTATCAAACACGCCCAGCCGAAACGATCTACGAGGCACCCGGGAGGCTTTCATCGGTCGATGCATTGTCGTGCCGATAGCAGAAAACAAGGCCAGCGTGAGGCACATTTGCCTGCAGGGGCACCAATATCTGTATATAGCTACACACTCGACTTCGACCTCCTCCGCAATCAACCGAGCCATCCGGGTCGCGTCACTCTCTCTGTACTTGTAGTATGTCTTCCTCTCTTGTTATCTTCTCTTAGTTGCTAATAATTTCAGTCTGTCTCGAATAAATCTGCCAACGGTTAACGGCTTAGACGTCTCTCACGCTCATTTCTGTAGTCAGGCCGGTCCTGATCTTTCATACACCCATATGTAAACCAGACAACATTTGATCGGTCTCGACAACTACTGACACGAGTGTCTCGCAACATCCTGTAACTTCTGCATGGCTTCTACTGCACTGATAGCTTTCCTATTGTACGTTGACCACTCCATATCTTCTTGGCTGTACTAATATACATAACAGCGAGTGTCCTGCTGCACTCATGACAGTAGAATTGTTTGGCTCGTGGGACAACTTCTCACGGGCTTACCGTATGGAGAAAGACTCTCGCAAGGGTCCATGTACCTGGTCCGGATGCCACACTTTCCAGAATATCATTTGTGACGGTGATCCGCAGAAGCTCACTGAGAAAAGAGACGGAGGCCTCAAGATGGGTGGGACCTATTGGTACTACGTAAGTGCTCGCGAATCCGCGTCCTCAAAATATGTGCTCACTGTATCCCGGGTACAGTACAAGCTGGATGGGGATAGCGAGTATCACGATCCTTCGCAACCATCAACGACCGCGTGCCCTCTGTTGCCCGGACAGCGTGTGAATATCCTTGAGGTGCCAAGCGACGGTGGCAGTTCTTCCGAGCTGCACACTCAGAACCCGCAAGACAGATACCGAAACCCGATACCGCCCATTACCGTTCCGTCCAAAGTGATCCCCGCATCCTCGCAGTTACCAGCATCTCAAAGACACGCACCCGTACCACCATCAGAGTCGACATGCCGCCGAGCTTCGCCGATCCGCATTTCGAGTGGCAGCGTGGTGGATGCGAGCAGCCCAGAGCGATCATCAAGCCACAAGAGAGGCATCAGCTTGGTCTCCGATGCACCGGTCAAAGTGTTTAAGTCCGCTCTATGTCACCTCAAAGGATTCGCAACCCCATCCGTCTCGGGCGACCGTGCCAGGGGAACATCCAGCGAGCGTCAGCAAAATACCCGTGACACCAATGCAGCACTGAACGGCGAACCGCGCCGAAGACTTCAGCAAACTCCCCTTGACGGACGAGAGGACGCTTCTGCCCGCAACCGGCAGAGGACAGCTTCCGCTGAGAAGGCGCCCATGCCTGAAAGTGTTCGGCCATCCTCCAGTTCCCAGGACAGGAAGCCCTCGTTGTCAACAGCGACAACCCAGCCAAGAAGATCCAGCTTGGATAAGGCAACCGGGGCTCAAACAATTCGCGTGTCTTCAGACAGCGTGAGACAGGAGGAACAAGAAGGACGGCCTGTCACAAAGGCGTTGAGTGCCTACAGCAAAGCCCTGTGCGAATACACCAGGGCGATGACGCCGCCCAAGGCCGTGCTTCGAAATGGCGTTGTGTTAGAGGAGCGGCCTCTTAGCCAGTCTAGCTACATGCCTACTCTCGTCAAGGACACCGGCATCGAGCCTGTGACTACATCTCAGCCCTCGGTCGATCCTCATCATGCATCCCGAGTGCAATCCCGGGACTCCCGGGACTCCCCATCTCGACGAGGGGATTCCTCGACTGGAGACTTGTCTACTGGCGTGTCACGGGAATCAACTATCGGCGAACCTCTCACAACTGTCAGCGCAAGCTCAAGCGAGTTGGATCAAGTAGCGTCCTCCTCATTGTTGCCATTCCTGGAAGCGCAGTCACTTGACTTGCATGCGAACCTAGCTCAAGCTCGCGAGGTCACGATCTCGAAGTCACACAGGCCAACACTTCTTCGAAGCCATTTCTCTGAATGGAGCAACACGTCTGACCAACCTGTATCACCAGCGGAACGGCCCGCTACTCCCCCCAACGTAGACGACGATTGTTCACCAATCTTTAGCTCACTGGATGGCTCAAGTGGCCGTAGCAGTCCGAACCGGCATTCCACCGACACGCAGGTGACAATTACCCAAGTCGCCGCTGATGAGGATGATTTGTCCAGGCACTCTGCTGGCATGAGTAATCCACAGAATTCACAGTCGGCTGCCAGCGCTCTGCTGGATCTCTACTTCAACTCCTCGGCGGCCTCGGAGCTCAACCCTTTCGACACCAACCTTGGCCAGCCTTACGCCACTCCCATTTCTGAGTCGCCGCAGATAGGGATTGCACTTGGTGAGCCACTAGAAGTCTGCGGTCCACTCCCAGCTTCAATGGAGTCTGAAAATCTGAAGACCGACCCGCTTGGTGTCTTCGGTAGCTCCCAGAGCTACAGCCTTCCGCACGGAGAGACAACCTCGCAATCAACCTTGACCAAGGGCCGAACTCACCGTGCTGCGTTCATCATGCCCGAATCCTCTCACCATGGACCTTTGTTACATCAGCCACTGGATGGCACCGGCCACAATCTTTCCATCACAGCGCAACTCATGGACGAGTTTGCGTACCTAGGCGATGTCGTCAACTAACTAATCTTCTGTAAACTTTGTAATGACCGTACACGTATCATATCTGATGATCTGTGGCTTTGTTCTTCGCACATACAGCCCATTGTTATCTTGTCTGTCTCTTTCGTTGCCTTCCATCGTAACACTATAGCGCGGCGTTGGGGCAACTGGGGCAAAAGCAACATTCTGGGCTATCTCTAGTAGGGACAAGGGGATCGTGGCGTTATGGAAGCTGGACCTCCAGCCACGGATCCCATGGCAGGATGGGTACAAAATGGACCTGCTGCTGTATCTTAGGGAGTGTAATCTCGGACATAGAGCTGGCGGTACGCAGACCGCTGAAAGAAAGGAAGGTACATACAGCCTCAACGTGCCGCGTACAGTTGCACTGAATGTATTCTCGGTCTTGTTGTGTGATTAGTAGACGAAAACATCGATGTGAGTATCAGTGGCACTCATGTTGCCCGCAATGTGAGTGGATGAGGAGCCGTTTCTTCTCCATGGCAAGTTGCAGTCAACGTCACGGATAGTGTTGCGAACCACGCGTCGGGCGTGGCGGTGCGAGTGCCTCGTGGACCCCCAAGGCCGTCCGCATCATCGCCGAGACATGAGATTATGAATCCCGCGAGTCGCCCAGCACAAAGCTCATAAACATATGAAACAGCTTTCCAAAAACACACCTGATCCGCAATCAACAATCTGCTCTCTTCGCCATTTCTCCTTCACAAGCGCCGCGACGTTCAATGCAAGCAGCTCTCCGCAACTGAAGCTCTCCGCGCATCCGCACCCGCACGAGCTCCGCCGCCTAGAACTGCTCCGCGCTTGAGCTTTCTCTACCACAACCCACGTTTGCGCCATGGTGCTTAAGAAGTTCGCTAGCAACCTCTTGGGGAGGCGAACCAGTACGCGACATGTTCCAAAATCCGCCTGGGTTGACGCTGACGGTGAGCTCTCAGGCCAGGATGAGACTGTCCAGCCGGATCTCGACACGCCAGAAGCCAACGCAGCACGAGGAGTGGTAAGACTAGCCAGGGGAGCTGAGGCAGTAGCTGAGCACACGATGAAGGCTAACACGACTTGCCCACAGCGGTTGTTCTGCGAGTCTGGCGGACCAAATAACTCGGTAGGTTGCCGGTCGGCTATGCGCTGCTCAAGCCTGACGGAAACACCTTCATACGAGCAACTCCCGCTGACCCAGACCGCCAGACCGAAGAGATCCAGTACCTCCCCGAGATCGTCACTGCCGCCGAGTCCTCACCCGCGGCCGCCTCCGCCGCCGCAGCGCAGATCCGCAAGTTCCTCTCCAAAGAGAACTATTCTCGCCCTCACGTACAATACAATGCAATCATGCTGATCCGGATACTCACTGATAACCCCGGCGCGACCTTCACGCGCAACATCGACGCAAAGTTCGTAGCTACGGTCAAGGAGCTGCTACGGCAAGGACGCGATCCCAGCGTGCAGCAAATACTACGGGAGACATTATTCGCGTTGGACCGGGAGAAGGCCTACGACACAAACCTGGCACAGCTCTTCGCTATGTGGAGGAAGGAGCAGGGCTCCAGCAACCTGAATTCTTCAAGTGGATATGGCTCACGCCCCGGCTTCCGCGTCCCCCCCTTCGATCCCAACCGACCGCCGGTACCGCCCTCCCAGCAGCCCGACTCCCGACCCCCGCACCCCTCCCGCCAACGCTCCGGCCTCCCTCCTCCCGGCGAGCTAGCCGGCCGCATCGAAGAAGCGCGCACAACGGCGAAGCTCCTCCTGCAGCTGGTCCAGTCGACCGCACCCACGGAGCTGCTGTCAAATGAGCTGGTCAAGGAGTTCGCGGATCGCTGCCAGACGGCACAGCGCAGCATAACGGGCTACCTGAACTGCGAGGACCCGGCGCCGGACGACGATACGATGTTGACGCTTATTGAGACGAATGAGCAGCTTGTGCTTGCGGCTACGAAACATCAGCGCGCTGTGTACAACGCCCGCAAGACCTCTGGCTTGTCCTTCCCCTCGCCTGTGCCGCCGGTGAATATCGGCGCGAACGGCGGCACGCCCACCTTACCGCCTGTACCGGGTGTAGGTATGGGAGTGGGACAGACCGCCTACGCCGCCCCCGCAACTGAAAGCGCCTACGCTCCTCCACCTCCACTAGCAGGACCGTACGCCCCTCCGCCTATGCCGCCGCCTTCTGTGCGAAACAGCCTCAACGCTCGCGCCGCCCAGTCTCGGGAGGACTCAGATAACCCGTTCTCCGACGAGCACGAGACCCGTCCCACGGCCGCAACAGCTGGTCCGGGTTCTTATGCCCACCCTTATGAGCCTGTGAACTATGGGCCTAGCCCGTCGTTGCCGCCGCGAAGACCTGTGCAGATGTCGTCGGAGGAACGGGAGGCGATGCAGGAGACCGAAGCGTGGGAGAGCGAGCGGCAGAGTAGGCAGACAGGAGTGGGGCAGGGGATGGGGTATGCGGGACGGCAGATGGAGCAGCCGGGGTACCGGCAAGATGAAGGTGGACAGAGTGGGCATCCGGGGGTTCAGAGCACGCCGAGTTATCTGCATAGGCAGGAGAGCAGCACGCAGAATCTTACTATGCATGGAGGGGTCAATCCTATGCCGAGCCAGCAACAGCAGCCGGTCCAGAGGGAGGAGGAGAGGAGTCCGGTCAGTCCGGTGCAGTACCGGTATTGAGTGTGGCGGGGGAAGTGGCTTTCATAGGACTTAGGATACAAGATGGGAGACGGACGGGTAGCTTTTTGGTTCTTGTTGAAATTTCCAAATCTTGCGGGGGTTGTAGGGCTGGGAAGATTGGCTTGCAGAAGGACAAATGATACCATGGGCGGATTCGATAGGGCTGGCTGTTGTTACTTGGGATTGATCTTATAGAGTCTGCGGATGGGCTGGGGAAGAGAGTTGGCTTGTTGCTCTTACCGGCCGGAAGTCATTCAAATGCTAGAACCTCTCGAGTAAGCCGTAGCGGGTGTGGACATCGAACGTGATACGTTCCCTCTTGCAGTGGACTCTGCTCGCAGAGAAGTATGGGCGAGGAAGTTGAGCCGTAGAAACAGAAACGCGGCTTCTTATTCACGAAACTATCGATATGGAACTGGTTGCTCTAGCTATTGATAGCTTGGCAGAAAAGCCTCATTGGAATCTTGCTGGTGCAGCACGTGATTATATGGTGTTGGGCAAGAATAGGGGTGGATTGCTGTCTCATGCACTACCACCCCGTAACTGCATAAAACTATAGCCCTTGCATTTCACCCTTCGCAGTCCAAGTAGTATAACCAGAGAGGAAGCTGCCGTCTCCTCGTGATTCCGGCAAAATCGTCCGATCTCTAGCACGTTGTACCAGCAGCAGAAAGCAAAAACAAAAACGTACAGCAGTAGGTATTCGCTAGTGGTCACCCACCTAACTACTAATCTACCGATTCAAAGCTTGATTGCAGGAGAGCGGACGGGATCCGATGTTTTCTTTGATCTATGGCCGTACGTGAGAGAGTTGCTCAACCTATTGATATATGTATACAACAATGGTATCGTTCTGCAAGAGGATAACCGACTCTTTTTTCTCAGGGGCTGCGGGATCCGGTAGCGCGGATCTGTAGTAGACTAGCGAAATCACAAAGAATTGCACGCCAAATGTGAGAAAGTTTCGATTGGGCAGTGTACAAATCGCTACCAGCGTCAAAAGCATCCGATACTCAAAGCAGAGATGATGACGAGAACGGCTCCGTAAACGACAGCAGGTCAATCACGAAGCGTCACAGCAGAACTCATACTCTAAGATTTATATCCTTCTCAAACCCTACACATCAACGACAGTCTGTAGCCCATTCCGTACATCCATCTAATTATCTCAACATCCAACAGGTACTTTTTAACCGAGATCAGAGAACAATGGACAAGTAAATCCGACCCATTGCCCACCATCTCCTGCACAACCGAGACATTGCCGCCTGGAAGCGGAGTTATTACATTCGGCCCCTCATCTTGATCCCACTCACGAGATGAGCTTCGCGCCATGGACGTTTCCATTTGGGAAGGCCGGACCGGCTAAAGCCTTCATGTAGCAGGGTCCAGTAGGTGAGCCAGGAACCCACGCCACGCTGACACAGCCACTAGTGGAGGCACATGAAGCCACGCAGGCACTAAGGCTTTCGGCGTAGATCATCCCCACATCGTTACCAGTACGGTCCATGAAGCATTCGACCGTGAAAGTGGATCCCCCGGTGGTGATTGTTGACCCGTCAGCGTAATTTCCACATGACACCGTAGGTGAGGAGGCGCTAGGCGCCGGGTTGCTGGCGCTTGAAGATACAGCCTTTGGAGCATCAGCCGCACCAGATGGAGTGGCTGGGGTGACGGAAGTGCAGCCAGAGAGCTGCTTTGCACCGTGAACGCTGGGGTTGTTGTTCGGTGTGCCGGCTGAGCTCTTCAGGTAACACGGACCAGGACTGCCCTGAACCCAAGAGACTGTCGAGCAACCTTGGGTCGAATCGCACTGGGCCATGCAAGTGGCCAAGTCGTTTGCGTAGAATACCCCCGGCATGTCTCCACCAGCTCTGTCGATGCCGCATTCGATGACATACTCGGCGCCGCAGGAAGTCTTGTATGAGATGCCGTGGGATTCTGGGCAAAGGCCGGTCGGCTTGGCTATGACAGAAGATGTTGTGACGCTAGCAACCGGGGTAGGTGTGCTGCTGCTCATGGCCAGGGAACGGGTAGGGCTTGTCAGCCGCTTCGCACTCCAGACATAAGCGTTAGGAACGGGGTTTCCCAAGGTGCTTTTGAGGTAGCACGCCCCTCCACCAGGCACGAGTGCAAGGTCGACGCAGCCAGGTCTGTTGTCGCAAGCATCAATGCAAGAGATCAGGTCGCTAGTCCATACTAGGTTGTTCGACATGTCGCTGCCGAAGTGGTCGACGAAACATTCTACGAGGAACTTGGCGCCTGCAGAGCTTGTGAAGGTATAACCGTCTGCTTCCGGGCAAGTCCAAGATGAGGGTGTTGCTGAGGCAGGTTTAGCTGAGGATGTTGTGGTAGATGTTTTGGATGAGGCGGGCGAAGGCAGGACCGTAGTTGTTGCGGAGGAGGACCTGACTGTGGAAGTTGTCGTGGCTTTGCTGGATGATGCGGACGAAGACGAAACGGTGGATTTGGTGGTTCCCGTAGAGAAGGTTGAAGAAGCGACGGTGGACCGTACGATAATCGTGCTAGTGGTGCCCTTTGCAATGGTCGTGGACGAAGCCGAGGGCTTATATGTTGTAGTAATAGCAGTGGTCAAGGTGGATGTGCTTTTCCAATTGCCGTTAGACTTCTCGTTGGACTTGTCGTTATCGTTGTCGTTGTCGTTGTTCTTGTCGTTGTTCTTGTCGTTGTTCTTGTTGTTCGAGTCGTTATCCGACTTGTCGTTTGAGTTTCCGTTGGAGTTGCCGTTGGAGTTGCCGTTGGAGTTGCCGTTCTGGGCCACAGGCTTTGCGGCCGCAATGGCAGCAAGCGCCAAAACGAACCAAGCTCCCTTCATTATGTATGAAGCTGGACACAAAAGGTGTTCAAAGATGTGCAGAGAAGTAGAACGAATGCCCCACTGGTAGAGCTGTGGAATGCAATAACGAGGAATTGACCGATGCTTTGAACGAGTGTGGGATGAAAAGAGAGGTGAAGCCCTTGATATAGTAGAGGACAGTGGAGACTGCAAATAGTTACTCCTCACTACCTACGCAATAATGACCAGCATCCATTGCAAGCTGTAACTTTGTGTCTCAGCATAGTGGCTGCTTCCGGCAACGAACCCCTCAATAGGCTCCGCATGAGGTAGTTAATGGGAATGAGCAATTAACCTGACCCGCTTGCTTCCATAGATAGAATGTGTTTGGGCGATGCTGGCGACTAGTATATCCACCAATGCAACGGAAATAGTTAAGAATGTACAAAATCAGACGGTTTCTAGACGCCAGCCAAAACACGCTCAAGACATCGACTATCGACAGCCAGGGAAAGTGGAAGGCTTTCTAGTCCTTTTGCCGGCACTCACAACGGCCTGGCTCGTGGTGCAGAGAATCCAAGGCTTACACAGAGTGGAGAAAGAGATCGACGAGTCCTCGAATAAGACTCTTTGGTATTGTATAAATGCGGGGGGCTCTTGAGGGCCGTCATAGCTGGTCGATGTTGCAAAACTGAAGCAGGGACGTGATTACTTTTCAGCCCGTTGTAAGGGGTTCAGAGATAGCGGGGAGACAACCGAAGGTGAAGGTCGAAGACGAGACGCGCCTAATCTTGCTCAGGGCACTGCTGTTTGCCTGTGGGGCTTCACCTGGAATATTTTTTTGGGGTCCGCTTCTTGTGATGGGGGCAGAGCGGAGAAACGAAAGCGGTGGTCCAGTGCCATCATTGAAAAACTGGATTCGCTCTGTATCGGCGAGTTGAGAGGCTCCATTCTAAAACAGACTCTCTTTGACCTGCACAGCCAATCTGATGGGTATTCCTGATGATTGGCGTTGGTGCTGCAGCGTAATGCCAAAGTGACATTGGCCGCAGGAAGCTCAAAGTGAGGTGCAACTCACCGACATCGCTGACGGGCTGACTAAGCACTCTGCGCTTTGTTCACTTCCACCGCTACCAAGATACCTAAGTATCCACCTCACGTAGATGAAGACTGGAGGGGAGATTTTGTTGAGCATTCCTCGTTTGCGGTGGTTTACATCCTTCAAGGGCTATCGCAACGAGGTGGCACTGTCCTATACTATTCTAGTAACACAATGTTCGAGTAGCAAACTCACGGGATGTCTGTGAATCACATTCATCCCAGAAAGCCTCGCCGCTTGTTCCTTTCCCAACCGGAGCTGGTCGCTTCGATCCTGACGGCACACAGGACCGCCTCAATTGCACCGCTCTCCGCACACTCAACCCTCAGTCGCCACTGACCCCGGCTTACCATCCACTCCTGAGGCAGTTTAATCGTAGTCCAGGCGTCATCGTCCTTCGAGGGTTGCGTGATTGATTGCCATGCTCCGAGAGTTGCATCTTCCTCACTCTCAGTGATGCCACCGCCCCGCTTCACAGCCATGCCATCGACCTCAATGAACGTGTCATGGTCCATCACGAACCTGATGCTGTCGCCATCTAGCAGCCCTGAATTCGATACATTGAGCGCTTGTGCGGACGAGCCGCTCCGATTGTTTGCTGTCGAGGGGCCGATCGACTGTGTGACTGGAAGGTTCATCTTTGACGCTAGAACTGTGAACAGGCTCAACAATCTTGATTTGGTTGTTGGCGATCTCGAAGTCGTAGGGGTGCCATACTCGCTGGTCGGATCATCAAAGGTAGCGCGCATTTTCCATGTATCTAAACGCATTGGCTCCGAGCCTAACATCTCGATAATAAGACAGTGTTGATGATCATTCGTAAAAGGCCTCGCATATTTGGCATGTCCCGGTCGGGGTGCACCAACACTGGCCAAAAGGGGGGCCGGTTCACTTGGATCGCTGGAGGCAGAACTGGACGTGAGGATCGGATTAGGTACACAAGATATTCCTGACTGTCTGACGTCCTCAAGTCGAAGCACTATCTCTGATTCGTTCCTTGCAGCATTGAAGCTAATTTTAACAGGCAACAATCGTTGCTCAAGTCCCTTAAGGTGGAAGTATCGTGCATCTCTCAGTAGATCTGCACGGTGTGCCTCATCCGTGATGTTCACCGGATAGCCCTGCAAATACTTGAGTAGTTCAGAGAACACCTCGGCAGAGCGGTTGGGCACTGATGGGGGCAATACCGGTGGCGGGCGCAGTAGGGCTTGTCTGTCGAGGCCCGGGAAGGCATCTTGGGGTGTGCTGAGGAACGTAGCAATACCCAGCGTGAAGTAGTTGGGAGAATCGCCAGGAGATGAGAACAACTCCCGCGGGATCTGGAAGTCACGGGAGCCGACTTGAACAAAGATGTCCGACTTGAAGAGTTGTTGGGTCAATCGAGGTACTGTGCAATCTAAGTCAGCCGGTGAATAGCATAGTACTTCAAATGACTTACAGCTGTAGAACTGAGCATCGGCGAACAAGCGAACGAAATGCTCTGCGCTCCTTGGCTTGACGTAGTAGCCCTGGAGATGGAGCGAAATGTCTTTGAACGTGACAGGATCTCGGTCTATATACAACGTCTTCACGTTGCCAGCGCCGCCCTCAACGGTGCGCAGCTGATCGGCGAAATACTGTGAGAAGTAGGAGGGTGCTTGAGAGTTGTTAGCATGTTGTACACTAAATAAGACGCCATTGCGATCGCGCTCACCATCGGAAGAGATTGATGCCCCGGACAGCTTGAACAACTCAGACCCTATCTGAACGGGAAATACCCTGCCGGCTGGCAACGTTGAAACAGTATCCGCCGCAGCCTCTGCCACTCTGCGCGTGCTCGTGCTAGCTGCTTGCCCTCCAGCCGCAGTGGTCTCCGATTGTGCAGCGCTCCGCTGTCCTGAGCTCTCCCATGCATGATCGCTTTCCTCCGTCACGGCTGTATCGAGGCTGGGATGGGCAGTCTGCTCAGCCCCGGACTGGCTGCGCGTCCGTATAGGTCTTTGTTCGGCATGCAACGCGGCAGGTGTGGCGCCTGATGTGGATGAGGACGGTGAGCGGGCGACACGTTTCGTCGCAGGTTGTGAGATGTCCCCGGTGGGATCTGTGTTGGCTGTTCTTTTCATCGTTGTCACAGCGGGAGTTCACTATCAAGGCGGATCGAACGACGAGATGGGCGCAGGGCCGGTTTGCTCGGTGGGCGATCGCTGGGTTGCTGCGCACATCAACATCCTGCTATCAGAGCTGTTATATATTTTGCTGGTGGGCAGCAAATGTTTCGATGTGCTCTCCGTGCTTACACATATCAAAATCATGTTCGTGGATACGTCAGCAGCAGCCTCAATGTCGGCGTTCGTGAGAGGCTGATCCCGCGAGCTTTCGTCAGCAATGGCGAGACTACTGCAGGAGAGCCGCACAACTGCAAGACATGATTGGGTCCGAGCAAACCCCTTCAAGGAGTTGATGGCTCTCAAAACGATATACGCTATTAGATTACACATAGTGCGGGAAACGTGAAGATCATGCAACCGTGAATCCGTACGCTGCACGTTTCAGCGCAAGACGCGGATGAACACAGCTTGTACACCTGCCAGCGCTCACTTCGACGATAGCGACGGGTTGTACTTCTCCCCAGTAACATCCTCGATCTTCTTGATGGCCTGCTGGAAGGCCTCTCGCTGCTGCAGTCTCGCGATGTACGCTGAAAGCTTCGGGTACTTCTCCTTCGTCAGGCCCGCCCGCCATTGAGCAGCTTCCAAGGGAAAGATCATCATGATATCAGCTCCCGTAAGCCCGGGTCCACAAAGGAACTCGCCGCCATTGGGAGATGTCGCAAGCTGATCTTCAAGGAAATCCAAATGCGTCTTGAAATTGGGTTGGAGGAACGCAGTGTTCATCTTGCCAACAATGCCCCTTGTGATGGGCTTGATGAAGAACGGAACAGGAGCGGTCTCGATGTCTGTCTCCAATTTCAGCGGGTGGAATCATTTGCAAAGATTTGGCTGACTTACTGTTCATCAGAAAGGCCACTATCATAAGCGTCATCAAGCTGCCCTCCGCATAATGCATAAAGAACCGATAACGCAACCATTCTTCGCTCTCCCCGCCTATTTGGCCCTCCTTGCCTTCGGCAAACTTCTTCGGCTCCAGCCATTTGCCGAAGTACTCAGTAAGGTACTCCACGATGAGCCCTGACTCAGCAATGATCCGGGGTTTCTCGGCTTCTGGGGCTTGTACTCCAATCACTGGAGACTTTCCAAGCGGATGGACCTCCTTGAGCTCAGGCGGTGCTACCATCTTCTCTGTGCGCTTGAACACTTTCAGCTCGTAGTCGATCTTGAGCTCTTCCAAGAGCCAAAGAATACGTTGGGAGCGAGACTTCTCCAACCTGCATGCTCTTAGTCAGTGCTCAACCGTTAAATTTCTACAATGTACTCGAACATAAGCAGAGCTGCGAGAGAAGTGAGGCTAAGAGAGAACAATGACAACTACCCAAAGATTTGAGGGCCTCTACCAAGTTACTACGCTTACTACGCTCTCGGCGCATTGCTCAGGAATCGCTCTCCTCGTGGAGCTCGGTTAGCAACACAAATGTAGGCAGCAGCAGGCTCTAGGTTACCAACTACGCGCAGCTCTACCGGAACCGTAACTACAAGCTCTTGGAATATGAAGTAACATGTATACCACATTGGGCGGCAGAGTTTGACAAGGCGAACAACGACGACCGATTAGACAGATGAATCCGATAAACGCACCAGTAAAGGACAACCTTGGCTTTCTGCGGAGATTCCGTAGACATGATTAGAGCGACTTGACTGATTGGTTGCGGATATCCGGGCTTATAACCTAGTGAAATAGAGGGCTAAGAGCTTTATTGATTCATCTATGGACGTGGGAGAGGCTGGCTATACTCTCCCGGCCGAAAAGTAACTAAGTCACGTGCCGCAGCCAGTGCTCCATCGCCAAACCGCGCGGTGAGGGTATATAATCGCTGCACTCATTGATTATCAGGCGCAAGGTAGTAGTACAAGCGCGCATTGCAACACTAATGTCTGGGCCTCGGTTTGGAGCCATATTGGTGGTGGTTAACTAAAAGGTCATCCAGAAACGAGCTGGCTGAGTTTGGTGATGGAGCACGGGCTGCGGCACGTGATTTAGTTACTTTTCGGCCGGGAGAGTATACTGCATCCAAGGTATCACCAGCCTCCCCTTTTGGTTGACACGTGATATTCAACAGTTCGGGGCTGCTGTGGAATTCAAGGTTTAATTGTGTTACAAGAATTGGCAAGATTAGATGTGCATCCTCAGACAGCAACGATCCAGCGCCGTGTCCTTCAAGTTGTTCCAGACAGTCTCGAACACAACACCCAGCCTCCGAATTGGTCCTGCCGCCCAGCGCACGCCATCGAGGGACTACCTGAACGCCCAACCCTGCGGCTGTGGCGGTCCGTCTCCGCTTACCTTGCCATCTTCCTTGCAAGGCTCGCACCATACTTCCTCGTATATTTTAGGTTCAGCCTTCGTAGGGATTCCCTTACCTTGAGGGCAGGGTGGCCAAGGCGGCCATACCCCGTTCACTGCGTATCGATGCTTTGGGGCCGAGCCGTCGCAGGGCTCGATGATCATCATATCGCCCTCCATCTGGTGGAGGCATCCGTACCACTCAGGCCTCCAAACGCACATCGTTGCTTTGGTTAGAATGTAGGTGATAGACTGTTGTTTTTCTATTGACGTGGGTGTCTGTCTGTTCGGTGCTGTGGTTTCGCCGTGTATGTTTTCACTGCTCCGAGAATCCAGTCTCTGTCTTTGTGCCTTGTGGTTTTGAGGTATCTATGGAAGATGCTGTTGCTTCTGTGTGCAAACTACGGAACTTAAATACTCAAGAGTTGACCTTGTTGGAGTCACGTAACGCATCTATTGACTACAGCCGTAGGATGACCTTGTAGTCACCACCGATATCTATACGTCAGAGTCATCAGTCATCTTCGAATGCGGAGAAATATTATCAGAATTGACGGCAAAGTACGAGCAATGTGTTATGAGCAATGTAAAGTTATATTGAAGTTTGTGGGGATATGTATCTAATGTATTGATGATGTTACAAGCAGTAGGAAAGGAGGATACACATCTAACGACAGCAACGATCCAGCGCCGTGTCTAACAAGCTGCAGGCAGTCTGGAATACAACCTCGTCCTCCCGGTCAGTCCCGCCGCCCGGTGCACGTCAGCATTCGACTATCTGAACTGCACAGCGGGCTTGGTAGCATCACCAGGTGGCCTCTTATCGTTATCCTGAGACCACTTCATGCACGCGGGGCATACCCAACTCAAAGTCTCCATGCTCTCCTCGAAGTCTTTCTTGTGGCTAAAGGGACAATCATCCGGCATGCCTTGGACTTCTCCGTTCTTGTACCTCAAGTCCAGAAACTGTCCGCGTCCGAGGCAATGGTAGAATCGCACTGCATAACCTTCCTCTTCATCGCCAACCTTGGTATAACTCACCTTTCCGTTGGCGTCCTGATGCCCGCAGATGTAAAAAACCCACTTCCAGGTGCACATTATAGATCCTTAGCGAGTTGTAGTTCGACTATCGGTAAGGCTGTTGATCTGGGTTCGATAGTGTTGAGTGGTATGCTGGTCCAAGTTGTACTTCGTATTCAGTATTAGAGAGTCAATCCGCTGTCTGTTATCCTAGTGTATTCGAGGAGTGGTACCCTTGCTTCCCACAGAATCTCGTGGTCTTTTATACCTGCGAGCACCGGCTCTGCGACGCTGCGTTAACAGTCAATCGGCCGTAGTGTCAGCCTGCATCACCGATACCGTTCCTGCGTCAGTCGCTGTATCGTTAGGCTCGTAGAGTCGTGCAAGCCATGCCGTCGGCCGACCCTGACAGCGAACTACGAGCCATACTCAAAGAAGACGAACTGGAGGGCCGCGCCACACTCGGTGATGACAGTAACGCTGCAACGAACAACAACTATCCACATTCACAGGTACTTGATTCTGGTGACAGTATAAGGGATTGCGTATTTTGCGTGATAACTTCGATTCACGAGACAGGCTCCGGACCTCCGGTGGGCTTGACTAGGCTCCGTATACTCACCGAGCCACGAGAGAGGACCTGTTTACATGTGCACAGACTCGGAGGAGAGGTCAAGCGGAGTTGTCACCAGCGTGTGCAGCGTGTTCTACGGCCTCAAGGAACGGTATTCAGAAGAATTTTCGGGGTCACACTCATAATAACGTGTATGGCCGGTGGCATAGCCGTGATGAGTTTGCGGGCTCAATGTCTACTAGCGTTTCTCGACTTGACCGAACAAGATTGGTGCTACTACTTCTATTGTCCGCAAGCACGATATCGCTCCATGCAGTGCAACAGAAATCCGGCTTAGAAGAACACAGAGAAAAAAGGTTCACATCTTCGATCGTGCTCTACAAGCTGGTGTGTTGAGCACAAAAAACTATGGAGGAGTAGCTCGCTTCGAGAGAATGATTGATGAGAACGAATAAGGCAGAGTGTGAGGCTTGCTATGTTGAACCAGTGTTGCAAATAAGTAGTTACAGTATATATTTGTGCCGCATTGGGAAAAAACGATCCAGTACCGCCGTTCTTCGGTGTATTTGCCAAGGCAGTCCAGATGTTAGCACGGCTAAAACTGAAAGCTGTTTGGTGTACTGTATGGAGGCGTGAGGAATAAAATCACCAGGTCAAGATAGATGGAAGATAAGGGCGGTTGCCAGCAGTTATATTCTGATAGAGATGCGGAGCTGAGCACTAATACAGCCTGCCGTTAGTTTGCAACGGGATTTCAAATAGACCTTTCCAGCAATATCCCGGCCGTACCTGTCGTAGGTCAGTTCGATGTTGGAAAGGCATCCTGGGATACCGAGGACTTGGCGACATGCGGTAGAGCGAACCACGTGATTAGACATCACGCCGAGTCTCACGACTTCATCGCAAAGCGGCATGACCGCTCACTCCAAGCGGAACAGCACCCACAACTACAGCTCATCGGCCACGCCCGGACTTTCAACATGGCGGGCCACAACACCTGTATGCGCCCTTGCTGCAGACCAACTGCAGACTACAATAAGCAGCGACAGCCTGCTGACTATCACAGCTCTCGCGATGGACCCGGCGCTGGTCAAGTACGCCAGTATGAACCACCCAGCCCGGCTATCTCGCCCTAACGCTGCGAGCACCTGACACGACACGCAGACATGTACGTGAACCGGCACAAATACTTCCGCTGGACGCCTCGAACCGCCTGGCTCACATTCGCCTACGTCGTCCTCGTTCCAAGCATGTTCGGATATATGGGATACGTAACCGATGTACGTTCAATCCTCAGCCTCCACCCATAGTCGGTTTTCGGATCGCTAGGATATGGCCTTCTGCCGCGGTTCCCGTTGCACGAAGCTCTCATGAGCCCAGAAGACAGGCCTTGTGTCTCCCACGTGAGCGGGGGATCTCCATGCGGAGGACCTGTTCCTACAACACAATGCAGCTGTAAACACTCGACATACCCGCTAACCATCGCTTTCACAGGGCAAGTGGGATATGCGGGGCAAGCGAAGGGGCGATACCATTGCTGAGTTCTAGTCGGTTGCGGTCAATGTTTTCTCAAGGCGGTCAATTGGCACAGCCTCCTCTACAATGATTCCGTTGTATATAGTAAACCGGAAGCGTCATGCAAGAAGCTTATGCAGGCCTCGGTGGGCTATCCTTGTATCCGTTCTGTGCACCCTGACATTTCAATGGTAGCTTGTTCATAACTGCGACTTTGTTCGGAAGATGACACGAGCATCTACACCCTCTTGACAAATTAGTCGAAGAAGCGTGGACTGTGATGCTGTTGCATTGAACACGACCTCAAACATCGTCGTGTCTTGCTTACCGATCAACGTCCAAAAGAGGCAGGATTTGCCGAAGAGCGATGATGACAATGGGAGAGGGCACATCGATTTCTCCGCCGGGTCGCATCAGCGGTGCGAAGGGCGCATCCGCAGTCGCCGACTCTACCTAGTACATCTGCCGTTCCACCGATGACCTAACGTTAGTTCATCTTTTTCTCTGATTCCTCTCTACAATGGACATATTGCTTCCCAGCCGAGCCACCAGATGGCTTCAAGAATCCCGAATGAGGTCGACACCGTGATCGTTGGTGAGCGCACCACAATTGCCCCGCGAGTTCACGGCTGACTTCTCTAGGAAATGGGCCTTCCGCCCTCATCCTTTCCTACTTGCTTCATGGACATGTCCCATATTATGCCGGAGGGCACTATGATGCGATACTGGATGCAAAGCTCTCGAAGCGACCCAACCTTCTCCAATTGAAACCGGACCTATACCAACATTTCCAATCCTCCTTGCGATACTCCACGCAGGCGCTACCTGTCAACACCCTGCTTGACACACTACTTCGTCCGAATGCAGATACGGAAGCCAATCCCAAACCATGCCTTGAGTGGCACTACGAGCCTGAGCGCGCGGTCTCTCACATCGCCTTGGGCAACACAGTGCACGCCGGAGGACAATGGGCGGAGAACCCGGTCACCGCGAGCTGGGAGATTGGGACGCTCAGCTATGCGGAGATGCTGTCTCTCCCAGGATACTCTTACTCGGAACACTACGAGGCGACGCATGGAACAGCAATGCCTGACTTTGTTAGACCATCGCGCACGGAAGTCGCGCAATATTACACGGCTTATCCAAAGGTAGTTGGGATTTCGGATGCGATCCACAACGGCGTAAAAGTCGATCGGATCTCTCGGACCAAGAATGGCTTCCTCATCGGCTCCCACAGCATCCGCTGTAAACACCTCGTCCTCGCCTCCGGCATATTCTCAGTGAACATCCCGCCGCCGCCTCCGCTAAGCGATCTTGCACCGCTGGACTCTGCCACAGAGCCGCTGCTGGTCATAGGCTCTGGCTTCTCTGCCGCAGATGTCATCATTTCCGCGCCTCCGCATCGAAAGATCCTGCATCTCTTCAAGTGGTCGCCAGATGACAGACCCTCACCGCTGCGCGGATGTCATCGCCAAGCGTATCCGGAGTATGCAGGCGTATACCGGCAGATGAAGTTGGCTGCGACCTCTGGCAAGCGATCTAAGGTGGCAGTTTCTCCGCTTACGAGGAGGAAGTCGAATCCGTTCTTTACGCAAAGAGACTGGAGTAGCGTCTACGAGGGTCTGCCGAATGCCGAGGTACTGGATATCGCGGTACACAATGGCGCAGCAACTGTACAAATCAAGGTGGAATCGGGGGAGGTAATCAAGCGAACGGTGGGTGGATTGAGGTATGTGGTTGGTCGTCGAGGTACCTTGGATTATCTGGACCACAGCTTGAGAGAAGAGGTGCTCGAACCTCCATTCGAAGACGTCCGAGGAACAAATCTAGTCTCAGGACGAACACTGCGAGCAAGAGCAGAGGTCGACCTGGAAGTCGCACCAGACGTGTTCGTCATCGGAAGCCTAACCGGAGATTCCTTGGTCCGCCACGCCTTCGGAGGATGCGTGTACACAGCTGGCAAGATCATCGAAGGGCAGGGCGTGAAAGACGGGGACGGGCCAGAGGAATCGCGCTCGATGGAGTTGACCTCTTCTTCGCGGTCGCCTTCGCCTAGGACACCGTCCACACTGAGCAGCTCGAGTAGTCCTACGATTCGCCCGAATGGGATTGCGCATGAGGATCTGCATCTTGACCGGAGGAAGGTGTTGCAGGCTGTTGCGATTGCGGGTGCGGAGAACGAGCTGTGGAAGGAGTCAGGATGGGGGCTAGGGTTTCGTCTTGCATGAGCGCTGGGCAAGGTGGCAGGCTGTCCCATTCAGTGTACAGTCATGGACATATTTTAGGCCTCATTTGTCTCTAGACCATCTTCCAATGTCAATACTACGCTCTTCTGCCACTGACAAGTGCCTGAATACTCTCCCCGCCGAAAAGAGGTAGAATCACGTGCCGTCTTAACAAGAAAACGGTGCAGTAAATATTGAAGATTTCTAGGCTGAACTATGTATATACCCTTATGCCGACTCGCTATATCGGGTGTAAAGCTTTCCTATAACCGCTTCCTGATGATTGCAGTCTCTCGAACAAGATTGATGCGACCATAAAGAGACAGCACGTGATTACGGCACGTGATTCCGCCACTTTTCGGCGGGGAGAGTACAGCGAGAGCGAAGCCAATCACACGAAAGAGAAAGCCGCAGGGGTGACGGGTAGGGCGGAGCTAAGATTCCGAAATGCAGCCAGGGCCTGTCAAGCGTGCTGGTGGGGTCGCTCCAGTGGATTCACATTCACACCTCTTCTGCTGCCACTCATCCACCACATTCGAGCCACCACACCCCTGGTTCTCGACGCCTACCATAGTCCATAGCCCATAGCGACCACTCCTTCCCGCTGTCTTCACAATTCAAAATGTGAAGTGTCTGCCTAGGTATCCATCTGCGACGAAGCCTGTTCTTCCCTCTGCTGCAAACGCAAGCCCTGGTCCCGCCAGATCTGCGCTTTGCATCTCTCCGCCAACACCTTCGACAACTTGCAGCCGCTTGCAGTCCCTAAGCGCCTCATATTGCCGCCATGTCTTCACCCACCCGGAGACTTTTAGCTCCCGATGAGGAGCGAGACACCCCTCAGCAAGCATCCAGGCTACCACGCGTGCCCCGCCTCCGCCATGCATCCAGTGTCAAGAGCAGCGCCAGTATCAGCGACAGCAGCGTAAGACAGCCTCACCGTGGCCTGAACCAGTCGCTTTGTATCCAGATAGCTTTACTGACGTTTGGTAGGATACGAGCGCAAGCAGCAATCTCGGACCTCCAAGTCCAGGCGCATTCTCTCCGCGCAACCCGTTCCTCAACAGCAGCCAAAGGAGTAGCAGCTCAAGTCAGTCGCCCTTGGTGCGTAGCTCTTTGCCTCCTCTTCCGAGCCTTCGCTGGCCCTCCTCGCCCGCTGTCAATCATGCGCAATCCCATCCCGGCTTTCTCGCCCGGAACCGCGTGCGCGTGAATAATCCGTCTGACAGCCCGCGCTCCGCCATGCTGCAACGCCCTCAACATAACGCTTCAAGCCCATTCTTCCCTCCACCGTTTCTCCTCCATGCATCGGCTTCTTCGGCTTCCCTGTGGCTTGATGGTGACAATTCGGGCGATATGTCAGAGGGAAGCGGTCAAGCAAGCTTAGCGGCAGGTCTAACTTATGCGTCCCCACCCGCTATACATCGTGCTGTAGACAGCTCCAGTCCACCTGTAAATTCTCACGTTCTAATCGATCTTTTCGATGACGAAGTTGATGCAGCGGACACGCTTCTCAGTTTATCTTCCAGCTCACACAACAGCTACACATCTCAAGCAAACTCCATGACAAGATCGATTGGCTTGAATCGCAGGAGATCTTTGTCGGATCGCAACTCATCTGCTGCGCCAGCTGCTGCCATGACGAACACATCACACGCCAGCCCTTCAAATGCCTCGCTCCTATATGGCATCGATTTTTCCTCCTCAAACGCTCGCTCTTCCGCAACGAACTTCCTAGCGCAATCTCCAATTTCGCCGCGCTCACATGCTACTTATCAGTCAAATCCCAGTAGGACGCTGTATTCAAGTAGCAGAGACCAAGGCTCACCTAGGCAAGCCTCAAACAGTCTGGGATCACAGCATCGCCTGCACATTGGCCGTTCTTGGATGCCAATGACTAGCAATAACAGCGCTACAAACTCGAACTCAACTACGAGCAGTCGCAACGCTGTATCCTTGGACCTTGCAGACCTCAATCAGTTCCCTTCCCTTCCTGCTGAAAGCTCTGGTAGCACCACGGATACTACCTACGACGGCCGCGTCATATGGGACGATGCTGTAGCTTTCTCGACGCAATCGTTTAGTCAGGGGCCTGTGGATAATGGTGGATCGCAACGCCGTTCACGAGCTACGCATGGTTTGCACTCGGTCGTACCCATAGACGATCCTGGTACGAAGTCGGAAGCAGATCTGAGAACGCAGCTGAAGGATCTCGAGAGCAAGGATGCTTGCGCAGTGTTTCTCTACCGTGTCCAGCCATCGCCTACTGGCAGCGATGTATGGCCTGATATTCGAGACATCTCCAAAGTTCCGGCGAGCTACCAGGTCTTGCAGCTTCCTCAAAGCAGGCCGGTACCAGGTCTTCCAGCTGTTGAGGATCTGCTAGACGCTCCTACTTTCAGTCGGATCAGTCAACTACCGCCCCGCAGTGACGGGATGCCACAGGTAGAAACCTCTGGCAAAGGATGGCCCCAAAGAAGACTGCCCACCGAGCTTTACGAGCTGATCTGCTCTTACTTGGCGCGGGATGACATCAAGGCCATGCGTCTTTGCTGCAAAGAGTTTGATCAACACGTCTCTCAGACCCTCTTCCATACGGTCGTTGTACCGTTCAACACTGAGATCTATGACATGCTAAAACCAAGGCCCAAGAAACGCGACGTTAACGGCAAGGGTAAGAGCAGAGCTGTTGATGATGACACAAATGCCGCTAGCACATACGACGCCTTCCAGTGGAAGAATGAGAAGGATGATGAGGTGTACGAAGGACACGGCGTAGACGTCTTCAAAGGCTTCGGACCCCATATCAGACGATACGGGATGAGCTTCGAGGTTGACGAGAGTAAGTGAAGAGGCGCTGCATCGCTCGACACAAGCGCTTACTAGACACAGGTACGCTTAAGTTTCCGCCCCATAAAGGGTCGCTGGAAGACCACGTCAGTTACTGGGGCGCATACCAATGGCCGTACCAAGAGTATCATCGATTTGAGGACGTAGCCAGCCTCGAAACGACTGCCGACGAGACCCCGAAGATGAAAACTGCTTTCTCTTTCCTCACCAAAGTCCGACATCTAGCGCTATCTCTCGACTGCGGTCTTGGCTGGCTGAAGGGTCCCGACGTCTCGCTCCGATCACGCATCCTGAAGCGCAGTCCGACAGTCTTTGGCCCCACACGAGCAATCCCCGACCGCAGAACTCAGGCTCGGGAGTTCTTGTGGGCCCACCTCGAGGAGGCTCACTTCCGCGCGACACACGACAGATTCAGTGTGCGGCATGCAGAACTCTTTAGGCAAGATGTGATTGACCCTGTTGCCGGTACTCATGGCTACAGTGCAATACTCCAGGACGAGACGTCGCAGCGAAGTCTTCGGTTCTTTGATGCTGGTCTAGCCAGCGATGCATATTACGATGAAGGTCGCCACTCAAAGTCGAACTGGGGACCCCCGAGATCCCCGAGGGATATGACTGGGCAGTTTGACCTATCCAGAGTCGCTGCAGGACCCCAAGAACCAGCATGGAGGAACGTGCCACCGTTTGTACTGAAAGAGGGCATACTCTACACAAGTTCCACAAGGCAAGAGTCTTCGGGGCAGCACAACTTCCTGGTACCGAACGACCTCTCAAAAGCACAGAAGGAGTGGTTGCTTGAGATTGAGTGGGCACAGCGAGCTTTCCTGTCCTCGTACATGTTGGCCGTTATGGACAACTCGTCTGTCTTCGCAGGCGTTGAAAGACTTGACTTTAGCCGGATATCAAGCCGCTTCGTCTCACAACTCTGCCGGGCGGATTTCTGGGATTCGCTTGAAGGTCTTGAGACAGTCTCAATCCAGGTTGTCCCGGACTGGCATGATGTCACAAAGGATAACGCCGGCATCGTGGAGACCCAGACGATCTATCCATCGCGCGCCGTCGGACCCTTCGTTAAGCTTCTTGCGGACACCATCTCTCCACGTGACAACATCAGAAACCTCAAAATCGGCTGGGCGGACGGAGGCGAGCACGCCGAAGGCATGTTCGCACGCAACCAGCACATTCTCATCGCGCCCCTCGTCGAAGTGAATCACGACTTCACGCACGATTTGACCACCCCGAATCCGATGCTGCTACTCCCTCACGTCGAGCATCTAACCCTGACGAACTGCTGGATCACGCCCCACCACCTACAATCACTCGTCCGAAACCACGCCAATAGCGCCCTAATGAAGCTGACGCTCGACTCCGTGTCGCTGACTGTCGTTCCCCGCGTCAACCCCCTAGTCCAACTAGGCCCGCCCCCAGGCCAGCCAATGTGGGCGAACGCCGTTGCGCTCCAGCAGCTCCTGACGCAGAACATGCAACAGCTGCACCACTTCAACAACCCTGCCCAGCCTGCACATCCAGGTGTGCCGCTTGGGCACGGCATGATCTGGAATCCATACGCCGCCCCCGGTAATGGCGGCCCTCCGGCTCCACCACAGCTTCCGCAGTTCGTCCCGCCGGCTCACGCCCCACCACCCCCTGCTCTGGCACCACAACCAGCCCAGCCCAACCAGAACGATACAAGCTATCTAGACCCCCACCGCGAAGGCTCCTGGCCTCACGTCCTCGACCTCATCTCCCCCGGTGCGCGTCTCGCTGACTTCCTCCCCTCCTCCCCATCCCCCTCCTCTCCCGACCCAGTCCCTCATTCCCCCAGCCAACTACAAACCCTCGAGCTGCTGAGCGTCGGCTACGTCAAGCTCCCCCACGCGCGCTTCGACCAGTCCGCCCTCCTCCCTCCCGCAAACCCGATCCCGGGGTTCACAGTCCAGGGGCTGCGGAGTAATTACTTCTTGAAGCGCGCGGGGGTGCTGCAGGGGAGCATGATGGCGGTCAAGGACGAGTTGGTGGGGGAAGTTGTGCAGTTTATTGTACCGGCCGAGCTGCGGTGCTTGAGTGTCGTTTGGGGCCTGCGTGAGGGGTGGAGAGACACGAAAAAAGCGGAGGAGCCCGAGTTTGACGGATTTCTGGCTGGCGGTACGGGGAGGGTGTCGGGTGTGATACACGCCCACGACAGGTCGCCGGGCGTTGGTGGAGATGATGGATCGTGATATTGACATAGAATCGAAACTACATCGCCTCTGCCGGCTCGACGCACGAGCTTGGTGGTATACCGATCAGGTTCATGTTTGCGGTGGGTATCAAGACGTGGCTTCGCACGCTTCAGAGATTTGGAAGGTCGGCCTGTGGTGGGCTGATGGGAAGAGAAATTCCCCAAAAATCTACCTCGATGACCTCACGATGTTTCATTTATGTACTATTACATGTTCCTTGTGCTTTTACTTCAGGGCTCAGGCTCTCGGATAGGACTGCACTTTGCAGATTGCACACTGTTGGCTCTGTCGGAACGACTCGGCCAGGGAGCTGCACTCTTTGCAACATGTACGATTGGGGTGTATCTGATGGATGGATGTGGGTAATGAGGATCGCATAGCGCATGGTTGGGTACCGGCTCAAGAATCTCTCTGTAGGATAGACATGACAGTCTGATGCTGCTGTACGAACGCAGACATCACATCAGCAAAATTATAAGATGCTACAACACGTTTTCGAGCAGCAGCGTCTCTGAGAATACGCGTCTGTAGCTCCACTCAAGGGCGTAAGAACATTGCTCAACAATAGTAGGTGAAGGCAAGCCGTCACATTTCGATGAGGATTTCAGTTGTCAACATACAAAGCGACGTCACAGCTTCCCAACACGCTCTTCGACGTTTCCGCAAGGCTTGAGCTGGGTTGCTTTCATTCCCGTAGCTATCCTCCTCGAAGCGAACCCGTATATCCCAGACCATCATGAATTGCCAACTCCACGACTAGAGCAATCCGCTCAACGACATCACCACGGCGCTCACACCCCACCCCCACCCCCCTCCCCTCACGCCCCCTCCCATCGACGTATTTAGCGCGCACCTCCCGGCATCTCAGCCGCAACCCCCTCCGACGTCTCCGGCTCCCTCTCCTCCGCCGGCGGCCCCCCGAGATTACCCCTATTCGGCACCACCCCCACCTCCTCCTTATCCTGAGCCCGCTGGTCCGCGTGCTCGGGAAGATGCGGATCAACAATCTTGCTCGCATTTCCCACCCCGCTAGCCCCTACGCCAGCTAAGCCGTGCCGCTCCCGCTTGCGCCCGTGCTGCCCGTCGTGGTGCAGCTCGGTCGAGGTCTGGCCCTGACCCGGGTGGCCGAGCCCGGTGTGCACGTCCGCCGAGGTCGCGCCGCCCAGGGTGTCGGAGGCGGAGGTTTGTTCGGATTCCGGGTCGTTATCGTCGCGGTAGTCGGCCGCGCGGGGGGCTTCATCGGTGGGGTTCGGGCGGAAGGTGTTCTCTTTGGGCGCTGAGCCTGGCGGCAGGGTCTTTGCGTGGAACTCTGGCGCGCGGTCCTTCTCGGAGGCGAGGACGCCGGGCTTGTGCTGTAGATGGAGGTGAGTGCTGTGTTCGTGGCGGGGTCACAATTGGAGGATGGGGATGGAGATGGGGACTTACGCCGTGGGTTTCCATTGGGGCGGAGCGGCCGACTTTGGGGTGGAATCCGCCCTCCTGGTTTGCTACTGCGTCGACATTGGCCGTTGTGGACGTGTCTACTGGATTGGTCATGGTGATGGTTGTGCGGGAAGTAAGACTTGATGAGGAATGGGTGATGTGTGTTTTGTTTCTGCGTGTAGGCAATTGACACAAGAGATCTTGTTTTCGAATGATGGAGACAGAGCTTGATGAGAGCGAGTTCAGAGGGGTTTCGTCTGTTGGTGGGGCATTTGGCACGTTACGTCATGGCGACATAGTTGCGATGATGGTTACAAAATGACTTGGATGGAAAATGGACAGTGATCGCCTGCTGCACGAAAGCGCAGACGGATCGTCGTCAGGTACCCGGACGCCTCTTGCGTATTGCATCCTACCGGAGCTTGTTGTAGAAATCATGCGGATGGTAGAACAAAAACAAATAATGTCGTTGTTCTAACCATGCTACGAACAACAGCCTACCCACCATCACTAAACCCCTCCCATTCCTCCTCATCTTCCCCCTCCACATTGCTAGTCCCCCCCGCCGCCCCCTGATCTCCGTTTGCCGCTTCTCTCACAGCCGGCGGACCACCCTCCCCATCCCTCACAAATCCAGCAACAAAAAACCCCATAGTTCCCTCCCCCGTGCCCTTCTCACACCTAATACACGCCTCCCTCACCGTCTCCGCCAGCTCACCGCTCCACTTCCCACCAGGCAAAGCCTCAACAGCCTGCACATCCCCCCTGACGGGCCACCTCCGCATTCCATCAACCTGCTCCTCCCGCCGCAGGATCCGCCACCCAAGCCCCACGGCAGCGGAATGCTGCAGCGCGCTAAGAACGACATGCTCGTTCTCCTCGGCATGGATGGAGCAGGTCGAGTAGCTGATCTTTCGCGCGGCGGGGAAGGACATTGCGTGTTTGAGAAGCTTGAGCTGGAAAGACGAGAGGGACTCTAGACGGGCTTTTGTGTTCTCGGATGAGCCGAAAAGAGGATTCTCTTCGACCTCTGCGTCGGTGGTTGAGAATGGTGCTGGGGTTTCGTCTGCAGCTTTCGGCACGGGTGGCGCTTTCCGCTTTCGCTTTTTTGGTCGAGAGGAGGGGGCGGTGCATGGGTTCGCGGCGGCTGTGCTCGGGAGGTGCAGCGTGGGTCCGTCGTCCCTGCCAACGATGCCACTGCCTGAACAGCTGGGATCCAGGAGTAGTGCGCCGACGCTGCAGTAGTCGTGGGCTGAGGGGTCTACGGTCAGGAAGTCCTTACCGCCTTTAACGGTGACTAGACTGTCGGCTCCGGCGAGGGTGATCATCTTGGCTAGGGTAATGGCTCGCCTTTTGTCTCTTTCGAAAGCGAGGATGCGGCGGTGGCTGCTGGGCTGAGCTTCTTGTGAAGCAGCGCTCGCGGTAATCACTGCGGCCAGATGAGTCGTCTTGTTACCGGGCGCGGCGCATGCGTCTATCACGTCGCAGTCGTCTACGCTGGGACTTAGGAGATACGCAGGGAAGCAGGAGGCTTTGTCTTGGAAGATGATGTTTCCATTTAGGTACGCTCGATGTTTGGACAGATCCGCTCGCGGCGGCAGGGCAATGAGATCAGGAATATGTGCGTCAAGACGGAGGCGCCTGGACGTGGAAGGTGCTCTCATAACACTTGCGAGGCTATCCATTTGCTGGTAATCGGCAAATGTGGTTCGAAGCTCTGTTTCCAGGGTGGTCTTGATAGTGTTGATACGAATCCATCGCGGATGTTCAGGTTCGGTTGTTTGATCACCATCGTGCTCCCCTGACGCATTTGAAATGCTACTTCCGGCATTTATGTGCTCGCGGAAGGCCTCGGCTGTGTGGAAGCCGGCCTTCAACCTTGCTTTGGTGAACTCTGCACTGAGACGCGCCTTGTGTCGAAGAATTGCTTGCTTAAGGACGTGATCTTTAGGGGCGGCCACTCCGCCCTTTGCAAGAAGTAGATCATGGCTTAGAAGAAGCGCCAGTAGGGGCGTAAGCTTGTATGATAGTCAGTCACATGTTATGGAAATAGATGAAATACGCGCCTAGAATTGATATGCTTGACTGGGACGTTTGTGTGTGAACATTATGAAGAATTGAAAGCATAGTCCACAGAGAGAAACGCAGCATGGCACGCGTCTAACTGACCTTTCTTTCCTCTTTTAGTATCCCGCTCTTCTCTACAACCTCCTTGAGTACAGCAGACCATTTCGTCGTTTCGCTGATCAGAGCATACAAATGCGCTGGAGAGCTCTTCAAACCCTTCTTCCCGTAAATGCGCGATTTCAGAGAACCACCAGTGTTGTCAGCGTTGGCAAGGATTGCAGCTGCCTCATAGTAAAGTGACATGTCGGGGAGAAGAGAGCAGGGAATTCTTGGAGGTTGTGCTCGGGGCACTTCTGGGCTGCCGTAGAGACAAGCGGAAACGGCAAGACAAGCCGACTCACCACCACAACCAGCATCTCACACTGACTGACTTGCAAACGAGCAAACCTCTCAAGACCGTTGGTTTCGAAACACAGCAGATTCCTCTGCGGCACAGTTCCTACGCAGTCCTAGAATCTCAAAACTGTCGAACCACAAGTCCTCCCCGCAAGCCCTCCACTGTCCGGATTTCGCAGTAGCTCTACAAAGATTCCGCTATCACCTTGTCCGGTATCGGTATCAGTCCCTCACACGAACACGATGTGAAAAAAGCCGTCAAGCGCCTCAGTCCCTCCAAACACGCCAAGCCACCTCCCACTCACTCCCATCCACTACCCCATCTCCTCATCCCCATCCCCATCCCCCCCTGCCCCCTCCTCCACTATACTCTCCTCCCCCTCCCCGTGATCCAAATCGTAAACCCTCCACCTCCTTCCCTCCGCCTCACACACCAGGACAACCCGCCGTTCCCTCCTTCCATTAACCTCCAGCCTGACCGGCACAAATCCCTCGTCGCTCCGAAACACATGCCTCACGAACCCCTTTAGCTCCTCGCCCTCGAGATGCCAGACGGGGCGCAGCTTTACATCGTCCGCGGCCCCTTCCGGCAGCGCGAAGGCTGCGGGTGCGGAGGGCGTGATGGGGCGCTGGTGGCGGGGCGCGTAGAGCGGTGCCATTGGGTTTGTGGGCGAGGTGGGGCGGTAGGGGAGAGAGAGGAGGAGGGTGGATTCTGCGGTAGTTTGGTAAGCGGCTTGCTGGGGTTGGGAGGGGGCGCTGATGGGGCCGACCTTTGGTGCTGAAGAGCGCTAGGAGCGCGTCGTCGTCTGCGAATTTCAGGTCTCTGATCTCGCCGCCTTCGGGCAGCTGGAGAACTAGGGCCTCTGTGGAGCGGATGGAGGTGGAGGTGTCGGAGATGTTTGAGGCGTGGAGGATGTAGTGGAGGCGTACTTGGCGGGGTGAGCTACTGGCTGTCAAGTCGAGAAGATTGGGGAGCTTACTTTGGGTCTTCTGCGTGCTAGGTATGAGGGCGGCGAAGGTGGTCACGTCTTCTTGGCTTACAGGACCCTGTGGCAAGTAAGTAAAGGAGTAGTAACGAGAAATCTGGGGAGAATGCTTTCGGCTTACCTCATGTACCATCCTCACGTCACTTGCACTGATCTCGTCCTCTTCCAGGAATAGACCGCCGCCGATTCTGCAACCTGACATCTGCCATGCGGTGACCTGCCTGAAGACTCCGCTCGCTTGTCTCTGAAGACCATCATACACGCTTCGAACATTCAACGCCTCGTTCTCAGCTACCGTCTCCTCCTTATGCATTTCCGCAGCCTTCCCAACGACCTCGTACCCGAGCTCCTCCGTCTGCCCCTCCGAACCAGAGCCAAGCCTCCCAAGGAACGGACCAAGTTTACTCCTCGTCAGTCCGCCATCGATATACCGCAACAGCGCCGCATAATCGATCCCCGGATCCTTCTCCTCCTCCTCGGGCGACGGCTCAGAGGTGGTAGCTTGCACATCGATCTCGTGCCTCAGCCACTTGCTAAACGCCTTGAACTGTCTCCTCTCTTCGCCAGCATAGATGAGCACGTTGTGGCACAGCAGCTGCAAGCACTTGATCGTCTCGAGCAGGGTGGTGAGGTTCTGGGGTGAAACGTTCAGGTTCAGTGATGGCGAGTCGGCATGGTAGGTCGCTAGGCCGCGGAGGCGCGAGATTGCCATGTTGCATCCGTCGAGTGCCGGCAGTAGGTTCTCTAGCACGAGTTGTATGACGAGGGTGTAGCCGGCGGAGACGATGTGGTCCCAACGTTTGTGGCCCTGCGGCTGTCAGTCTGATTGTTTGATCAGCGCAGTAGGGTAGGGAAGTCATGCACTCTCTTTGAGCTCATCAACAAGCCACTCCTTCATGGTCGCAGAGCAATGTCCGGTGACGCCTACATGGTAGAGATTAGTGACGAGGTCGCCCTCGTCCTTTTCGGCCAACGTCTCGTTGATATTGCTCATGAACCGCGATGGCAGGTCTTGGGAATGCAGCCAGTAGGCGCTGAGACACCGCAGGCATTCGTCAACGTAGCGGAGGAGATTCTGTAAATGAGCGGTCTTGGAGGCGATTAGATCAAGATAGATCCCTGCGGACTGGATGAAGCCTAGGGTAAGCGGCACCAGAGCCAGACACTTTGCCGCATGGCTTGTGCTACTCATGCTCGCACCATCGTAGGCGCCGGGGGCTTGTTGTCGCTGTCGGTGGGATGCTGCGGAGGACGCCGCTTCGCCGGCGAGAGTGGATTTTGAGACCTCCATGAGCATCTGATGGCTACATGCGAACGGATGGGAGGCATGCTGAAGGGGCCGGCAGTCGAACAAGTTCCACTCCGCAGGCAACCCAACGCCGCCGATGGCTAGATAATCATACATCATCGGACTGACGGTGCCGTCTTCGTAGCAAAGCATGAGCACGTCGACGGCATTGTGGTCTCTCAAATGACGCGAGTGCAGTAAAGCGTCGATCGAAGCCTGACTGGTAAAGACCTCCGCTGGACCTTTGACTGTCATAGGTACTCTTGCTCCTGACAATGGCGGCGGCGGTATCATAGGCAGCTTCGGTAGGACACTCTCGACGTCCATCAGAGCTAGTTGCTTCGGAAGGTCGGGAGTAATGCCCAGTTTCTCCAGATCCGGCTGCCGGTCGAGGAAGTCGTCGAGCGTTACGTCTTCTTTCTCGGTATCGCCCCAGGCTTCCACGGTCATGTGCTGTCTATGGACTCCGCTGGCGGCTGTGGTCGAGCCATTCGTACGAGCCTTGACAGCTTGGACATCGATGAAATTTACACCCCAGCCAAGACAGGATATCTTCTTAGAGTGGATGGACGCACCAGCGGAAGTTCCACTGAGCATCTCTTGAACGCCATGACGAATAGCTTTTCCGCTCTCTGAAGATAGCACGTCGACGGTGCCATCATTCCATGCGACTGCAATATATTGACCTGGGTACCAAAGTCAGCATGAGAGTTAGAGGGGTCAATCACAGATGAAGGAGAGAAATGTCGGGGTTGACCTGAGCCTTGTACCGTTGAATTTCCAACAAATACTGTCGACGGTGCTCTGGCCTTTACGCTTGAGGCCGAAGGCTCGTTGGCCGCTCAGTCGGTAGACGTCGAGCTGCTCCTCTTTAGTGACGACGGCTATCAAGTCCATCGTAGGGCAGTAGGCCAGCAGATGCGGGTGTATGGATTGAGGCAGAATTGTTTCTGCATGCAAAAGCAGTGCCGGCGCCTTCGAAGGCTCCATAGTGAGCTCGGAGCCGCTGGGCGGTGATGTTCTCCTGTTGTTCTTATCTGTTCATGAAAACTTGTGGTTGGAGACGCGGTGTTGATAGTCCGACGCGGTATCTCGTAGTCACATGAGATGATGGGCTCATGGGGCTTCCTCCCGTAAAGCATTCCGATCACGACACTCCGAACCGTTGATAAGATGACCGGTCAGAAACATGAGTAGTTCAGACCCTGACAGTGGCATTCTTTCTGCTATAGTAATGCGGTCGAGGGCTCCCCTCAGCACTAGAAGATGCACAGCGCTATCTTCAGACCCAAACGCCATCGCGCTCGTGCGAGCATGCCTCCCTCTGTATCCCTACATCCTCTGCGGATATGCCCACAACGCCTCCCAGGCAGCCGTTTCCGCCCAGACATGTACATCGCCGCCAGGCCCGCTGACGTATCCATCTAAGCTCCCCCAATCCGCATGCCAGCGGTACTCCACCTTCTGCTCCTTGCGACAAGGCCGAAGCCCGAAACCGAGCCACAAGGAAGCCTGCTCACCGATCCGGACTCTTGTTCGGTCGTACCCTTTCAACCGGCAACACCGGCTCCTTCGCCGCCCCATTCGTCTCCAGCTCGTCAAAGCTCGTCCTTTTCCTCCCGCTCCCCCCCGTATCCTCATCACTATCCTCCGCCAGGTCCGCGAGCCCAAAACTCTGCGCCTCGACATCCCTCTCAAAATCCCTCATCAGGCCCGCCCGATCGCCCACCTTATAAACGCTCGCGCCCGAGCTCATCCTCCTATGCCCGGCGTCGCTGCTGCGCCTGGAATGCATACTCCTCCTCGTCATCGCGCCCGCGAGGCCGTCCGTCGGCGCCGCATCCTCGAAGTCGCCGTGCCCGAGCATGGTCTTGCCATCCGGGTCTTCGCGGGAGAGATTCAGGAGGTAGACGCCGGAGAAGATGATGAGGAAGCCACAAAGGAGGGAGATGGTATTCACGGCGTCGGCGGTGTTGAAGCCCTTGAAGAGGATGAAGGAGGCGACGAGGGTGCAGGTGGTGAAGGTGACGTAGTAGAGGGGGTTAACTCTGTCGCGGCGCGTGTCAGTCTACACCATTTCCGCCGTCCTGAGCCAAGTTCGAGTGGGGCGCGGGAGGTGTTGGGGGGTGTCTTACATGGATGTCGAGAACTGGCTTAGCGCCTTGTTGAAGTAGTTCATCTGGACTAGAATGCACCAGACGACTACGATGGCGAAGACGTAGGTGCTGGGGTGCGTGAATTGGTTGTTCCCGGCAAAGGTAAGCTTCAGCGCTATCCCAAAAGCCTTGACGGCCATGATGGACACGCTTCCCACTGTGCTGCAGATCGAGATGTAGACAAGGGGGTTCTTCTTCCCGTGTTTGGGCGCGATCTTGTAGATCATGACTACAGCGAAGGCACAGACGATGGCGCAGTAGAACAGAAAGCCTGCAAGTGTAAAGTTGGTCAGCGCGTGATGCGTAGTTGGGGACTAAGAACAAGCAAGCAATACCTGGCTGGATGGCGTAGTTCAGTATCTCGTCAATCGTCTCGATCTCCTTGTCCGGCGGCGCGTGCAGCACAATAATGACCGATCCTATCAGACATATCGCACAGCCGATTTTGCCCAAGAGGCCTAACCGCTCTTCGAGGAAATATGCTCCTAACACCGCGCTGTATAGATGTGTCAGCTTGGCCACTCTGGACATCCGCCGTGGGCGTCACTCACCCTATCAATACACTGAGCGCTCCTAGGGGCGTGACCAATATCGCCGGCGCAAACGCATACGCAGCGAAGTTTGCGATTTCGCCCAGCACCACTGCTACCGTTAGAGGAGACCGCTTTCCCTCAATTACGCTTCTGAAGGGTGCTCACTCGTCACAATACCACCCCACCATAGCGGGCTCTTAAGATACGAGAACCCATCGCCCTCAAACCCATGTCTCTCACTCGCGTCATTCAAGCCCTTCTTCGTGATAACAAAGCTCGTGCCTTTTCATCCAACCGTTAGCTCCCACGCTCCCACACGCCCACACTCGCAACCCCACCCAGAAAGGTCGCACTCACCAATCGCCAATGTCGAAGTCACAGCCAGCGCAAGCCCTACATATCTGCAACGCCTCTATCAGCCCCCCCGTTCAAGACTTGAGTGCCCAGCTGTTCCTCCCTCTAGGCGCAACAGAATCCGAATTTCTGCGCTGGTATAGGCGGGGGCGCATACTTGTCTTCTAGCATCTCGCCTCACACCCGTCTGCTCACTCGAGCAGACACCTCCTTATGCCTCAATGCCCTCCTACGGGCCCGAGTTGTAGGCTATGACGCACGAGTCTGTCGCGGCGGCGGGTTGGACCCCTGCAAAAGCCGTTGCCCGAGGATGTGAGGCAGGCCGTATATAGGATACGCGATTGTGCGATGTGTCGAAAGTCCTTCTTGACGTAGGATACGAGCGGTTTCGCTTTCAGGGCGTTCAATCCGGTCTCGAGTGTCGCAAGGGCGTGGCGAGGAGAGAAAGGTTGTGTGTGCAGAGGCGCTCGAGCTCGTCTAGCGAAGCGCTGAGGTCGTCGATCAGCCTAGGAAAAATACAGGCGAGGCGGGAAGCGCAGCTGTGCGATGCAGGTGCCAGGAGAGGTGTTGAGGCTCTTCAGCCCGTCCGTCGTGGATCTGCTCTTCTGCAAGCTGGTTCAAGGGTTCTTTGGGGCCGGGGCAAGCTAGTTAACTAGCTCGGCAGGCACGCACAAGGGTTTCAGCTATTTATGATACGCGCTAGGCTGCTAAGGTTTAGTGGAGCGAGTCCTGAAAGGGGCTAGTCGAAGGAGCGCGCAGTTCCCATGGTTGGGGGGCAAGCTACGTCCCAAAAGTCTGTAGCAATGGAGATGCGTGATCAGAGTTGGACACGGTGTTGCACTAGGTACCGCCTCAATTCTCTACCTGCGCTGTAACTAAGTGCAACAGAACTACGGCGTTCCCTCCACTATGGCCTCGCCCTTCGAGAACCAGAAGCCCAGTAAACCTATGCCACAACGCCTCCAACGCCAGCCGCCGCCATTGCGCCTCCTTCAGCCGCGACCACCGAAAAAAGAGATACTTTACAGTAGGTGGCTCGCAGCTTCTCTCAAAGATCCTTCCGATTCCCGAGACCCTCAACTTTTGTGAATTGCCGTCGCCGGATGCCTCCTAGATGTTACGATGTTCGCACAATGCTGCGTGCTTGGGTAGAGAGCGACGAGACGAACAGCGGACGAAGGCGAGAAAGTAGCGAGAACAAGGGGGACTGCGTCGAAGAGCGAGAAGGAAGAAGCGGGTTACTGAAGGTCGGTACTCACCTGGAAATTAGCTAATGTAACGTGCGTGGGTTGTTCCTTGATCGACGATGTGGAGAAGGACGCCAGAAGCACGGTCTGGGAATCTCAATGGGGTAAGTGGGAGTGTCAGTAGCCGAAAAGTCCTCGTGCGATATTTACGTTGGCCCGGCGGCGCAGCACGATCAGGACCGGTTCGGTGGCGAATGAGGGGAGGGGTTGAGTGCGGCTTTGGTGCTAGGACCGCACAGAAATCCTGCACGAGTTTCGCTGGCCCGCTAAGCATGCCAATGAAGAAATGCTCGTATGAACCCCGAAAGCGAACGCGCTTGAGCAGCTATCGGAAGAAGAGCTGAAAGGGGCGGGATTCATCCTGACCGGACGCGCTTGGCAGCTGGAAGACCGTCAGCATAAGCGGGAAGGCCCTCCTCAAAGTGATACTGACTCTGATCATCGATGTCGACCGCTCCACTCTCATCGTCTTCTCTCGAGCGCTTCCCAAGCGGTGAGCCTTTCGAGCGATCTGAGATGTCTCGTGCGGCAGGTTCAACAGGCGTGGTGAGCTCGTCATCCTCGTCATCGTAGTCGATGGCATCAGAGTCGTAGCCATTATCCTTTGCTGCCAGAGGAACACCGGACCCATCTTTCTCCGCCGAAGCTGAGGCGTCAATCTCCGGGTCGGCCAAGGGATCGTCTTCCGGAAAGTCATCAAAGATGAAGTAGTCGGGATCCTCTCCGGTGGCGTAGTCAAACTCATCAAGCGGATTCGGTTCGTCACCAGTTACAAGGTGTTGATGAACATATTGCTGAGCGTCGAGAGCTGAGTTGCCGGTAAGCTCGGGCTGAGCGTCTTCGCGACTATCAGCAGCGAGGGTATCAACGGCTTCTGAGTGCGATATCTCCTTGCTAGTTGCGTCTTGTTCGTTCACGAGCGTCTCAACATCAGCCTCTTCAACTGCACCGTCGGCGGCCTCTTGGTCCAACTCGGTTCCGTCATCGTAAGCCTCGAAGTCATCCTGAAATGTCACATCATCGTCCAGGGTTGCATGATCGTCGTGCCAGTCTTGAAAAGTGACTTCATCCACGTCACCCGCTTCAGATTCTTCGTCATGAGCGTCAGTCGTCACGGTTGCTTCGTCGCCGATCTGTTCTTCGCCAACAGCGGGATGCGAGGTCGGTTGCGGCGGATCATGGGTCCCAGTCGCGGCTCCGTCTGCATCGTCGGTGAGTGTATCATCGAAGTCGTCGTTCAGTGTATACTGACCACCTTCCTTTGGGGATGTATCGCCGCGGAGCGTAGATGAACCGGCTGACTCGCCACTGGCCCCATCCTCTGCATCCTCGCCATCGGCATAATCGATCAGATCGCCGTCTTGACCATCCGTCGCGTTCGCTACCCCGTTCTGAGATGGCTCAGCGCTATCTGTTGGGTGGGCGGTTGACTCGCGTTCCGTATGAGTGCTGTCTTCATGAGGGCTTTGGTCGCTGAGAGGCTCGGTGACTGTAGTCGACGGAGGCGCAAAGTCAGATCGCTCGGGTTCCGCCTGTTCAGCAGTAGTTTGCGGCGCCAAAGCCGCGTCGGTAGTTGAGTCGTGGGTCGCTTGCTCCATGTTGTCCGGATGGGGGTCTGGATCCTCGGGATGGTGTTCATAAGTCTGGTCCTGCTGCTGATCGAGGTTGTCCTCATCATCGTCTGCGCTAGAATCTACATCAATATAGGGGTCTTGGTAATTGGCATCACGGGGTATGTCCAGGCTCAGCAGTCCACGTCCTTCTGTGGCTGCTTGGAGTAAAGCGCCTAAACGAGTCGTGAACCTAGTCTTGGCAGTCAGGGTGATGTAAAGTGGGTCAGGTTCTTGAATGCCGTCGTGTTTTTGCAGTTGCACATAGACGTCAAGAATTTGAGAAAAAGAGACGTGGGAGGCGGGTGAACAATCCTAGAGGTCGTTAGCATCAAACTTTGTACTTGGAAGGATGGTTGCGCATACCTCACTGATACATAGCCCAAGTTCGGCTATGTTGATCTCCAGTTCGTCTGCTTCGTGTATAGTCTCACCTAGAACCTGTCTGCACGCATGCAACAGTTCATATATCGATCTATGAGCCAGAGACTCATCTTGGAGGAAGAATGTTTCGGACGCGTCTTGTTCACTGGGCGGAAATAATGATATCTCACTGCCTTGATAGACCACGATTACGGGATGCGGACGATCAGACGAAGACTGGGTGCCGTCATGGTGGTCATGGCCGCTGGCCGCCCCGCTGGCCTCCCCGTTGACCTCGCGGCCGGTCTCTAGATGTTCCTCATCGGGTTGATTCTCACCTTGATGAGTGTCCGGCTCGACCGCTCCGACTACCTCTCCTCGGACTGACGCAGCAGTATCGTCGACATGATACGCTTTGTCACTGTCATCAGTCACACCAGCGAGCTCAACCGCAGGCGTCTCCACTTGATCTTCTTCCAGTACGAGCGGTGCTTCGTCCAGTGGGTGCTCCTCTACATCAACACCTGCACGCTTCACAGAATCATCGTTCTGGATAGCATCGTCTCTGACAACATTGGCTGTGCTTGATGTGCTTCCATTGGAATAGCTTGCAGCGTCTTGAGTTAGAGTGCGAACAGGTTCTGGCCGCCAAGAAATCTCTTCATTAGCTTGGTCATCTACTTGATCGCTTTGGATGACGATTTCCGGAACTTCAGAAACTTCGGCTCCAGCAAACTGTTGGATGTCACTGATGACGGTGTCATCGTGCATGAGCTCGCCGACGTCAGTAAGGTGTTCGTCCGGCACCGTTATGTCGTCACGCATGGTGCCATCCTCTACTTGTGCGTCTTCATCAACCATGATATCGTCGTTGCTGGTCTGTATACCAGGCTGGTTTATTGCTTGTGCGGCTGGAGATCTTATGTCTTCAAGCATGTAGTCGTCATCTTGTTCACCAGTGAGGTCGAAATCAATCTCGATATCTGACTCTGCGTGACCTCGCTCGGAGGAAATCTCCATATCATCATCGGCCACTGTGACCGACAGTGTCGGGAAAGGCCGAGATAAGGTCGTCATGGCTGTTGAAACGCTGATGAGCGCCGCCAAGCGCGTCGTATGTTTGCAGAAAGAGACCCTGTGGGCGATCCGTTACTGGGCTTACGGTCCCGTTGTCTCTGTCGTCTCTGTCGTCTCTGTCGTCTCTGTCGTCTCTGTCGTCTCTGTCTCGCTACGTGTTCTCGCTTTGAAACTTCCCCTGCTCCGGAAGATGGCAGAGTGGTGGAAGATTGGAGCGCGATAGGTGGTTTCGGGTTGTTGAAAATCGGTCGAAGTCAGGTTGGATGCTGATAGTTAGTACCTGTGGCGAACGTTGCGAGGAACAAAGGGCAGATTGAGTATGAGGGAACGTCTCTTATAAGGTAAAGGCGGATAGCGTGGGTGAAAGTGCGCGTCGCGCGTTTCGCGAACTTCGCGTTGCAACTGGGTGCAATGCTGTGCTGGTGGAGGGAGCGGAGGGAGTGGAGGGAGTGGAGGTTGTGAGGTTGTGAGGTTGTTGCTGGATGCAGGCAGCAGATCACTCGCTCGCGGCAGCCGCAAAGGGAAAGGGCCGGCTGAGTCATGCGGAAATGCCAAGCCGCACCTCAACTCAAGATGCCAGCTTGTGATTGAAGTCCGGATAAGTGAAGCCTAGTAAACAGCTCCGCTCTAGAATTACTTAGGGCCACAAAACGCTGACCTTGAATCTTGACACCAGCAACGATGGTGAGTAATCACTCATCGTTCGAGAATTCAGTACAATCCGCTAATCATTTCCCGCAGGTCGTCCTCGCAGCTTCAATATGCACAAGAGGGGGGAAGGGACTGGTATCCCGCCAGTTCAGGCCAATGCCTCGATCGCGGATAGAGCAGCTGTTGGCAGACTTTCCCCGCCTGCTCGCAGACCAGCCCGGCACTCAGCATACCACTGTCGAGTCGGACTCGATACGCTACATCTACCAGCCCATCGACACCGTCTACCTCCTGTTGATCATCACCCGTAACTCCAACATCCTCCAGGACATCGACTCCCTCCACCTGTTCAGTCAGGTCGTCTCGAGCATCTGCAAGACGCTCGATGAGCGCGGCATTCTGGCGAGCGCGTTTGAGCTCCTGAGCGCCTTCGATGAGCTGGTATGTTCTCAGGTCTACACTGTGCATAAAACGGAGGTCGGATGGCTAATACTGCTCAGGTCACACTAGGCTACAGAGAAAGCCTGACCCTATCCCAAATCAAGACGTTCCTAGACATGGAATCGCACGAAGAGCGGGTGCGTGAACCCCCTTGCCCCCCTCTCCCTCTCCCTCTCCCTCTTCCTAACCCCCCACTAATCCCCCACACAGATTCAAGAAATCATCGCCCGCAACAAAGAGCTCGAAGCCAGCGAAGAGCGCAAGCGTAAAGCCAAGCAGCTCGAAATGCAGCGCAAAGAGCTCTCCCGCTCCAATCGCAGCGGCGGCATTGGCTCAGCCCGCGTACCCTCCTACCCAACCTACACACCCCCCGTTCCCACCACCAACGTTCCAGACACCTACGACTCGTACGCCGCTGCGCAGAACAAGAACTCCAAGCCCCTGGCTACGCGGGGGAAGGGCATGCAACTCGGCAAAAAGAGCAAGACGACTAACATGTTCGACGCCGTGCGCGCGGACTTGGGGCCCGAGGCCGCTGTCTCCTCGGCAGCACCGCTTATATCCACACAGCGCGAGGCAGCCGTCGCCCGCGAAGCCGCCGCAGCCGCAGCCGCCCCCGCCTCTGCACGAGCCTCTACCAGCACAGATAGAGAAGCCATCCACATCACAATCAGCGAGACCATCTCCGCGCGCCTGTCTCGCGAGGGCACCCTCGAATCCCTCGACGTGAAAGGCGACCTCCAGCTCCGCATCACCGACCCGAGCCTCACGCAAGTAAAACTCGACCTCAACATCTCCAACACGCACAACGCGCAACTAACCGCACACCCCAAAGTCGACAAGGCCCTCTTCCGGTCCTCCAGGACAATCCAGCTGGCCGATCCCTCAAAGGGGTTCCCGGCGAACAACGCCATCGGCGTCATGAGGTGGAAGCTCTCCCCCACCAAGCCATCTGAGATGGGCGACCCGCCGATCAGCTTCACTGTCTGGGTCAATGACAACGGCGGGAGTGTCTGGAACGCAACGGTAGAGTACGAGTGGAGCGGCGGCGACCCGCTGCGGGACGTCGCCGTCACAATTCCTTACTCCTCCAGCGAACCATCCGTGTCTAGCCACGACGCTGTGTACGAGGTCACGGGCGATAGTCTGGAGTGGAACGTTGGCGCCGTGGACGAGGAGAATGCGTCGGGGAGCTTTGAGTTTGAGGCGGGCGCGGAGAGTGAAAGTGAATTCTTCCCCATGAGTGTCAGGTTTGCGAAGACAAGGCCGTTCGTCGATGTTGATGTGAGTGGGCGTGAAGTGGTTTCGGTGCTTGGGAAGCTTGCTGACATTTGAGGCACAGGTTTCGGCGGTTACGCTGTTGAGTATGGGCCAGGAAGTTGGGTTCTCCAAGGATGTGCAGAGTGTCGCGGATAAGTATTTGATTGTGTAGGTGAGCGGTTGTGTTGGTTTGGTCAGATCAGCCATTCTATTCGGTAAAGGCTGCCCGATCAGTGGAATGAGCGGAAGGGCGCATAAGGGGTTGAAAAACTGGTGAGCCTCTGGCGAACGAAACAAGCATCACTGGGGAGTTGTATCCGTGGCGATGATGACGGTGATTTCAGAGCAGTCGCCATGCACAGCATCGTGGCACTGGGTTTGCCTCAACCTCGTTGCACCCTGTTTCGCGGCTGGCTTTAGAGGGTTGTCGCAGTACTGGGTAATCGGAGAACAGATAGCGAGAATCTTCAATCCATTGCAAATGCAGTACAGCTTGAGCCTAAAGCTTTCATCATACGTTCTTCCCCACCATAGAAGTCATTCTCGATATCCGTGATACACGCCTAGTGACCCAATCCCGAATGATGCATCGCAAAGAACCCAGACCACCCCGCCTTGCCAGCCTGTCGTCTACTCCGCGGCGCCGACCGCTCGTGCTATTCAATCAGTTAGCCCAGTCCAGCCCAGCGCAAAACCCTGCAATGCCCAACTCGCCATATGACACAGACTGGCAAAAGCGGCGCTTGACTGAGCATGGCTGAGGATGGATGAGGAGACGTACTGTAGATGCTGAGCTTGCTGTGCCCGACAACCTTCTTGATCTGGCCCTTCTCCTCGAGATCCGCGAGCGCTTTCCGGGCGAGCGAGCCGTTGATCTTCAGCCTGTCGACCAGCGTGGCGACGGTGATGAGGCGGTAGGACTGCACGTCCTTTTGGAGCTTGTCGGAGGTCGACTTGTCGAGCACCACGGCGTGGTTGGCCTTGTCCTTGACTGCGGGGTGGGAGTGTTAGTCTATGGGTTCAGGTGTTTTGGGATCTGGTTCGTGCGGTTGGGCGCGAGTGTGGGAGGGGGTCGGTGTGAGGGAAGTGGAGGAGGCGTTGTGAGGAGGCTGTTCGCCGCTGTGAACGTACCCTTGCCCTTGGACCACTTCTTCTTCTGCTTCTTGCCGCCGGTTGCTGCGGGTGCCTACGAGCGGGGGGTCAGCATGTCTCATGAGCGCGGACGACAAGTTTGTTGTACCATTTTGTGTGATGTGTTGGAGATGAAGTTCGTAAAGTCGCGGCGTCAAGGTCAAGGTGCGGAGTCGTGAAAATGGAATGCTGGTGTGGGAGATTGTTACGTAAGCCGGCTGCCAAGCGATATCATTAGGGCTGATGCCTCAACTCTGGGCTGCTACTATACGCGACGCGCTTCGTGATGATCAACGGTCGAAAGAGCAATCGAGTGATCTGGGGGTGAGAGCAGTCGAGTACGGAGTGATCTGGAGCTGCCTAGTAGATGCAGCATCGCCTAGTTGGAAGTGTGCCGATTGCCAGAACCCAAGCCTTGTCAGCTCAGCACTCAGCCCCCAAACCCCCGGCCATGCAACGCTGTAACACTACGCTCTGACTCCAGAGACGCTCACTTCGTCTCTGCCTGAGATGCTTGCGCTGACTTCTGTCGTCTTGTTTCTTCTTCGTATACTCTGAGCCTTAACCCTGCGACAAGCGTTACGCGCTCTCCACACTCGCTCACATCTGCTTCGGCGCGACACTGGCGGTGCGACATCTACCCCGGATTACCGCCTCCCACCTGGCCCCAGAGACCTGAAGACACTCGACAACGGGTCAGCCTCGCTCTGCGCCGGTTGACCACCTCTGCGCCTCGCAGCCGAAAACCTGTAAAGACCCACGCTCGTTTCGACATCGCCGGCCGTAGGTACATATACCGTATCCCTCTCACACCTCCTCCTTCACGCTGGATCGCGAACATCATCTAAGCTAGAAGAGGAGGCTGCCGGCTGGTAGCAAAGGCCCAATGCTGTCTCGCGAGCCCCGATACAAGACATTGGCCGAGCTGAGCACAGAAAGAGACAATGTCGCCGTGCGCCTCCCCACCATCACAATCCCCACGCTCTCCCACTAACAACCCTCTCCCAGTGGTACTGGCGCTTCCTAGCCTTCACCGCATCCTGGATGATCCTGGGCGGCTACCTCCTGCTCCCCTCAACCTACGACACAGCCCCGCACCTCCGCTTCAGCATCCACGTCCTCTCCATCTTCATCGTGGCCCTGCTCACCGCCGGCTACTCCCTGACCGCGCTCCTCTACTTCGCAGTCCACTCGCTCCTCTTCCACCGCGACACCGTCATCCTGCCTACCCTCGCCTCCTCGCTTCTGGGGCTCCTCACACTCCTCTACGCCTTCGTGTCGTGCACGCGCTACGCCTTTACCGCCGGCGCCGTCGCCTCGTTGATCCTGTCCTGCGCCTCCATCACCGTTTATTCTATCCTCTTCCTCTGGAACCACCGCGTCCTGTCCCGCCTCCAGCGCTCCTCCAGCCTCTCGGGAGGGGGCAGCTACGCCCTAGCCCCGACCCACGCCCAGCAGCAGCACATCTACTACTCTGACCCGAACTACTATTCGAACTATACGCAGAACATGTATCCGACGGCCTGCACGCCTACCGAGCCGAACCAGGCCCCCCATAGCCGCACGCCTACAGACGACGATTACATAGCCCAGCAGATGGCCCTGCTGCTCACCAAGGCAGATCCGGGTCCTAGTCCCGATGCGATGACGGAGACGTTCAGGATCGGCCTTCCTGGAGACGGGGACGAAACACCGGTGAACCAATCCGGCGGCGTGAGGGAGTACTACGGCCGGAGCGAGTTCCTTACCGTGGGAGTGTCGCAGAGGAGCATGTGGGAGCGCATGACTGGGAGGCCGGTTGATAGGGGGAGGGCTGAGGAGAGGGGTGGAAGTGGTGAGAGGCAAAGGGCGAAGTCTAGGGAGGAGAGGGGTGGAAGTGGTGAGAGGCAAAGGGCGAAGTCTAGGGAGGAGAGGAGGAGGGAGATTGAGCTGGGAACTTTGCAGGCGTAACGCACTGGGACATCCGTGGGTTTGGCTTCCGAGCGTCGGCGTCTGGCGTAAGGGGTTTGTGCAGCATATTGTCATGTAGTTGTCTTGTGCAACGATACTATGTAGTGATAAACATGTTCTTTGTGTACTTCTCGCCGCTGATGACGCGTACAGGCGGCAAGATTGTAGGATCACGGCGTTCTCTCTAATAGCGCAGCGATTACAGAAGACTGAAAAGGCGATAACTCGAAGGATTACATCGTGCGAGGTGACAGCCAACGATCCAGCCCGAACTCAAAACCTTACTGCTGAGTCCGGCCATATCTATCCAGAAGCGATCCAATCCCAGGCTGCTCGAACATGAATCCGCGTAAGCTCCGCTATCGGCTGACTTGTAACATCCAACAAGCGAAGCCAGACGCAGCGAAGGCCAATCACAACAGTGACGTGAGGTAAATGTAGAATTGTAGCGTGTGAAAGACGAGAACATAAGCGTCGGCGGCTTGTGTAGTGGAAACTCCAGATCCTCCCGCCGCCGGGATATACATAAGTTTACGCATCTCCATGGAAGATGTCGACACGCAGGAGAGGAGCTAATAACAGTTGCGAGTTCGGGGTATTGAGGTAATCCTGTCATGGCACGAGAGACGTCCTCACTTCCCATTAGGACAGGTCATCAGCGTTCCACCCATCATCATGCTCTTCCATCTCTTCCTCAGCAGCAGTCTCATACTCGCTATCCAACTGCTCCTCTTCCGTAACCCCTCCCTTGATCTTCCTCGGTTTCATATTCGCCCACATCCGTGGCACTAAAAACCTGACACCGTCCTTCCCGCAAGCGCAAGCCTTAAGATATGCCAGCTCTCTCCCCGCAAGACCAAAGACAAAGTCGAGCTTCTGATCGTAGAGGTGGTACAGCGCCGAAGCTTTGATGAGGGACCAGTACGTGAAAGCGCCAGGGACCATTGGCTTCGTCCAGCGGATGATGGCCGGGTCGTCGGACGGGTTGAAAGGCGCGACGACGATGTATCTCTGGTAGCATTGCTCAATGTTTTGGCTGTATCCGTCTAAACCAGTGGCGCCGCTGCGCTTGTTCCTGCCATATTGCTCGTTGAAACCCTGGCGGATCTTGGCTAGGTCGTCCTTCAAGGCTTTGAGCGCCGCTGAGCGCGATCCGACCTCATCAGCGGCGTTTTTCTCCTCCAAGTAGAGAGCTGGCAGGTCAGAGTCGGACGTGCCGCTCCCGCCAAAGGCGGCTTTCAGTTGGACAAGCGTCTCTTCCACGTGAGGCAAAACGATATCGAAGAGGAGGTAGTCGGCAATGTGCTGCTTATTGGGTCTAAATTTGCGGGGGTTCACATCCCGACTGCCAGCTAGTTCCTTAATGTACTGTCTATAGGCCGGCTGAGCCGTGATCTTGCCGATATGGGGGTTCTTGTGGCAGTATTCTCGGTAAGCACTTTCGTCGAACACATAGCCATTCTTCGCCGAGTCGACAAGAAGATCGTGTAAATCGGCCAAGGCGTTCGTGCCGGGAGAGTCTAATGTGTTCTTAGTGTACGATAAGCTCTCGTGGTCGTTGGTCGCTCGTCCGAGCATGCTAGCGTTGCTCCTAAAAGCAAGGCTCCTCTCAAGAAAGCTATCGATTATATCTGGACCTGTTGTCAGCTCTGCGAGTTTGGTTCTTTCAACCTTAATGCCGTAATTTTCTGGCTTTGGTGGGCGGAAAGGCGCAGGTGCATTCTTAAACAACCGCACTAGGTCCGGTTCCCAACAGACCCAGAAGGTGTCGCCATCATAATCACCGCCTTGGAGTTTTGCCGCAAGAGGGAACCTTCCCTTGGCCGAGAAAATGATCACATCTGTAAGATGACTGAGCTCTGGCTTAAAGACTGCCCGCGCCCTTTGAATATCAGACCGCCTTAGTGCAGGGTGACGGGCGATGAGAACATCCCTGCCGTCCAGCAGTGGATAAACTTCACCAGACTTTTCATCCTGAAAATTTGTAGAGAAGTTCAGATGCACTTCGCCAGGTTCGAGAGTACTACAGGGGTCTGCAATGCCCCAGAGGTTTGACGAGCGGCCCAGTGGGACGGTAAGGCGAACTTTCAACTTGAGGAGATACTGTTCGACAAGCTTTTGCACGCTTTTAGCAAGGAACTGGTTGCTAGTAGGTGTAAAACCGGACTCCAGTAGGAAGATGGCTTCCTCCACGGGCTGGAGCGGGAGGCCCGCTCGCCAAACTAAATCACCTTGACGGTTCCTCTCTTCTGAAAGGGAATTTTGCTCGTTAACCCACTTGCGAAGCCACACAGGATTCGTAACGTTCTCCATCAGTTGTTGGCGTTCATAGCCAAGATAGTCCACGACAAGGTCCTTCAGCTGCTCCCGTGGCACTCCCCTATCAAGCAGTATTGGGATGAACGAGACATGAAGAGCGGTCGCTCTCGGTTGCTTCGAATGAGTGAGTACTTCGAATGCAAGGCGGTTCTTGTCGCACAGCTCGTCCGACAAGTCTTCGGTGTGAGGCTCGAACTTATTCTGGCTGTCGGATATTTCAATCCATACCTCGCGGTCATCAGGATGCTCCGAGTATGTTGGCGCGCTGATCATCCAAAGACCCTTTGCACCAGCAACGCGACCCTGGAAAACACTAGGAACAGGCCCCGGCTTTCCAAGGGCCTTCCATACTTCAAATGCCGCACCGACTGACATCCTCGCGCAGCCCTATTCAGAGTCATCAGTAACCGTACACGGGATGCGCAATAAAGTGCAAAGCGGCAACAGCTAAATCAGAGGTAGGAAACAAGAGCAAGTCCTCTAAAAGCGCGACTGGCCTTCCGTCTACCCAATTGCTGCGGCAGACATCAGTGGAGTTCTGAGTCCCTTTGCGGTCAGGTACCAAACCACTAAGGGTAATTATCAAGCAAAGCTTGAGTATCCTGAAGGTGGCTCTAAGCCCCTTGGTGGAATTTAAGGTGTTTCGAGTGATCAAGGAGCGAATCGAGGTGTGGTCGTATGACTTGTGGAGCCAGCACCACCGTTACCGCACGTCGCGTACCGGCGTCCTCGGGCAGTGAAAACTAGACACTAATACTTGAGGCAGTCTTGGGCTACTCGACAGACATAGAGGCGCCTAAGATACCGATTCCGCCACTGGAGAGAGATGGTCGATAGCGTGTTGTATATTTACGCTTCCGAATTATAATAATCAAATCCATACCTAGACGGTTGGCAAGGGAAAAGGGTCACTCACGTCGTTCATCACCGTTTCCGGATCATGTATATCTTCCCAAAGCAGTGCTTGATCATTGAAGCATGTAGCTTCAGGCGTCCCATCGGCGTGCACGTCTTGGATCCTTCGTATCTGGCTAGGGCGGAAGATCAACGCAGGATGCGTGCGCGATAAGCCTGATCCGGCATGATCAGTTCAGCTGCCAGTACACTGTGCCAAGCACTTACCTAGTTCCAGTCGGGCGTATGCCTTAGGGAAAGGCTGGTGGCTATTCTTCTTGATGCACAAAAACCAATCGATCAACTCCCCAATGCTTGTCTCAGGTTTATTCACACTGAGCGGCTCGTTCCAGATACTGTCGCAGCCACTTGTCGCGAAAAGCGTGATGCGCTGCCCTTTGTCCGGATCTTTCTGAGTGTACGACTTCTTCCGCTTCCGGTCTTCTAGCATCAAAGCACGCCAGGTTCTTCCGAGGAATCTGTGCTCAACCTGGAGCCATTCCCGGAGTCTGCGCTTCAAGTTACACTGGTTCTTCAGATGGCTAGGCAGATCAGCTTCGAACAGAGATGGTACATCGATGTACAGGAATCGATCGCCACCGAATGCGCGCTGAAAGCGACACGACTGTTCTATCTGCAAAGGTTCCAGAGTCATGCGGAAGAGCGGGCCTTCGTTGACAGGAGTGATGCTCAGCTTTCCTTTGAGAGTGACGTTCTCGAAATTCTTGCCCGCTGCGATCCAGGCCTTGGAAGATGAAGCCTTTGGCATTTTTCTGACCAGCGGATGACTCTTGAAATAATCGGCCAAGGCACTCTGGCTGTCATAACGCCGTCTGTACGTGGACATGATGTCGTAAGGCTGCATCCCGTTGGCCAAAGCCACCCGGCAAACTTCATAGCGAACCCTCAGAGGCGCATTACTCAACCCCTCGTGTACGTCGTCCACAAAAAGTCCCTGTTTCGGCAATGCTCGTACCTGAAAGTGTTCCATAGACTCACTTAGGGGTTCGACAACAGGATCGATGACCACGTCAAGTTTCTGCTCGTTTGGCCGTGTTGTTGGTTTATTCGCAGGAGCTTTTGGAAGCGTGGCTGCTAGGGCATCGCTCAGCGCAACGGTGTCCAGGAGCTGAGGCCTCGGACTGCGGAACATTTGCTCTTGCGAGAGGAAACGAGCCATATGGAACTCCATATCCTCGCTAACTGTAGTCCCGCTACCCGGAGGAGGCATATTGTTGTACGAGTCAAGATCACCTTGCCTTGTGTCACTGAAGGAAGTTTGTGCCGTGTCAATCGGTGGGTCGTCGGCCACGGTAGAGAAAGAGGCGTTGGCGGAACGGGGCGTAGAGTTGAATGAACTCCCCGCGGATGGAACGATAGGTTCGAAGGGTGCCGTGTCGCGACGGTTGCAATTAGAGCGCGGCAGCACCGCGAAAATACCGTCCGAAACGGATCTCTGCCTTTCGCTCGAGATACATGGAAACTTTGGCACGGGAGAATCATCATACAAAAAATCTTTCGACGGACGCTTTCTGGAGGCCGAGAGAGGCGGACGTGGCTCGCCATTGATCCCGGCAGGCCCAGAGTGTCGACGTGAGCCAGACGTCGCAGATAATTTCCGAGCCGAGATTTCCTGCTTGCGGTCCTGCGCTGCAAGTGTGGGCGACTGTGGGGGTGTCGCAAAATCATCTCTGTCAAGAGCCGGAGGTGTTGAAGGTCTCGCATTTGGCACAGCCGGGGAGAGAGTGGATTGTCGATGTTGTTGCTGTCGCTGAACTGAGTTTACGGCCCCGTTGCCGGCTGTTACAACAAATTAGCTTAACTTTTGCCTCTTTCTTCTGCACCCACTAGTATGCGCAACTCCAACCCAAAGGCGGAGACATTCGATTTACGCAATCGAAGCCACAGTCTTGGACGGTACCGCTCACACGCATCATTCTTTTGTCACGTGCCCCGGAAAATGTAAGAAATCGTAGACAGTTGACGAATAAGATATATAACATACTAATGCACTTAGAAATACTAGATTCGGCCGTGCCATCACTGCTCTCGGTCGGCTTGGAGATTGCCAAGTACTCACGTATCTTAGCTTGTCTCTTCTGCGGGGATTTCTTTACCGATGCTGCGCGTGTAACCTTTGGGGCAGCCTTTGGGGCATCCTTTGATGGTTCTCGCAGAATTCTGGGAGCGAAATTCGATGGCTCTTCCAGATTTCTCGGCGCACCATTCAACGATTCCCGCCATCCAGCTTTCGTGCTTCGCTCTTGGCATAGCGTTGTCGCTTGATCTAGCAGCCGTAACAACTCGTCAATGTTGTCTTCCTTTCCGATGCGGGCGATCCTGTCAAATTCTCCCCGAACACCATCTAATGCACTTGTTGATTTGTGATACAGATATTTTATGTGGTTGTAAACTTTGTTGGGTCGATCTCGAACAGTGGTGCTTGGGGAATGAGGTGCGTCTCGAATGGGGAGGTCCAGCTGCCAGCGCTCGTTGAGGTCTTGCACAATGGCATTGATCGGGTCTAGCTTTGCCGTTCGGTGCGGCGTCCCGGGAGGTTGTAGACGACGTTGTGCTTCGAGGTCGGAAACGGTCGCAGCGGGTGGCATGTTGCCGGTTGATCACGACCCAATCAATGGACAGACAAACGTAAACATAAAAAGAGAGGATGATTAACGACAGCAACAGAACCAAACCGCGCCAATTGCTATCGTCTGGTCTATGGGCGAAGAATCCAGGAATGGTGCCTCAGGCTAGGGGCATGTGATGTGATGAAGGAGAGTTGGCCTGAGGCTGGCGACGGGACGGGAGGTTCTGGAGAGCGGGACGCGGAACGGCCCCTTGAACTTGAACGCGCCAACGCCTGCCAAGAGACCGCGAGCTATCAGACGGGAACTGTCAAAAATAAATTACAAACGGCTGACAGGCGCGCGGGCCGACTGACAGGCCGAAAGGCCCCAAGCCTGCCCAGCTGAGCCACGCTTCGTGATGACGACAAGACCAAAAAACCGTCGTCACTCTAAGCAATCGAGTGGAGAAATCTGCTTTAGGCCAACGGTTATGGAACAGGAAAGAGTATGTAAGCCGTCATCCTGACAAGAACCTGTCGGGTCCTTTCAGTCGCTTTTCCACTTTCCACTCTGCCATTTCCAACGCATCTCCACAACTTCGCATCTGTATCACTTCAACCTCAAGTAGTCCTCAGTCACGCGACCCCCATCCGAAACCTTCCAGGGCTCTTCACAACCAGTCGCCCCAGGTTCTCAAAACTAGTCGTCCTCCAGACCTCCATAACCACCCAAACATCTCCTTCTCCATAATCCGCTCCCATCAACATGGCTGCCCTCCTCCTCGGCTGCTTCGGCCTCGGCTACTCCAAAGCCTCGGACTACCGCGCCAAACGCGCCTCCCGCCAAAAAACCGGAAGTAGAGAATACGACGAGAACTTCGCGGATATGCAAGCCGCGAACGCTAGACGAGTGAGCCAGCAGAAGAGCTCGCGCAACAACAGCATCAGGCATATGGAGGATCCTGCGTTTACTGGGGGAGGGCCGCCGAGCTATGATGCTGCTGTTAGGGAGAGGGGTGGCGGTGGTGGTGGTGGTGGTGGTGGCAGGACAGCGGGACTGGCGGTGGGAAGTGGGAGACAGACGGGGACGGTGCCGCTGACGCCGCAGCTTAGCCCGGGAAAGAGGGTGGCGGAGAATGATTTTGCTTGAGGGGGGCTTATTAGGTCGTGAGCGGCGAACGAACACTTGGCAGCGGGGAGTCATACGAGGTTATTCACGACGGGCATTGGGTGGAGTTGACGGCGTTACTTGATTCGTTGCTCATCTATAACCCAGTCTCAACCGCTCGCCATTCCTCTCGAATTCTAGCGCTCTCTCTCTACGACCACCTCTCATGCTTCCCATCGCACCATGTCGCTATTCGAGCGCCCTCCGTCATACAGCAAAGGTTGGTTAGTTTCGACATCCTCTGGTCTGACTCTGCTTCGAGCAGCCAGCTATGATGCCCGCTCTATGTTAGGCTGTTCGTCGCAGCGAAGTGCCTTGTCTACGCTGGAACCTTCTTTTGCTGGCCCATGATCGACCAGCCCCTCCCCTCATCGCATGACAGGAGGCCGACTCTCCTTATTCCACTTGACCCTCGAACAAATCCACTCCACCGCCTCCTGCACCCCTGTCCCCGTCAGCGCCGCGCACGGCAACACCCTACTATCCCTCACACTCCCGCCCTTCTCGCCCTCAAACACCTTCCTCACAAGCCCCTCCTTAATCCGCACGACCTCGACGCAGTCTTCCCTGTCCTGCTTGTTCGCCAAAATGAGCACGGGCACGCCCTCAGTATCCTGGTTCTGCAGCACATCCTCAAGCACCAGTCTGCACTCCTCCAGCCTGCCCTCTTCATCCGCTGAGGATGCTCCGGCGGCCAAGCGGGCTATGTCTGCATCCCCAACGTCGGTCGAGTCGATGACGAAGACGATGGCGTGGCAGCTGCTGTAGTAGCTCTGCCATAGCCCGCGGAGAGAGTGCTGGCCGCCTACATCCCAGATCTTGAGGTAGAGGTCTGGCAGCGTGATTGTGGCAACGTTTTGGCCGACGGTGGGCACGGTTTTGAGGTTCGGGTGCGCGTGGGTCGAGTAGTGCGCCTTGATCTGCTCGAGGAGAGTGGTTTTGCCGGCGTTGTCGAGGCCGAGGAGCAGGATGGAGTATTCTGAGGAGGAGTTAGAGGAGGGAGACGGCGGGGGGACGGGAGGGTGGTACCTTCTTTGCTGGTGGCGTGGAGGTAGATGGATTTGAAGAGGTGATACATGACGTGTGACGGTCAGTAGCTACAGAGAATACTCGGTAGCTCTTCCCCACCTCCCTTCGCCGTGCTTCTAGGGTGTCAAGCGTCAAACGCGATGGATGCTAGATAGTCACGTGACTGCGATTTACGATGCGCCGTTTGACGCCCCGTCAGGCTGAGACGATCCAAAGCTTCGAGGTTTCATCGCGGGGAACAGCTCCGCGCGCGTCGCAAGGTCCGTCCCGCCGCAGCGCATCAAAACAGGAATGCCATCATAACGCGCCAGCCCCCCTAAAGCCCGCCAGCCTCTGGTCTGGAGCTTCAGAGATCTGTCTGCATATATCAGCGACAAAGATGCGCCCGTCGCGCTCGCTTCTCCGCCTTCAGCACAGCTACTTATCCGTCACAGCCGTCGCAAAAGAGCATCATCCCCAGCATGGCGCCATTCGAATCAGACACAGCGGACTCCAATCTCATCCCCATGGTCGCATACTTCGCGCAGACCGTTTCCGTTGGTCTGCTGCTGTTTGTCGTTGTTCGCTTCGTTGATCACGCCTCGGCCGCGCTGCCTCCATCCCAAGAGACCCGTCAGCGACAGTCCAAGCGCACACGCGACATCCGGATCTTTACCGTTCTTGCCGCCCTCAGCTTTCTCCTAGCAGCGTACTTTGGCATCAGCCGACGCGTCTCTTCTTACCTCGACTGGGCCTCGCATCACAACGAGGACGCGCCTAACACTCTTTGGAGCGGATGGTATGGCGGCACCAGAGACAGAGAAGGCGGCGGCCTCACGTCGTACGCAGATGTGAAGCTTGGGAGATGGTGGCAGGATACAAAGTACTCCACCGGGGATGACCACTTGGTCTTGGGCAACTCGAAGGGACTCTGGTGGGCTCAGCAGCTGGTTCCCAGCATGATCGCGTGGAGCATTTTCGTTGGAGTCGAAGGTTTGCGACGCGCTCATAACCCCTCGTCGCTGCGGACAATTGCAACTGACAGCACGGTGTAGGAAGACGCAGAGGCATGCCCAAGCACGTCCTCTGCACGTTCGTTGCTCTTGCCCAGACCATAAGCCTCAGCGCCGCGCAGAGCCTCTTTTGGATTACTCTACTACTTACGCCGGTTCATCTTGCGCCGTCAAAGTTGCCAACAAGGGCTCCACAGTGGACCCCAAACCCGATGGCCTATTTGTTGCCCACTGTCATGTCCTTAGCTTGCAACGCCCTCATGCCACTTGCTGTCGACTACCTCATCTTCACCCAGCCACTACGCATCGCGTACTTCGGCATGCTGATCCTCATGACGCTAATACCACGGGTGCGTTGCTGGGAAACCCTCCTGGTCCTAATTCCCATCCACGTGCAGTATTCCTAACAGCCCACCAGATCGCCCCCGCCGTCCTCGGCTCAACCCACTCCTCCGTCCACTCCGCTCACCGCTCAAGCGCCACAATATTCAAGACCCTCGGCATAATCAGCTTCCTCCTCCACGCCCGCCAAACCGCAACCGCCCTCCTCGACAACTCCCCCCCACCCACCTACCGCGAATACAGCTACATATGGAACTCGCATCCCGAGACCCAGCACTCGACGCTCTACCTCGCCCGCGTCGCCTTCTCCCGCGTCCTCGGCGCCCTCTCCGACAATCCTGCCATCAGCGCCGTCGCCTGGGATGTGCTCCTCTCGGCGCTGAGCCTCTGTCTCTGGGCCGTCGTGCGCGGGCTCGATGTCGGGGATATGCTGTCCGCCACTGTGCCGTTCAAGACCGCACAGAAGGAGGAGAAACACGTGAGCTTCGAGGGCGAGAAGCCGAAACCCAACGGGCCTGTCGAGACCGTCGCCTCACCCACCTCCAAACGCGGACGCGGCAGGCCAAGAAAAGACGCCGCTACCCTTGCTGCGCCAACCGCTTCCACGAGCTCAGCAAGGGAACTGCGGAGGAGTATCCGCCACCCCCGCCCCACACCCTCCTCCTCCGTCACCAGTGCATTGCATGGCATTGAGGACTCCGAGGACGACGACTCAGGCCCGTATGTCCCGCCCGCGGATGTAGCAGCCGAGGTGGAGGGGTTGGAGCACGAGGACGTGGGCGCGGATACGGTGGTCGAGGAGGCGGAGGCGGCGGCGCTGGGGTGGGGTTTGTTTGCTTTGGGGGGGCTGGGGGTGCTGAGTGCTGGGGTGTGCGGGGGGGAGGTTTGTGGGCGGTAGGGGAGTGGTGAAGGTGGTTTCTGTGTACTATGGCTAGAATTTTTGTTCACGAGCGATGGATATTTAAGGCTTGAGCGGAGGGGTGGGGCGTCACGGTCGGAGTAAGCCTAGCGGTGTCGGGATCGATATGGACAGACGTGAGCTCAGTTCGACGGGCCGGTTGCACGGTTTTCTCCTCTTGGTAGTAACGCAGTTCATGATAGGGACGGGCGTTGCTAGAGTACTGAGTCTATTAGTAGATGTACTGAAATATCGTTCTCTACCCGCCGGCTTCGCTTCACTTCTTGTCTCTCCTGAACATCTATAAACCCTTCCGAATATTAGCAATACTAGCCTTATGCGGAACTTTGCAGTAAGCTAAAGACTATCTCAATACAAAGGCATGTAGACAATCATAATATATACATATAAAATAAACGCAGCTAGTACAAGTGAAATTTCGTGGGTTTTAAAACTATTAGCGCCGCTTCGACTGCACTGAAAGCTAAATACAGAGGAAAAGCCACAACATCAACGTAGAATGTTATGCCCTTACAATCAGAACAGCCTACGACTGCTGGCAGCGAGAATCTCGCTTTTCAGGCTAAGCCGCGGTGACAGTGTCTATAGACACAGCGGAACTGCTGCCTTGCGAGACTGGCGCAGCAGCAGCGGGCGTCACCTGCTGCGGTAGAGGCTGCAGTCCCGCAAGCAGGAGATCCGGCTCCGAGTGCACTGGCCCGAGATTTCAGAGGCTTGGCGTGCTATCCAGCTTGCTCATACCAACTTCATTCTCAGTGTCTCTTCGCAGGATATCAGTCATCGTCTTAGCCTTGTCTGCGAAGTATCGGTTAGTTGATTAATGGAAGGACAAGCATAAAGTGTAGCGAGTCGCATTGTCTCACCGTGATACGCTTCCACGAAAACCATGGATGGAAGCATGAGCAGGATGAGCGGTAGAAGCTGGCCGAAGCCTAGGGTGTCCTCTCTATCTTGTTCTGCCTGGCTCATGAGCAAGTGCCCAGTCGCACGGTCTTCCATCCACCACACAACTCCGAGAGCAACCCAAATGATCTTTCCGACAACATGGAGGAGTTCGAAGCGAAGAGGAACCAGACGGCCACGAAGAACTTGCGTAGCCATTTATGATTTGGTTTGATTGATTCTGACGTGAGAAACTTAGGAGGATCAACGCTTTGAAGGTTGGTGCGGATGCTGATCCATAGGTCCGTGGACGTCTCAAAGGTGAGAATGAGGAACACCTGATAGTCGATCAACAGCAAGACAAGGCTCGCTATCATCCACTTCTTGAGAACGCCACCGGCTCGGTGGCGAGGGACACATTTAGCGGGGCAGTTGAACCGCCAGTTCCAGTTCCAACATCCAGAGGTTATTATGGCTTCGATGAGGAGGATTGCTAGTATAACCATGCATAGAGCACGCCAAATCCTGATAAGTGGGGAGCCGGCTTTGAGTCTTTTGGAGTCAGGATGATTTTGTGTCCTTGCTCGTTGATCCGAGAGCCATCTTCGAAGAATAAGCAGTGATGTCAGATGGGTATTCGAGCTGAGCCACGCGAGATTGATGATGATTGAGAAGTGATAGACGGATATGGAGCCATCGTCCAGCATTTTGAAAGCGGCGATAAGTATAGCAATCCCAACAACAAGTTGTTGGTCGCTAAGGCTAAGGACGACCGCAAAAAGACATGCCGCAAACTTTCACGAGCGGTTAAAGCCGAGACGTTCTTGCAGTGGAATGCAAAGCTTGACTTCAAGCCACTGATCAAGAGGATTCCATCTCTCTGGCTTTGACGCTGGCTGGAGGAGAAGGCAGAATATGAAGGAGAGCAAGGTTAAGGCTGCACTGAGCGCGAAGGCAACGAGTACCTGACGCCTGTGAGTGTCGCGCAATTCAGCGAACGACTATTCTGCTTTACGCACCCCTATACCGGCTATATCAGGTGAGATCAGGACAATTGCAATCGATCAGACCGACCACGTATTCACATCAGAAATCCTCTTGCTTGATGCAAAAGTACTGTGGAGGAGACGCAGCCTTGTTATGACATGCGATCATATCCCCCATGCAGGTGAAGTCTATGGAGACATTAGGCATGGTGTTGTCGGCAGAAGCATGTTGATGAAATACTGAGAAGGAAAAAACCCGCTCGAGCTCATCGGGCTTTTACTCATGTCGCCGGAAAATCATGAAATTGCTAAGATAGCGGTAAGCTAACGGTAGATCGCTCTAAATCCGCTTCTAAGAGTTCGCGCTAAGTGTCTCACTATAGTATTTACCTCTGTATATCTTAATACTACATTGTAATATTAACTTAGTAAGTGCTTTATATACTATATATATCTATTTTATACTAAAATAGATTAGAGTATTAATAAAGAGAGTTTAGTATAATTAGTTATTCTTATATTTTATAAAGAGTATTACTTTTCTTAAGTACTTCTATTTCTTCTCTTAAATCTTCTTCTAGTTTTCTTTATTCTATATATATTTATTTTATACATAGAAATTATTCTTCTCTTCCTAGCTTAATTTCTCTAGCTTAATTTTTAGCTTATATTAGTAAAAGTCTTTATTACTTCTAAGATCTTAGAGATAGCTCTAAGATCTTAGAAGTACTAAGTCTATATCTATCTTGCAAGTAGCTTATAAGAAAGCTTATATACTTAGCTAAATTAAGCTTCTTAGACTTCTTAGACTTCTTAAGCTTCTCAAGCTTCTTAAGCTTATCGAGTTTATTAGAATACTTAGAATACTTAGAATACTTAGAATACTTAGAATACTTAGAAATACCTAAGCTACTTAAGCTACTAAGCTACTAAGCTACTCTATAAAGCTCTAAGTCTAGTTCTATCTATCTAGCTTTATATCTAGCTCTATCTATTTAGCTTTAACTACTACTATATATAGAAGCAGCTTAAATATACACCTATAGAACTTTTAAAAAAAATAGTTTAAACTACTTAATTTTTAAAAATATAGTTATTCTACTTCTACTAGCAAAGAAGTAAAAGATTAAGTAAGAATAGAACTCTAAAAAGTAGTTTAAGTAGCTTAAGTAGCTTAAGTATCTTAGTAGCTTAGTAGCTCTAAAATCTTGAAGGTAGTTCTAAGAATCTAGTAGTAATGGATTATATAAGACTAGATAGTATATAGAACGAGTATAATACTACTTAATACTATAATATAACTAGTAATTAACTATCTAAAGAACCTTAAACCTCTATATATACATTCTGTACTAACTCCTATATAATAAACCTTCTGTACTACTATACTACTTAGCTTATAGTCTTAGTGTAATTTTTAGAATACTCTCTAAATATTATCTTAATCTTCTTTCTAGTCTAGTTAAATTTTAGTTTACTTTTTATCTTAGCTTCTAAATTATATTCTAATTTAATTTAGCTTAGAATCTAATTTCTAGTTATTATAACCCTTAGTAATTTCTAGAAAAGATTTCCTAGAATAATATAATATTCAAAAAACAATATTTTCTAGAAAAGCATGCAATTTAATATAGGCTATTTTACTAAGAAGAGTTATATTAAGGGAATTATTAGTAGATATAGATTATTCTACTAAGAGAGATAGTATTAAGAGAATTACGATGTAAGAGTATAAGCTATAGACTTAAGTATATAGGTAGTACTATTCTTATTTATCAAAGTAGTATACTTAACTTAAAAAAATAAACTAGTATTCTTATAATATACTTAATTAATTTCCTTATAATATTATTCTAACTTTATTGTATTGTATACTATCCTCTATCTCTTAATTGGAATAATACTATATTCTAGTAGTAGTGTTATTATCTAGAGATAGCACCTATTATACTAGTCTAGTCTCTAGCTTATCTCTAGCTTAATATATAGCATAGTATCTATTTTAGCTTTTATTTTAGTTGAATTTCTTTATATAGTTACTAAGTTTCTATTTATTTAAGTAGAAGATAGATAACTTACTTTCTAGAAGAGAGTTTTTCCTCTAAATTCTTTTTTCTCTCTTTTAAAATAGAAAAAGAAACTCTTTCACTCTCTATTATTATATTTCTTCTCTTCTTTCTTTATATTCTTCTCTAAATATATACATATATATATACAATTATTCTTAATTATCTTCTACATCTTTAGATAAACTATATTATTTAAGGCTTACTAAGCTTGTTCTTTAGTATATATGAAACTTCTACTATTTAGATAATATACATTCTATTAGTATACTATCTACTATATCTATTTAAGTTATTTAGAGTTTATTTATAATAATCTACATATGTAAAGATTTTATGCTTGTACTATTAAACTAAAGAATATAATATTTATTTAATAGATTAAGCTCTATAAGTAACTATATATAGTTTAAATCATAAAAGTACTAGAAGTTATATAAGGTAATTTTAGATTTTATAAAGACTTCTATATTTAATAAGTATATAATATTAGCTACTAAGTGTCTATAGACTATAGTATAATCTCTACTCTTAAGAATTAATGTAGCTATATTATAGCTATAGAGAAAAGTATAGTCTTACTATTAATTAATTTATAGAATTTATAGATTCTCTATTAAGGCTTCAAGCTTACTAAGGTTTATTTTAGCTATATAAGTACTCTTCTATTAATTTATGCTTTCTTTCTACTTTATTAAGTCTTTTCTTATTCTATTAAGTCTTTTTCTACTCTATCAAGCTTTTTTTATTCTATTAAGACTTTTTCTACTCTATTGGATCTCTTTTTACTCTCTTAGGCGTTTTTTTCCCCTTAATCAAGCTTTTATAAATTATAGAGTCCCTTTAGTAGCTTATATCTATCTTATACTAAATGGAAAAAGTGTAATTCTACTAGAGATTAAATATATAATCTAAAAAGATATATATATACAATTAGTATAGTTAGTAGTTAGTATTTTCGTAGCTAAGCTACATGTAGTACTAGCTATAGCTATAGTATACTAGCTGTAACTACTAGCTTCTATAGCTTTATAGTTGTAAACTACTATAGCTTAATAGTTATAGTTAAATTTCAAATTCTTAAGGCTTTTTTACTAGTAGTTATAGAGTACTATAAAGTAAATATATTAAAAATATAAAGCTAAACTAAGAGTTTATCTTAATCCTTTTTATAATTTCGCTATATAGTATTTATTACCACACTATAAGTATTTTTAACATATAAATTTTAGAGGACAGTATAGTTTTATTAGAGGATATAGATCCTTAGGGTTAATAAAGTGATGTAATAATAAGGCACGAGTGGATAGAATAATATAGTAGGTTTAATAGGAGACTAAATTCTATTAAGCTTCTATTATATAGAAGCATTTACTATATATTCTTACTTAGCTAGCGTATTACTAGTAAAAAGCCTAGGCGTAGTTTAAGGCTCTCTTTATATCTTATAACTGTCTTCTTTTTCTTATATAGCTATTTTTAGTAGCGGTATACTTACTTATTACTATTAAAGCCTCTATTTGTAATATATAAAAGCGCTATATTACTATAGGTAATATAGAAGTAGATAGAAATAAGGCTATAATCCGAAATAAGCTTATAAAGGTAAATAGATAGTAAATTATAAATCTTAGTAAGTATATAAATATTACGCGCTCTCTTAGCTTTTCTAAAGTTTAATAACCTCTACTTTTAAGTTATATTTCGCTATTATTATCTTAGTAGCTGTAATATTAACCTCTAGTACTCTATTTATAAGTTTAATAGGCGTGTAGTTAGGCTATACTTTATCTATTAATTCTTAATAGAAACCTATTACTATATATTTAGCTTATATCCCAATTAAGCTACTTAAGCCTATATATGTTTACTACTCTAAGTATATTTATAAGAGCGGTCGCGGCTTCTATATTAAGATAGAGTATATAAAGTATATTTATTATAAAAAGATTAGAAAGCTATATAACTAGATAAGTTACTATTATTTATACTATATTTTATAAGTTATTAGTATATATTTTAATAGGTTTCTATAGAGTTTATAGCTTATATTAATAAGCTATTTTATATAAGTAGTAAGATAGTAGTCTTATAAGTTACTAGTAACTTAATAGCTAATACTACAAAGGCTATACTTATTACGGCTTAGGCTTTATATAAACTAAATAGAAAGGTATTTATTTATACTACTAATAAGTAAGGGTTTTACTACTAGCTCTAGAGTAAAAAGCTATAGCTTACTATGCTACACGAAATCTAAAGGGTTAATAGAGTATTAAAAAGTATTTTAAATATTGTATAATACCAGATATATAGCATCTTATAGTTATTTATAGTTCTTTTACTAATATATTTTAGGCAGGCTTAGATTCTATTAGAATAAAAGATATAATACGTAAAAGTAGCTCCTTACTATTATCTTCTATACTAAATAGTATAAAGAAGTAGAGAAAGTAATAGTAGTTTATTAGCTTTTTACTAGCTTAACAGCATTAGAGCCTTATACCTATTAATAATACTACTTTATATATTTCCCTATAATATTACTTTATATAATTATTATCTATATATTATCTACTTTCCCCTTTTGTTTCTATTTTAACCTATTTTTAGTACTTCTAAATAAGATTTTTATTAATATTATTTTATATAACC